AGGAGGGGGAGGAGGAGGAGAAGGGGAAGGCGGAGGAGGGGAGAAGGGGGTGGAGGAGTGGGTGTCATCTGTTCAAAATAGACCTACCTTGCTTTGTTGCTTTGCTCTGAGGAGTCCTGTCTACAGAGGAGACCCCAGAAGTTGAAGAATGGAGGGATGTCCTGGTAGGTGTTATCATGGCAACCAGAGGTATTGATATCTTCCGTCTGACCGGAGTGGCCTTAGCCTCATTGGCATGTGAATCCTGAACAATAAATATTCATGTTTTAATTATCTAGCAAGCAAAGATTATTCAGATATTTTTTCATGTTTGGTTACATCCCAGTGATGGTATGGACGGCTTAAGTCAAAGTAAGTCAAGTCATTATTTTTCTATTTCACTTCTTACCCCAGATGGTCTTGCAGCCTTCTCTGGTTGCGCTTCATGATTGGCTCCACCGTCTACGTAGCCGTCGTTGAAGGACTGTGGCATGTTACTCAGCCCCCAGCTAGTGTTTCTAGCTCGGTTCACCAACACATTGATTTTACTCACAGAGCTCCTACGAGATGATGATGGTGTCTGTGGAAGAGAAACAACATGCAGTGAAGCTAAAACCTTGAAAAAGTAAATAAAGATTTACAATTGGAAGAGAAGAACAATCTACATCACTGACTCCAACATCAACATAGTCATTGTGCAAGGACTGGGGCATATCACTCAGCCCCAAGCTAGTATTTTTTCCAGCATGGGTCACCAACACATTGATCTATACTCACCGAGCTCCTACGAGACGATGATGGTGTCTGTGAAAAAGAGACAGCGTCAATCAAAACCAAACCTTACAAAGATTTAGGATACGGTTGGTAAGATGTATAATTTAAAGAGGTCTTCACAGTTTAAGCTATCGACTCCTTGATCTACACAGCCATCATATATGACTCATTGAGCTCTTACAAGATGATTATGATGGTGAAGTTTGTAAAGATAAATTACAGTCATATCTAATGTGTTGCACAAGTTGACCATTTATGTGCAAAAGGGCAAATATCCCCTATTTTCATTATCATTATCATCATCATCATTTATCAAAGTCAGCATTTTCTCTTTTTAAACGAGGGGTTACTGACATTTGCACCATGATGACACTCAATCCCTCCACTTTTTCTTATCTCAAGCATCCTTCTCATTTAAACAGACCAACCTCAGTGCTTTCTTTCTTCACCATAACTTTCCATGATGACTTTGGTCTTCCTTTCCTTCTAGATCCCACGCTCTTTTCACAGGTTCATCATCTTCCCTTCTCAACACATGACCCATCCATCTCAATCCATTTCTCTTAAAACCACTTCCATCAGTTTCTTCCAGACCCAACCTTTCCATAAAGCTCACTTGTGTTCTTTCTATCGGACCATATACTATCGCTGTTCTAAACAAACTCATATGGCAAGTTAACCCTCTAGGTGCAAAAGGGGCAATTATCATCATATCATTCATCGATCATTCAAAAACTTAAAACTTATCTATTCAGGGGGGGGGGGTGTTTCACAAAGATCCTAAGTTGAACTTAACTCGAAGTTGGGCTTTAAAATTATGGAGAACCGTTTGTAGCCTTAAAAAAATATATATTAAAAAGTGAAAATTCTAATATTTTAAGACGTTTAATCAAGAACATAAAATCTTCTTGATAATAGAAAATATAAATGATTTTGATCAAAATTTTATGCCTATTAAAATAGCTTATACAATATACTTTCATAGATGCTAAAGGCTTTCCATAATTGTTAATTCCAACTTCGCGTTAAGTTCGAATTTAGGATCTTTGTGAAACACCCCCCAGACTGTGTTAACGAAATTGCTACATAGCTAATCACGACTGCAAATGAGTAATTTAGAAGAGATATTGTGTCGTACAAAGCGATTCTTCTGTTAAAGATAAACTTGAGTTCTGGTAATGCGATTGCATTGTGAAAGAAAAGGTGTGGAATGGATCAGAAAAGTTGATCATATCGTCCTAATTCCTTGTTTTCACGAAGTGACGGTAGTGAAAAATAATTGCATTCACTTTGCGTTACGATTTTCCTCACTACCGTCACTTCGTGAAAACAGGGACGATATAGCATGTAAGTAATGGTGTGTAATGCAAGGTTCTGGAGTCATCAAAATCATCATAAATTTGGCAGAGTCTTGGTAAAGTAACAATCACTTACACAGAAAGATGTATATGGGACAACACACATGGTGTCGGGGCTAGTACTACCCTGATTTCCTTATCTTTCTATGCTCATTACTCAGCCAGTATACATTTTCTTCCAAAATTGTTTGGCACATGACATTTATTTGTAATCTTGAACATTCAGTGTAAGTTTCGTTAGATTCTGTGAGAATTCATTTTCTTTTTTTACCAGAACTCAAGTGTATCTTTAACCTGTGCCTATTGTTCTGTGGCAATCAAGCGATTATCCAAATCGGCATGCACTTATAACAAATGAAAAGTTACAGAATAAAAGGAACAACTGCCAGGAATTGATCGCTACAGCATATGCCTGTCCATAACCTCAAAATCAGATTACATTTGAAAGTACGTAGCACATCTCATCTACCAGCATCAATACTGCCCAAGTGTTCATAACCTGTAGATTAAAACATTCATATCCATCAAATCTAATGGACTGTAACTAAATTGAAAGGAAAAAAAACAGGTTGTTCGTATTTAAGGTTAGAGTGGGTTCATAAAGGCAAGAGCATTATAGCTAGTACTTTACTAAAAAGCAAACATGACATGATCTTGAACTTCACAGAGGATAAAACAAAATAAACAGGTAAACTTTTATTTAAAATATAGAAGAAATTAATGGGATTTTCGATTGTCACGTTGACATAGTGAACTGCGACATGACAACATCATTCCAAAGTTCTGCGCTTGCGCCACGATATCTACCATGTTCACTACCTTTTCAGGAAAAGCCAAAACATAAATGTAAGCTAGAACCACCTGTAAGCATCAAAACAGGGTCACTTCTTTTTTAGGAGTGCTTTGTTTCCTGCAGAAATGCACTGGAACGGTTGAAAAAAGAAGTAATGTTTCATTAAATGATCCTAATAAAGAACCATAAGATCCTTAGGAACGTCCTTGAAGACTATCCCCAAACATAAAACTAATTACTTGTTAATTCATAGAATTTGGCAGATATCAAAAAGCAGTACAAAGATCATTAAGTTTTATTTTCCAGTCGGCCTACAGGTAGTATCCCCAGGTCACAAAAAGAGCATTTAATTACCTCGACTGGAGCAGCGTTTTTCTCCAGTCCGATGGAGGTAGCCAGGGCGTCTGCCAGGTCTGTCCTGGGCTTGAATACGATCGTAGCCGTTCTGCTGTCCTTACCACAGGAAGCGAGGATTGATGAAGGAGGCTCCGTTAGGTTGATGACAAGGTTCATGTGACCTTTCTCATCTTCTGCATGCAAAGCATTGTCAAAGACATGAGGTTAAGTTTTACTGCAGGACAAAAGCATGCATATAAAGCATTTTGTCTGCAGAAAGCAAAGAGAGCATGATAAGTTAATGCCCTTTTGACTCTCAGCAGACTTTGTTCAAACTGAAACCACATGAATCCCGCAAATTGTATATTTTTCTTTCCTTTCATTCTTATTCTTTCCATTGAATGTTTATCTTGTTTTGTTTTCATTTTCTTCTGAACATGTATAATTAAGAGTACCATTATTTTTCCGTCTTGTACTGTCTTGTGTATTGAGGCAGCAGCCTTGGCTTGAATTCCTTACATGCTTTCTCTTGCTATCTTCAATAAATAAAGTTTGGGATTTTAATAAAATTGTCCAGTTTTTACCAGATCTATAGGCAGTTTAAACTGCTATAAATGGTCAACAGGTCCATTTCACAGATGCTAATGTATTCAGTGAGAGCATGAACTACATCAATTCTGTAGAAAAGTGTATGAGTTAACACATTTTGGATCTCAACAGACTATAGAGCTTTACATCCAACATTCTTCATCCTGGAGAAAAAGCGCATAAATTAGGCAATCATTCACAGCCCCCAGGGACTTACCATTTACGAGGTACTCCTTGACTTTATCTTTGGAGAAGGTCACCGTTTCCCACAAACCACCCTCCTACAGAGAAAACAGATGATTTTCAAATATACAAAAACCACAGAATGCTGCGGAGGATCAATCAAATTATGTCACATAACTGAAGGTGAAGGTAATAGTAGTGATAAGGATGATGATATTGACGACGACAAAGAATAAAACAATGACAATGATAACAACATCAACAACAACAAAAATACTGATTACAAAGCAGAAATCTATAATACGCAACATAATCACTCTGATGATGCTCAATGTAATGACAAATATACTTTGAAAAGGCTTACAATAAAACAGAACAAAACGTATTTAGGATTAAATTTGTCTTTAGATGTGGTTTTAGTTTTCTACTAAAGCCATCTACATCTACATGTACATCACATGCTAATAGTTATAGAACATTATAGCACCATATACCTCTTAGAATAATGTCTAAATGCATTTTTTGGTGAAAGGTTAAAAAAGAAATGAATGAAGCAAGGAGAGCTGCAAGACATTATCAGTGAGTACATGGAGAAAGCTATCTTAAAATGTACAAAGACTTTTCATTCTGACTTTGATCGTGATTCTAGAAAGATTTCTTGCTATTTTATGTAATTAGACATTCTTAAAAGAAAAATTGTTCGAATCACAGCGTTTCGTTTATCCATACCTCTTCTGATCCTGTGTCTTCATCAGCTACATACATGGTGATAGACTGACTGACTGCATTGAAGTCTACCCAGAACTCACTCAGTTTATCTTCATTGGGGTTCCTTAACTATCATACAATACAAAATAAAGGTATCAAATTTACTTCCCTAATCTTAAATAATACCACTCTACTCAATCAGTTGAATAGACTTTTTCATCATTGCTTAATAAATGGCTTTGCCACTTATAACTATTTAAAGTACCTGCATGTAATAAACTTCACCAACCAAACTGTCAAAAGCAACTGTCATGAATAAAAAACTAATCAATTGCAAAGTCAAATTATAATCAACTAGCTGTTAACCATTGTAATGGGTTGTGCGATTGATCTTATCAAATTACACCAACTGTCAATTCACATGTAATGTAATTCCATTTTCTCCAAAAAAAACCCCGTTTGTCTGGTCTATAAGATACAAGCCCCTTCCCCCCCCCCCACCCCCCCCCCCCCCCACTCCTGTTGCATAAAACAAACTTACCATTGTCTTGATGGTAACTTTGTAATCGATAATAACTACCATACAACATTCAACAGCCAATCAAGTCAATGTTTCCATGGAAGTTAACATCACTGCTAAGTGTTATGTAACAGGGCCCTGGGGGGTGTTTTACAAAGATCCTAGGTCGAACTTAACTCGAAGTCGGACTTAAACATTATGGAGAGCCATTTGTAGCCTTAAAATACTATATATTCAAAGCACAAATTTGAGTATTTTAGACTTCTTATTTAAATTCCACATCAAGAATATGAAATCTCCTTGATAATAGAAAATATGAATGATTTGAATCAACATTTTCTGCCTTTTATAATAACTTTTATAAAACTATTTCATAGATGCTAACGGCTTTACATAATTTTTAAATCCAACTTAGAGATAAGTTCAACTTAGGATCTCTGTGAAACACCCCCCTGTACTGTTATTTTTTCCCTGGGGAAAGTTAAGAGCAAAGTTCACTCACCTCATAATCTCCCAAGAAAGCTTTCTTACATGAGTAAGAATAAACACTGTAAAATGAGAAGATGATGAAGAAAGGAAAAAATAATTTATACAGAAGGACAAAAATATTTAAGATTCGTACAAGCGTGTTGGCCTTGAAAAGTGTCATATAATTTGAAGAAAAAGATAGGCATTGCTATATAATTCCCTCTGCCCCCCCCCCCCCCCCCCCCTCTATAACATAAATTATTCTTAATCATACAGATCTGGGTCGTGTAGGTTTGATCAATAAACGATGAGCCATAGGGTGGTATTCCGGTAGCGCGTACTAAGTTAGCGCGTACTTAGTTAGTTCACACTTTTATGGAGTGCCTGTTGCAAACTAATTTACCCTGTACAGATTATTTTAATCCTTCAATGAAAAGTGTCCAAAAATTAATTTTGCAATGAAATGGGAAGAAAAAGATAATATGAGTATGAACTGAATTTCAACAAAGTCTTTGGTAGATTATCTTTGTCATGAATATTGAAGGAGGAAGATGAAACCTAGCATTCCATAGAAGTGTGAACTAAAATTCTTGTTTAGTCTGGACTTAGTCCCGGCTTAACTTATGAGAATACCACCCATAGACTTTTAAAGCTCAATATTAACCTTACAATCAATCAAAAGACTTCATAATACACGCCCCTGCTCAGTACAATAAAACTGCTCTTTATGAGAGCTTTAGAATGCATTACTCAACACAAATTATATGGTTAAGGGTTCCATAAATTGAGATGATTCAATTTCACTATAAATTGAGATAACAATAAAATACAATGAAACCTAATATATCGTCCTTGTTTTCACGAAGTGACGGTAGTGAGGAAAATCGTCACGCAAAGTGAATGCAATTTGTTTTCACTCCCGTCACTTCGTGAAAACAGCGACGATATGTTTAATTTTTGTAACATTAATATATTTATTTAAAATGAATGATTTGTAATCTCACCTTCTACCTGGGCAACTTTTATTCAAGAGGTTCAGAAATATGCGGCAGTCCTATAAAACAATAAAAACAAAATATTGTCACAAGCAGTTCAAATACAGAAATCAAGGGATCTTTAGCTCGATATGATAAACTAAGGGTTGATCATTTGGTGCGTTTAACATCCGTTTTCTGGCTTAAAATCAGCGTTTTCAAACATGTTTCAGGCAAATTTGCATAGTGATAAACGCAAGCCTGTTTTCAAACGTCTTTAGATATGGGTATATTGAAACGCTGAAAAAAATTGTGTTTTGAATGTGAGAATGAGCCACAATAACGTTTAATGAGAGATGATAAACGCAAAGCTGTTTTGAAACACACATACATATCAGACCTTCCCAGGCTAATGTCTGGTTCAGAGAAATAGCGCACGCCATGTGCGGTGGCCTAGTTGACTTCCGAGCAACGCTCTGCTTCACGGGTCAAATGGCGCAAAGCAGTTGCGCAGAGACAAGGCCTTTATTTTTAATTGTGACGAGTTGATAAACGCGACATCCCACAAATCACTTTCGTATACCATAGTGGGATTCGATATGTATGTATAGAAACGCTGTTTCTTACTTTGCAAAAGATGATAAGCTCACCCATGGATACATCATGGCTTCATAGATGTCTTGCGAACACAGAATCAGATGCACTTTTTTATATGCTCAAAGGAAGGAGCTACATTAAGTTTGCATAGATACAAATCAAAGATATGATAAAACAACCTATTGATAATAATGAATCTTACTGAATCAAACTGCTGGTCATCGATGGCTAAAAAAGCTTCACTGATGGTCCCTGAAGGAAACCATGCAGGAGACCTTCTCTTGCGTTCACTTTTCGTCACCATTCTCGCCAAGGATTCTGTGACTGCAATCTGCATCTCAAAGTCACCCGCTACTGGTAGAAATTCAGCTAGATGCTGCCTATATACAGTGAGATGTAAACATAGAAGAGTTGTCGAAAAAGGCAAAGAATGATATGTTGTGATCGAGTGGACATCTCACCGGACTGGATCACAAGGTCCGCGGTTCAAGTCTCGCCGCGGCACTAATGTCCTTTGGCAAGACATTGATCTACATTTTCCACTCTCCACCCAGGTGTTAAATGGGACCCAGTAGAATGCAAAAGTTAATGTGGTTGGATTAGCAAGTGGCGCTTGTAAAATGGTGAATGGCTGGAATGCTCCCCAGGGAGTGGAAAATGTGCATACATTGTGTTGCGGGTAAGCCTGAATTTATTTGACTTTTCAAAAGTTCTGGAAAACTTCATTTTATTAAAACAGTCATGTATTTCATGTCTCCTCACAAATTTTTGAAAGATATAAAATGAGCTGTAAAGTAAAAGTGATTATTAATGACACAGAAGTTGCTTATACTTTAAATTGACTTACCTGGTTTACTGTTTGGTAATATCCAAAACTACAGTATTAATACAGTGACAGATTTAAGAATACACAGTCCAGACGCATATATGCCGTTAGGTTTTGGCAAGTTCTTTTGGAACATTCAACATTGCCAATGCCATGGTGATGAGATATCGCATCCTTACATCATAGCATTTCAAAGAAATATAACCCGTCAAAATAAGTGATCTTTCCACAATTTGGGAAGCTCTGAAAAAATGTTAATAATTCTGAATAGAGACTAGATATGGAATATGATATAGATATGATAATTGAATGAGCTTGTAACATTGTTGATGCCACAGTGAGTTATCCAGGGGTGTTAGTGAGCACTTAATTTTTTTTTAAAGTTGTTTTTTTCCTTCAACCATGCCCCCCTTGAGTAAAAAAAATTGGGAATAATAGGGGAAAATAGGGAAGAATAGAGAAAATAAGGGGAAAATAGGGAAAATCAGGATAAAAGCGGGAAGAAAAAGAAAAATCAGGAAAAAATCAGGAAGAAAAAAATTGCGAAACCGATTTAAATCAGGTTTTATCAAGCCGGGCTTTCATATTTCCTTACATAAGCTTTGCTATGACGGGATCTTCACCGACCCAGGTCAAGTCTTCATCTTCACATCCTTCTAGCAACAGGTTCAAGGTCCTCTCCGCCTAAGAATATGAATCAATACCAGTTAACCTTGCTTTAGTGACCACCTGTCTATAAAGACCACTTTTTTTGGTTTCCCTTGAGCAGAGTTTCTAATTGAAATCTGTACTAAAGGAAGCTACATTTAAAGACCACCTGCTCATAAAGACTGATTTTCTTGTCTCCTTTGAGTGGTCTTTATATACAGATTTCACTGTATCAAATTATTCTATTCATATTTCTTCAACAAATGCCACAAAAATAACCTACACTGTACTACATTGCATTCATCATGGGATAGATACCACAGGTTTCAAGATTATTTAATTTTTTCCGGGCATGATTTATTTATATAGGTGTTAAAAGGGTTGTCATGGTTTATTAATTGTGCATTAATACCTGTAATACAGAGCATTAATGAATTGAACTAAGTTTCTGTGAAATATATGAGGACTAACTTAATGAAGTATGTAAAACTATTAAATAAAATAAAGTTTTTGGTTTTTCACTCATAAAGAATGATCAGGTTTTCATCATTAATCACGAATTGTCGATACAGTTGAAATCTTTACCTCCATTCTTGTATGGAAAATTATTTTACTGTTGATAACAAGCTTGATCAATCTTGCACAAAAGGCTTCCACTTTTAATTTTCTTGCTGCTCCACTGTATTCAGCAACATCCTATAAAAACAAAATGAAGATGGGAGGGCTGACATTAACTATATGATCACTGAAGTAAATACATGTACATGCAGGATTGTTTTGTTTTTATAGGATGTTTGTTCAATCACAAAAGTCATAAATAAATATACACATGACCACTGCACTATATATACACAAATATTTCAGAACTGTAATCTATGATGAAATGTTGTTGACATAATTATGTAAAAGCACTAAAAACTATGATTGCATTTCACATTATTTTGTTGTAAAATCCATTGGAGAAAGATAAAACTTCCATTTAAGATACTTTTCCAAAGGTTTTTTTTTTTTAAAGCTGTTCAGAGTGAAAATCTATAGTAGTGAGAACTGGTCATTGCAATACAGTTGCCCTAGCTGAAAATTCTGTTTGTGGTGTTTAAAAAGGAAAGTAGATTGGTTGTTTGACAGAGGAACATGGAACAAATCAAAACTCACAGGCTCATAAGACTGGCTTAATAACATATTTAAATTGTATGCATACTTTTAAAGAAAAGTTGTTATTGACAATCTGAAAACTTGAATGAGGCTTGCCCAATATAGCAAGAAATAAATTATGCAGACTGATTTCAAGTTGTAGTTCATTCATTTATAACAGGTTAATTATGGAATTATATGTCACTAGGTCCCTGGGAAAGAAAAATCCATAAATTTCCATACATGTATGTTAGTACCCAGGCCTATTCTCTGAAAACATATGGTCTAGTGTTCCAGATGTAGTGGTGGAGATGACTAGTTAAAAACCCTTTTCTTTCTGTGCTCATTAATTATTCACATAATACATTTCTACCCAATGTAGAAATGTATTATGTATTTGTTGCCTTGGCGATGAAATATGGAATAAACTCACTAGATCAAAAATGCATGTAAGTACACGATGGCTTAATCAGATGATCATTTAAACATGCATTTATGATGGGTTTAATACAAATATATTTTGAGCTTAAAAATGAAAGGACCTTTTGAAAAAGCTCACTTTATCAAAGCATTTACTCACACTGATTACTACATTACCATTCGATTCCAAAGTTATTAAAACTGTTTGAAACAAGTACTGACATTGATAGTTTCAAACAAAACTACCATCAAAAGATCATTTAATCTGTTAAGAGTCGGAAGGGCTTTTTACCCTGTACAAGTATATTAGCTTGTTTTATATTTTAAATATTCATTATTATTATTGTCAATTTTGTTATAAACTGGTCAATTTTTTAGATACACATACCCTTTTAATTCTGAAGTTACCTACAATCATTATTAAATATTGTACTCATGAGCTTACTTCAATTTATATTAAAATGTGTAATAATTTGATTGTAGCACATTGTTATTCATACATTTATTTAACTAGACCAGACCTGTCAACCTCTGGAGTTCAAAAACTGTATTCTTTAATCCCAAAAGTTGTATTTTACGGAAAAAGTTGTATTCTTAAAAATAAACACGGACTGTTACGCGGATCAATGCGTCTTACAGTTCCTATACATACAGGAAGAATTTTTTTAGTGGATCATTGGTTGAATATGCATGATTTCGTCACGACTGTTGGTTCGATAAACCAATGAACATCCCCAAATTGCAGATGTGAGATGCTTGAAGGATACTTTACAGGACAGAATGGGCATTTTGCCATTGAAAATGGCACACACACACAGAAAATTTTAAATTTTAAAAAAATATAAAAAATAAAAAGTTTAAATTTTTTTTTTTAAAGTTTGTTTGTTTTGTTTTGAAAATCGTATTTTATTGAGGAAAATCGTACTGTCGTATTTGTTTCTAAAAATCATACAAAGTACGACTAAATCGTACTGGTTGGCAGGTCTGCTAGACCTGATTTTTTTTTTTGACTGTGTACATTATTTCTACCACTGGTATCTATCTGTTTGCATTTTTATTTTTATTTGAAAGCCAACCCCAAGTTTTGGTTGCAGTAAAGAAATAATGATAACAAGAAGCTGAGCCTCTGTGTATACTCTGTAGATCAGGGGGGGGGGGGGTGTTTCACAAAGATCCTAAGTCAAACTTAACTCTGAATTAGACTTCAAAATTGTGGAGAGCCATTTGTAGCCTAAAAATAAAATATAGTCAATAGTGAAAATTTAAATATTTCAGACTTTTTATAGATTCCACATAACGAATGTGGAATCTCCTTGATAATAGAAATCATGAATAATTTGAATCAACATTTTATGCCTTTTAAAATAACTTTTAAAAAAAAATTCATATATGTTAAAAGCTTTCCATAATTGTTAAGTCCAACTTAGAGATAATTTCAACTTAGGATCTTTGTAAAACACCCCCCCCCCCAGTGATATACTCACATTGATAGTTTCGAACAAGACTTCCATCAAATGATCGGCTTCGGGACGAGCTTCTCTTCCATTCTGGGAAACATGTCTCTTGGTCTCTTCAAACACAAACACTGAAACCAAAACAGTGCATTGTAAAATAACTTGCACTTTTAAGAGTTATAGTAGATATTTTGAATGAAAGTGCCAGTTCGATTTTCTTCACTATTAAAATGAAATTTAGAAAATAGGCATTTAAACAGTCACAAAAGTCTTAGCCATTTAATAGCTACTAGGAGTATAAAACATGTATTTACCAGAAGTAAAGATAATTTATTTACCTGTAGTAAAACAAGAAATCAAGACAAGGCTATTACTAGTAAAGTTTATATACAATGTTTGATCTTGTAATCTGAATGTTTTCCTTTCCAATGGTACACATGAAATCTAATCACAGTCAGTATTTTTTTTATTATTTAGAAGTTTTCTCTTCTTTTTTCCTGTGGTCTGTTGAGACTCGAGAGCCGGAAAAACATTAATTCTGTGTTCAGCTGTACCTCTCAAGGAGAATTCAACACCATTTGTGTGTTTACCCAATAATGGGTGTTGTCAATCACCAGGATTAGCATTCAGTTTTATGACCAACAAGATTTATGTATAAGGCCTAAAAAAAAAAACTTGTTGTATTTCCCTTTGGGTGCCAAAACATGGGTCGGTCGGTCAGAATTTTTTATTTTTTTTGCCCTCTTTGGGCCGATATTTTTCAGATTTGAATTTTTGGGCTAATATTTCTCAGATTTTAATCATTCCAAGTTGATATCTTTTTCACCTCATAATTATCCATGGTTTGCACGAGTGAGAATTTTGGAATAGTTTGATTTTATGCATTTATATCCCATTTAAACAAACAAAATACAAATGTTTTATTCATTAATAAAAGAAAATCTAAAAAACGGTTAAATTAAAAAAAAACTTTTTTAAAATGCCGACCGTAGATTTTCAGATTTTTGGGTCGGTCGCAAAGGGCAATACAACAAGTTTTTATTTTAGGCCTAATGCTCTACATTTTCCACCGATCTCTCCATATCAAATCATTATCTTACATTACCTCACAAGAAGAATCTCTGAGGGACTAGGGGGTATTTCTTGACGGGACCACGGGTTGCTGTGTGCGTGACTTGTACACCCATTAATTTACACAAAGTCTAGTGACCTACTGCACATGGAAACTGACTACATCTCCCTTTAACCCCTTACTAGCTCTAAACAGATGACATCTCCTTTTTTTATCTGTACATTTACCTAGCATTTCAGTGAGTCCGTTGTCCAAGAGCACAGAGAGATTGTCTGACTCCCCTTCCTGTGTAGAAACTGCGATGTGTTTGATGACCAACACCATGATTTCAACCTGCCAGAACCTCTGGCATGGCAGTTGCTACAACAAATAGAAAGCAACAAAAGCATTATTCAGAAAGAGTTGAGGATTCAAAAAGCCATCTGAGATAATTTACTTCTGCCACAACCTCTGGTTGCTAAAGGGCAGGTCCAAGCTATTTGGATTGTGACATACAGGACATTCAGAGACTTTAAACAAGAAATAACAACAGATGAAATTAATTAAGCACATTAATTACATTAAAAATTAATTAAAAAATTAGTCAGAACTAAAACTTTCCACAAATGAACTAGCCCATACTAGCTACAGACTCATACCAAAAGATAGCCATATAAATAATTTCATCTGTTGTTATTTCTTGTTTAAAGTCTCTGAATGTCCCGTACGTCACAATCCAAATAGCTTGGACCTGCCCTACAACGAAAGAGATAAAACCTGGCGTTCTTCAGCAAATCATCAGCACAACTATCTTTGTTCATAAACTGTTACCAGAACACGCCAGAAATATTGGCAAGGCAGTTACTACAACTAAAAAGAAGCACAATTTAGCGATCATCAATGCAACATGGACCAAACACTATACCTTCCTTAATCTCCTAACCCTAAAATTAAGATAAAACACAACTCTAACCCTAACCCTATCTGTGATGAAATAAAGCCTAGGGCATCGTTTCACGACACCCTCATATTAAAGTACAAGCTCTCCGTCATCCCATTGAACATGTGTATTATGCTTTACACGCATTTGAATAGGCTGTTGGCAAGTATCGTGAAACAATGCCCAGAGCAATTGTCACCAAACGCATTTGAATGGGTTGTTGGCAAACTTGTACTTATGACAGTATCGTGAAACAATGCCCAGAGCGATAAGCAGATCACCAATGCTTTGGGATTTAATATAATACACATCATAACACCAAACTATACATACTTCTTGTATGGTGGTGATCAGTTTCCTCATCATTTCCACACTGCATGTCTGTTCACTGGGTTGATCTTGGCTGCTCCCTTTCAGATCTTGTAGCGTGCTCTCGATGCGTTTGAAGTAGGAGAGACCATGCTGGTCGCAGAGCACAGCTGCCTCCAGCTAGTGAGAAAATGGAGGGGTGCATGGACAATCATTACTTCAAATAAAAAGAACTTCAAAAAATGCTTGTGCACTGTAATGGCAGCCATGCTAAAGCCAGGGTAATAATAATGATGCGCCAGGAGTGGCAATGTGCAGATATGAGCGCTATAAAAGACTCCACAACTATTATTATTATTAATACACTTTATATCAATGAAGTTTTACTGTGACAACATGTGCTGTTATACAAAAACCTACAGAATTTTGATTAGATGACAATGAACTAGAAACAGGTTCCAGTAGAATATGTTAGTTAGAACAGAGTTCTACCTAATTAGGTGAATAAAAATATCATGTTAGAAAAATTGAAATATTTTCAACATTTGTAAAATCATAATACAATAGATAATTATTTTGTTAATGTACATATACATGTACATGTATATGGAAATAATAATAAAAATGCACTTTCAAAAAATCATCCTTAACAAAAAAGTCCCAGAGAAAGTTGGTAACTGGCCAGAACTGTCCCATCAGCAATCATGGACAGTGTAAAATTTGGAATGATATGAAAATTGTCATTATCTGGCTTGTGTATTTGACGCATTACATGAGGAATAAAAGAGTGATTTCCTTTAATATTCATTATTTAATTCATCTATTCTATGTGCTTTTACCATGATTTTTATTATGGATATGTGGACAAGCAAATCTAAATTTTTCCTCAACATCTGCAAATTTCTAAATTTCCTTTGATTTTTTTCTTCAACCACATGCTATTATTCAACGTTTGTTTCTTCATCAAAATTGTTAATTTTGAAATCAATGTAAATGGTTTATAAATTATGTAAAAATAATGTGATAACAATTTGCAGATGTAATGTTTCAGTATAAATGATAGAGGCCTTTATTTAGTTTATTATCATCTGACATGGTGAAGTACCAAATCATAACATCTAAAGAGTACAATGTCATGTACTGTATACGGTTACATGTCTGAAAATCAACACTGCATAGACCACTTACCATTGTTCCAGCCTTGTATGAAGTAGTGCTAACTGGCATTTTGAAGAGCCCTCTAGTATATCGAGCTACAAAAGTGAGGTGGCGAGTCAGAAATGGGTTGTGCAAATATCAGCACCTATGAAGTGGTAAAAAAAATACAAATAAAATATAAACTGATATGATAATAGGTCCTTAATTATCTTTGGAAAGCAGGGAAGTATCGGTAGCTAGAGCATTTCACCAGCCCTCCCCTATATACTGTACTGTAAGTGCATGAAAATCTGTTAGTAGGGTGTCTGAACGATTTTTCAATTTTCAATTTGGGATCGTTTTTCACCATTTTTGTTTGATATTTGAATAAAAAATGATATCAGAATAATACATTTCAAATTTCAAGTCTCACCGATGTTTCTATCAAAAGTAACAGCCCCTCCAAAACGCTGGTATATTATTATCATTTTGGTCAAAATCGACGAAAAAGACGTCCACGCAGAGTGATGTTGTTTTGCTAAATTTAGCCAAACAGCTGTATCGCGCGATATGCAAGCGTATGCATATTGTACGCATGCTGCTAAGCCAATCCGCGACTTGCAGCTTGAGCTACGCTGTCTCCGCGACATGTGCCATTGACTAGTATGGTTGGCGTTCGTCGCACAAAAAACTCGGAAGTGAATGCACGTTATAGTCAATGGCAATATCGCGGAGATGTCTCCGCGATATTGCCATTGACTATAACGTGTATTCACTTCCGGGTTCTATGGCGGGAACGGCCACCCATACTTTCATTCACTATAAGCGCACATGTTACGCGATGTAACCATGGTTTGGACTGAGCGGAGCTCACGCCTCCCTAATTAGCTGATTCCAAAAATGTGGGAAGGGTATTTTCAAACTGTTATAACAAATGATCCCTTGGGGCTAGCGAAAAAAAAGCATCTGGATATTATCCTTACGTCTAGCCCTGCTTAAGCCGCGGGGCGGCAGCTCAGGAAAGTGGCAAATTTTGGAGCTAGGATGCAAACAACATTTCAATCGCTGTTTTGACCAAGATATTTTTAGAATTCTGGGGGTGGCCCCCGATGGGGAATATGGAGAAAAACCTGCTCTTTCATATGACACCTCATTTATTGAGTTTCACCTTCAGGATCATTTGTTATAAAGGTTTGAATTTCAAATTTTTTCATAAAATCATTGACCAATTTTGGATGGTCGCGCAATGCACGTAGACCACATAGGGAAGCGTACAATCTCTATGGGAAGGGTTTTAGCACACAACATTGGGTGCGCGATCAGACACCCTACTGTTAGTAAATACAGACTCTAGATTAGAATCTTGCCGGCAAATAAGGTGACATAGAAAACTCCTCATTCACTTGCAAGTTGTTACGCCACAGTCAAAGTCGATAAAGGTAAAGAAAAGTCTATAACGTCAAAGTCTAAAGGAAGACAAATTAGGAGTTGATCTAGGCTCTGAAGGTTCTAGATCTAACGTTACACCTTTTTCTTCTTTCAAGAAACAAATTCAATTGATCTAGATCTATGATCTTGGAGATGGTCTAGAAAGTAAAATCTAAAATCTAATATTTTTTTGTTGAGTAGACTTATTATAGATCTAGAACTAGAGGTCGAGTTCACGTTTAGACTAAACTCAAAATTGTGCATCACACTCAAGTCAAGATTAAAAAATGTGTAACTTTAGTATTACGGTCTACTATTTAAGTTTTTAAGTCAGGCTCTCAAATCTAAAGAATTAGATCTAGAATTAGATCTTCTTTTTTTCATCTTCTTCTTGCCCATTGCTTTGGACTTTGTTTCATTGCAGATCATCTAGAATATGCTCCCAGCACCCCCCCCCCCCCTTTCAGCATAAGTCCGGTGTGTAAAGTCAATACGGGCAGATCTTTTTCTTTGTCCCTTCGTTCCCGGAGGGGGGGGGGGGGGGGGGGGTAACGGTAGATATAGTATCAGGGATGAAAGTGAGCACTAAAAAAAAATTAAAAGAAGAGAATTCGCGGGAAAAAAATGAAATCGAACAACATTCCCCCTTTTTGAGTAAGAAAATTGGGAAGAATAGAGAAAAATCTGGAAAAATAAGGAAAATTTGGATAAAATCGGGAAGAAATCAGAAAAAAAAAAAAATCGGGAAACCTATTTAAATCGGGTAATTATCAGGCCTGCTCTGTCCATAAATTTGGCTACATCATGAAGATAGGAACGACTTATTTCGCATGCAGGCACACACATCATACTTGCAATTTGCAAAGACTCTGGGAAGACTTCCTTCAGGCTTCAGTTTTGCGACAACCACCCAAATTGAAAAAAATGGGTAGACTACAGGCACAGCTTAGAATCATGTAGATCTATCTAATAATAATATGATATATAAAACATAATAAATAGGGTTAGGGTTAGAGAGGCTAGATGCCAATAGAAAATTGAAACTGAGTGAAACTGAAGTGAAAGTGAAACTGTGTGTGTGAGCAACGTGCGTGACGTTTTGCTCATTCTTTTCTGACCCCCTCACCCTGGTCCCTGCACAGAATTTTTGTCTCAAACTTAAACTTAATTGATTCTCTTATTTGTAAACTCTATGCTTTTTTTTTAAACCAACTTGACGCCTGTGTGGATTTTTCCTTTCAAGGCGCAAGCGAGGTTTGTGCATATTTGCATAGCCGGAGGGGCTCCGCGCTTGACTCCACCACACAAACACACACCGACTCCAACAACCATCTGCAGCTAGCATGCGCCTGGCCTGGCGCTGCCCGAAACTCTGGCTGTGCTCCTTGCACACCCCGTTGGTTGCGCATGCCCATCCATCACAGCTCGTCTAGCTCCCTTCATCTCACGACAGTCAGCAGTGATACCCACTCAATTTACAAATCTCTTGTTAGACCAATATGAAAAATCATAGTGTATAACAATACAATACATTTACTTTTAACGACAGGGCTAACTTACCAACTCTGCATTTCGGCAAACAATCGGGCTTGAGACTTGACAAGTTCACTCACAATTTTTCATCGCCAGCCATCTTGAGATTATGAAGGCCGTTAACATTTTCGTTTGAGAAAGGTAGATCAATAAATAAAAACTGAAGGGATATGCTATTGAAGTTTTATTTCAAATAATTCTTTATATTAAAAAATCTATCAATAATAAGAAAACATATTTACGAAAAAGAAATAAAGATAACAGTATCTGATAAATCCATATGACTCAAAAGCTGGGTGGATTCTAACTACGCAGGAAATAGCACCCCTATAAAATAATGGTTTAGTCTAAAACTTTGGTCCAATGAAGCGCGCGTACCTTTTGCACATAAAATGTGTTACAGGCGATTGATCGACCGTCTGCAAACAGCCTTCTACTTCTATGGTAATACATCAACGCCTGTTCAGCATCTAGATGAGGGTAATATACAGCTCTATGCGGTCCCGCCCCCCCCCCCCCCCCCCCCCCCCCCCCCCTCAGAGGTCGGAATGACCGCATGCGTGTTGCCAAAATGTCTGGTAAAGGGGTACTTTTCGTGCGACAAAGTCCGGCCCGAGAATTGTAAAAAAAGGGTGTATTTGACTTTTCACCCGGAGATTTCTTTAAAAAGGGGGTGTTTTTCTTTTTTTTTCTCTCATCTCTTTGGACTCCTGAGAAATTATTCCGAATTTAGGGGGGTACATTGAGCATTTTTCCTGATTTAGGGGGGTCTCCAAGGCAGGAAAAGCACGCGAAAAGCCCGCGAAAGGGGGTTCGGAAATGTTGGCAGTCCTCAGATAGGGGGTGCTTTCAAAAAAAGGGTACGAGCATATGCGTACCCTAAATAACACTGAGTGGGGGGGCCGGGTATGCGGTACAGTTCTGATTTGTTAAGAAGATTTGGTAAGAAGGAAATGATATCAAAGGCTCCCATAAATTTATAGCCACCTTGAACTGCTCCTTAGCCCTGCATACAGAAATCATTCAAACAGAGGGGCGGGTCCAGGGGCGGATTCAGGGCGGATCCAGGCCGGGGCGCTTTTTTTCCCCTTCCGATCAAAAATAGCAGGAAAAAAGCCAAGAAATATTCACATAAATGTTCGGTTAACGCATTCCGAAATAGTATGAGCATCTTAAAGTAAAGGCTTGGCACTCGCGGAATTAAAAAGTCGTACATTTTACGCCCCCCCCCCCCCTTGGATTATCCTGGATCCGCTCCTGCACTTTTTATGTATTTTTAATACAACAATATTAAGAGGAAATTAGGATGGTCCCAGGTAAGGCAATCCCTAATCATGATTATTATCAGAAAACAGTGGACAGGCATATAATTTTCCCAAGGGGCACTTTTCGGGAATCTAGCGACTCCTTAGGTCCTTCCAGATTCACCGTCGCGGGCGAGGAAAGGAATGCAAATAAACTAACCACCCCGACCTCCTTCTTCTTATGTGTCTTACTTTTTAATTATCTCTCACCAGCTCAATTTTTCTCTTTTCCAGTAAGAGCGCGGGCGACGTTTTGCTGAAGGGATCCGACTGTACAATGCCAGATTAAATACCCAAAGAGAAGGTAACATGAAAGATCACTAGTACCGGTATTGTATACCAGTAGCGGATCCAGGGGGCCCGGGGGCCCGACCCCCCCCCCCCCCCCGGAAAAAATGTGTATTTTTACATTTTTTAACGTCAATTTTACCTTTTAACTTGAGGGTCAAAAAAAAATAGTGCTCACTCCTTCCCCCCCCCCCCCTGCCAATGCTCATTTCTGACTTATACGAACTACGCATTTTATCGCATTAAAAAAAAAAAAGGATTATTTGAAATTTTGAACAGAATCTTCTTTTTCCGGAATTTGTTTTTTGTTCCCTCAGCCTCATTACTTCTTTCAATGATTCGCTTCATCTTAGCCTGTACTTATCTTTGCTTATTAAAACCAATACGTCGTTTTCATGAGAATATATTTAGATGCATTGGTTGGGGCTGCATAAAGTCTTTCCCCCCCCCCCCTCCCACATACACACAATCTTCCTTTTGTTGAAAACAGTGGTGAGAGGTGGCACCTGAGAAGGACAAAGCCCCCATCCACCCCTCCACCTCTCTCTCTCTCTCTATCCCTTTTCTCTCTATTACTCTCTTTCTCTCTCTCTCTCTCTCTCTCTCTCTTCTTTCTCTCTCTCTCTCTCTCTCTCTCTATTTACCTTCCCCCGATCAAAAATTTTTACTTTCCAAGTTACCAGTCAGCTTCTGTATTATAATTGTGAACGACGGTGCCGCCACTGAATTATAATTATAATCGCTGAATAATAATCGCCCACGCCCCACCTTTTGTACCCATATTACATGTTGGGACATCTTCGTTAAAAAAAATCATTGTAGATTACCAAGCGAGTGATAGCACATGCCACTTATACTCCACCTGTAATTGATCCCATATGGTCGATGAAAAAAATAATTTATGCTGGTATATGCCTGTCATGTGGGCCTTGCTAATATTCAGCACTATATTACTTTTATGCCGGGGAGATCAATATTGAAATACACCGCATGAGAAAGAAAATATGCACACACATTATAACAACGTGCCTCCCCTTACTAGTACACTCCAGTCAGGTGGTGGGTTTGGATGTGTGGTACCGGTATGAAGGGAATAGTATACATGCCATTGTTATAGTCATGCAGTATCATCTCTGGAAACTATATAAGACTGCTGTTCAGCAACCAATACCAAATAAAACTTCGTGTTATCCGTGTTGAATACTCGTCGTTTGTCAAAAACGACAGGTCTAATTTGTGGGAATTCTGTTGGACGATATTCTTCGGATCTGGAAATAGGTGGATCCTGTTGCGGATCGAACTCAGCTCCGTATTGTACCGTTTCAAAGGAATCCGCCACCTCCTGAGCTTTCCTCCAAAAATACAACCCTTAACGATGACCGTGGAATTAACGAGCATGTCTTCAAAATCGTAACATTTATGAAATTCTTCGTGACAACTTTACTCTTTGATTTGAGAAAAGAAGCAGAATCTCAATCGGATCTGTAAAACTCTTAACCCGGAACGGATTCGGGCATCATTCATTCGCCATTCACAGTGGTTCGCTTTTGCACAACGATTTTCTTTCTCCATAATTATTCAAGAAAGATCCGAGTTCGGATGTCATTTACTTTAGATACACCGAGCAGATTATGCACCAACAAATTTGTTATGATGCCATTGAAATGAATACATTAGTTTTGTGCAAATGGATCTCGGACAAATTGTACTAAAAGCAGTATAAAGACTTTCGATGGATTTCGGTCGACAAGGAATTTTGAGGGATTCTTCGATAAGGGATTTTTCTTGACTCAAGTGCTATGTTTTGTAAAAACCTGAAAGCTACTAAAGTAATTTGTTTCATTCATAACTTATGAATGATCTCATTTTCACCTGTGATGTTGAAGTACGGTACACTTGAGAGATGTACCTTTCAGTACATTAACTATTTCTAACGTTTTATTCTTCATAATATGCACCCAGATCGGCCTTGCTTTCTAGGAAAAACATATAACAGTTCAACTTAAGGCCTATATTTGGAATAACATGGATTATGCCGGTGGCTTATTTTATTGCTCTTATATCCTGGCAAGTTATAGCGACGTGTGAGGGTAACGAAATGTCACTGGGGCTGTGAAACACTCGGACTTTATTCCTCAACTTTGTCTGGAGATCCATTGGATGCGGGATTGGATGTGATCAAACTTTCATCGATAATAGGACAGTACTTTCAGGGTTACAGTATCTGCCTTCATACTTTGTAGCGGAGTATTTTCATAATTATTTTCTTCTTCGATCTACGCAGCAATCATGCTAATAGACACAGCACCTCCCTTTCGAACAAAATAACACCTGGTTCCCCAGGTCAGGCTTAAATAAATCAATTGAGTCTAGACCACTTCACGCACCTGTCGATGTTTATATACAGCGTTAAGCAGAACAGAAGCATACATTTGCATATAGCAAAATGTCGAGATTTTCTTAACAATCAATTATACACTCTCTTGATTGGTATGACAATTGCGAGGGCATTGCTGTGCCTTGCTATTCGACTTATTGGAGCTCGCAGCTGACAAGAACAATGACGAAAATATTTGAGGTGATACTGAGGCTTTTGTCTCGGCATTTCGCCTTTCTGCGGATCTACCAGGCGTACCTTCAGCGCACGAAGCGGACAATTTCCACGGAAAATCTTTTAGCGACGAGGGATTGTGATTCAGAGACGTTTGGCCTCAAACGAAGAAGACATACCGACTGTGTGATAAAGACCAGAGAATATCACTCAGCAGAGGTATATTGTCGAGATTCAAATAAGAGGAATAAACCAGTGGGATTGCAGAGTGCCTTTATTTTAAAAGGAGATACTGAATTTCAAATGGAGGAGTCGATGGTGAATACAAACTTTAGGATCATAACGCATCAGCATGCGTCAAGGACAACATACCACTGTGTCTCGGATAATAATAATGATACTGTTTCAGTGAGGCCGCGAGATCTTCTTACGGACGACTTTCAGGTCGAAGGTTTGATCGGCAGCGGTGGTTTTGGATCGGTGTTTGTTGGGAAGTACTGCGGTCGACGAGTGGCCGTCAAGGTGTTACGACCACGCCGGAAAAACGCTGAAGCCATGCTGCAGAGCTTTCGCGCAGAAGTCAACGCCCTGTACTTAAAGCATGAGAACATCGTCAATGTACTAGCCACAAGTGCCGTAGAGGATTTCGAGGCTGGTGCTTTTATCATCATGGAGTACGCGGGGAAGAGGAATCTACAGCAACTGATCAATGAACCATCCGAAAGGTTACCGCTGGCACGCCGTGCAAATTTTGCTCTTCACATCATCCGTGCCTTACAATACACCCACGCACATAACATCGCCCACTTGGACGTCAAACCAGCAAATATCATTGTAGATGATTATGACGTATGTCGCTTGTGTGATTATGGATGCTCTCAGCAGGTCTTTGGGTCAAATGGCAAAGGTCTTCGAAGTCCTACGAATCGGTCGTACTTGACCGGCACTTGTGGGTACCGCGCCCCGGAGCTCTTGTGTGGTGACGCGCCGACGACCAAAGCCGACATCTATTCGTTTGGGATCACACTTTGGCAGATGCTGACGCGAGAGACGCCATACGCTGGGGAGAATCATCACGTCGTCATTTTCGGCGTCGTCGCCAAGGACATGCGCCCGAAGCTTCCCGGCAACGAGAACGAGACGGAAAACGACTGGTATCGTCGGCTCATCACGAAGGCCTGGCCGAAGCAACCCGAAGACAGACCGACTGCCAGGGAGTTACTGAAAGAGCTGGAGATGCGACTCGGTGTGGACGACGTCGCTTGAACGATTGTGCCGGCAGCCGAACTCCCATCTACCAGTTGGTGAATGTCAGCTATTGATGGTTGAAGTTTGGTGCTCCAGAGCAATATTTTATCGTCGCATCTAACATCCTTGAGATGCCATCTTTGGCTAGTTGCAGTTCATCCGGTGACATCTATTGAACTGCCCATTGTCGTCAACCGCGATTTGAGTCTTCAAAATACTATAGGTTCTCCAACATACTTGCGCAGGTCTATACGTCTAAAAACATTTCTTATCGACGTAATATCTTTTTTATTGTGATATATCAATCGATTGTACTAATGACATTAAAGGTCCCCATATTCAATGATATTCATTTTCATTAGCTAATCATTCTGAGTTTTTAATGATATCACCCTTCCTTAGCAACTGCCATATAGTACCCTATAAGTATAAGTGATACATTACGCTTCTCTTTCGAGAGTTTTTAATCGTTGTTATTTGTGAAAAATCTAAAATTTGTAGTTAAAATCGCTAATGGATTCAATCGATCAAACAAGCAGGCGCCGGCAGATTGAGGCGAATCCGGGTATATCTATTTCATGATTATCGTGATGATGAATACAAAACCATGACGTCACAATTAGGGTTGGTTTTCATGAACCACTTCAGTAAGTGCCTCAGATTTAATTGTGATAATGACTAACATGAATAATTTAATGTCGAATTCCCTGATGTTCTTCTATATAAAGATAATGATGTTACCAGTGACTACTGTATTTAAAATCAACTAGTAGAGGCACCCCTAAACGCTATGAAATATCAACACGTTACTCTGTTTTGTAAATCTGTCCTTTGAATTATACAAATATTGTATTCAAAATTATGTCTTCCTGAGGTTTTAAGTCTTCCAAAATCGATTATCTCTCGAGCATTTGTCTTATGGTGGTCATAGGTCTTCCAACTTTCTTTTCCAACACCATTTCTTGCAGTGTAGGCACTACAGCAGATCACTTTCGTGCATTTTTAAAATCTAAATAGTAGAACCCGATGTCTGCCCATGCTTAATCGTTTACTCTCTCATTCATTTTCATATCTCACTTTAGAGAGATGCTACTTACAGTAATACTACTTTGTCTACTTATCTTTTGGTATCAGTATAACACATTTGTTTTTGTATCTGTTCTTCTGAAGAGGGATTTTGAGGGGGAAATGTTTTCTCTATGCAATATATCTGAATAATCTTTTAAATCGACCCTTTATCGAAAGAAAACTCATGTGTTTTTGAACAATAATTCCAGAGCAGATTTCAATGCAAATCGAATTCAAATTCAATACAATGATCGGTTTACTATTAAATAAACTATGCACAAATTAAAACCTTTCAATAATACATCAACAGACTATCTGCTTGAATTGAACAAAAATATTGACAGTTGTGAGCAGCCCTCTTCCCCGGGGACTATATCCTAGGTCCTCAACATAAAAATCAATATTACGATTTGCATAGTAATGCGTGAAGCAATCTATATTTTTAACATCTCGTTTTATTTACAATTGAAGGACGTGTTGTTTTCAATTTCGTCTAAATTGTCGTTTTTATACCATATGTGTATACGTATAATCTATTCAATGAGGAAAAAAATGAAGAAAAAAAATGAAAAAAATTCTTAATCGTAAACAAATATTTCCCCGTTAATCATGTGAAAAATGTTGTTATTATACTTTTGAGAGATTATGCGATGTCAAATTTCTCGCTTAAACAATATGTCATCTTAAAATGTTGTCATGGCAAAAGTAAAACGAGGCATGCTAATTAGAATTGTGGTATATATAAGGTGTGAAGCTGTCAGAAGGGCTCTAATGGTGATTTCCAATTCCAAAACTATTGGGACATTGGTATAAAGCGCCCTTCTGCCAGGCTAACATCTTTGAATGTAGTCAAGGTTTTTTCTTCAAAATGGTTGGTTTGTTTCTATAATAAATTGTCTATCATGAGTTAAGATTCTTTTGACAGAGATTGAGTACCCACAAGGAACTTGGTTCGAACCTCGTCCCCATTTATAGTTTGAATTTCAAGCCTTCAGTCACTCCAAAGCTATAGTCCGCTAAACACTCATGCCCATCTGAGAGTGACATTATACCCAGCAAAAGTGGCATTCGTGACATTAAGATAGATTACTGGTTAAATCAAGTTGTAAAGACCTATTTTCTTGACAGTCTTTTGGGTTATCGCAAGTAACGATGGAATCGTGTGCAACGTGAAATATGTGTATATGATTATAATGAACTCAATACACGCGATGAAGGATATGAATAGTGCTTATACTTTTTTGTCCTGGTTTGGTCATGTCTACACGTTCTCATATTCTGACTGGTATAGTGTTACATTTAATAGCGTTTTGCTTTCCATATACGACGTGACCATAAGATGTGTCTATACGGTATGTTCATGGGATGTTGGCGCACGATCTTCCATACGATATCGGACATCTTGGGATACGATCTTCATTCGTATGGACATACCCTATGACATGTAAATGGTAAAAAATTTAACTTGATAACGTCAACTCACATGATGTTGTCCATACGACGTGAAACATTACGTAGACTCTCATTTCGTAGACTCTCATTTCGTATGGACACACCCTATAGGATTATACACATGATTCAATTATGAAACCGGTTGAGTCAGAATATAAATGGCCGTGTAAATGTGATTAAACGCAGCTTCTGTATGTATGTAACCTTCCAAATCTCACTATTGCTGGTAGTGGCAGCCTCAGGTTCGAGTATCTTTCCGAGAAACACACTCTTGTAACTACCATGGACAGATGCCAGTTACTTGATAATACATGAGAGAGAGAGAGAGAGAGAGAGAGAGTGGGAGGGAGAGAGAGAGAGAGAGAGAGAGAGAGTGGGAGGGAGAGAGAGAGAGACAGAGAGAGAGAGAAGGAGAGAGATGTATTATGACTGAAACTCTATCACTTTACGTGGGCGAATTTTGGCTCAAAAATTGTCTGATCTCGTTACAAGAGCTATATAATGATATCAAAATCATTTACGCTGGTTTTAAAGGGTATACATAGCAGAGTGTAAAAACGACGATTAACTTTTAATTCTGACGTATCGAAATAATATTTAAACAATGTCATGCTAATTAATACATACTTAATTATTAGCGTAATTCATCATAACTCAATCCAGTGGGAAAAATTATTCTTCAGTATATGTTATTTTGGGGCTTTAGTTCAATCCTTTCCATGGTAACTGAATCGTGTAACTCGGTTTCATTTGACTGTATCATTTATATTGCTTCGGAGTGGCTGATATTATGCAGTTAGGTCAAACACCTGTGTTATTAGATTTTTAATTATGCCAACGAACGATTAGGAATTTTATTTGTATTAATTGTCTCCGGTTTGCAATACCACCATGTCTCTCAGTAAGCTTTTTACACCACTTTAGGGGAAATTACTCTACTCTTATGCATAAATAGGCCTTTATTTGACAGTATTTAATATAACTAGATATTGAGCATTGGCAAATAAGATAAAAATATACGGCAATTCTAAAAGTGAAATCTTTTGCAAAATTATTCTAGAACATGTATTAACGGACGAAGTGCCTTTTTAATCAAAATGATAAAACGTTTGTTCCATACCGTTTTCCTAGTTATGTGTAGTTGTTGTTAAGCTTCTCATGTTTTGTATTTTCTATTGTTTATATTGTTGGCTTTTGTTACACGAATGAGTTTATTAAATCGAATACCATTTTCTATAAAAAGTGTTTGTTATAATTTATTTTGTCTCCAATTTCAGGTACCTTCAAAGGGAAAGTCCACCCCCAAAATAAGTTTGTTTCGATAAAGGCAGAATAATAAGAAAATCAGGTGAGTGAAAGTTTGAGCAAATTCTGAATGAAAATAAGAAAGTTATGAATGATTGAAGTTGTGATCAATCAAATACAAATTGGCAACTCTGTGACTTATTATACGAGCTCTCCTTCATTTGCTTTGTGCATAATATTCCATAAAATCATGTTTTCTTCGTTATTGATGACGGAATATATATTTGTTCCTTGCAGGGGAGTATAGAAACATATTTGCAATTATTATATTTAGGGTGCATGTATGGTTGAAATTTTTCTTGAGGGAAAATGAAAATTTTAGATTTTTTTAGTACTGAGCAAATGGAAGTTGAGCTCGCATGATACGTCATAGAGTTGCCAATTTGTGTTTGATTGATCACAACTTCAAAAATCCTAACTTCCTTATTTTTAATCGGAATTTGCTCAAACTTTCACTGACTTGTTTCTCTCATTTTTCTACTCCTATTAAAACTAACTTAATTTCAGGGTGGACTTCCCCTTTAACTGATATTCTTTATTTCTTGCTCCCTCATATCTATCATATATCGTATATTATAGGAGTAAAATGGGATTGTGACTGAATAGCAAAAAGTATGAGAGCGAAAGAAAGGAATAATGAAAGAGAAAAAAGATGAGCTAATGAACATGTGGAATAAAGAGGGGCGGTGGGTTTCATGAATTTAATTTTAATTTTGAAAATACCACATTTATGTCATTCTTTATAAAAGAATGCATTCATATACATTAATATACTCTTATCCGTTCTACAATGAAAAAAGCGTGAAACGGGACGGGGGGTCTTGTGCCCCATCCCATTAAATTATCAGACCCCCTTACGCACCCTCCCATTAGCCGGTGGCCTTGTTAATTTGCATTTCATTTACCAAGTCGTCCCCTCCCCCCCCCCAATGCTAGTGCTCCTCAGTAGATAGCCCATTGCCACTGCTGCACATACAACAACCAATGACTTCTTTGATACACAATGATCTATTAAACTCAAGAATAGCAACATCGTAGACTCCAGTGCTGTGCTGGCGCCCTTTAGTTCATAGCCATGCAAATCCATCTATACAAGGAGTTTGGTCAACTTGGTTTCCCTTGGTCACAACATGGCGTATATTCTTTTTTGTTTTGTGCTTGCCCAACAAAGCAGTATTCGCCGTATTGTGCCAAACTTGATCCGGGTTGGCCAAACTCTCCTGACCAACGGCTCTGAACATAGTCAGCGGACATAGCAGTCTATGTACAGATATTGAAACTAAATTATTCATACCCTTTGTAAATTTGATTGTGTTTTTTGTCCGTTTTTCGTAAACGAAATGAAAGATGGACTTGTTAAATTGTGACCTTGGTGGAATATCTTTATAATAGCTTTAGTAGGTCACATTTTTAAGAAACACAAATCGGGGCCCGTCTTATAAGCAGTTGCCATTAGTCGCAACTTTATACATAAGTGATATAGGGGCCTGCAAGATCAATCGCAACTCTTGATAAGACAGGTCCCGGGACAACTCAATTGTTCACATACGTTAAAAAATAAAAGTATTGTTTAGGGTATGATTAAATTAATTGTTGCATTATGACGTACATGTATGCTTCGACGTTGAGCCGACATATATGTTGCTTCTTCGACATTTATTCGGGGCTTTATTTTTTCAGAGATTTTCTATGTAGGAAGCAGTGGCGGCGTTTTTTTTTCCCGTTTTTTTTTCATGACCGGGTGGGGGGGGGGGGGCGACAGTAGCGGAACCAAAAAAAAAACGTGTAAAAACACGTTAATTTAAACCTATTTTGGAGATGGGCCCCCACCCCTGGTGCTCAAGGGTGAGGGATTTTTCATATTTTCGAGGGCAAACAAACAACAAATAGTGCTCACTACACTCTTATTTCCACAGCGTCAAATTTCACTCTAAATGGCGTCAGCTGGGAGTCAACTCTATTCCTAGTTAAAGTGACACGGAAAAGGAGTCATCTTGACTCTGAATTGAGTCAATTTTTAGCTGATGCCACACAATCCGAGTCAAATTGATTCGGAATCCGTGTCACTTTAACTAGGAATAGATTTGACTCCCAGCTGACGCGATTTAGAGTGAACAGATTTGACGCCGTGGAAATAAGAGTGTACCCCCCCCCTCCCGCCACCCCTCCCCCACCACCGTCTCCCCTCCCCCTCCCCCCCCCCCCCCCCTGAGCGAATTTTCGGCCGGCTGTTTCGCCGCTAAATATTTTCTCACGAATTGGGCCCCCTCCCCTGCCACCGGCTGGATCCGCACCTGGGGGGGGGGGGGCGAAATGGTAGGGATAGGGAGCAAAGTGAACGAGAGGGGCGAAGGTGCCGGAATAGACTACCCCTCACAGGTTTTTGATTTTTTTGTTGTTGTTGTTGTATTAAACATGGAAAAACTATAGTATAAAAACAAGAAATATTTACTTGTACATTTTGAAGGATATTATGCGAGGGAGCGTAGCGACCGAGTGAGAAGACTTTTGCATTATTATTAGTTTTTGGTTACACTTTTTCAAATCTATCCCCCCTAAAAATATTTAGGAGGGGGCGTGTCCCCCTCCCCCGTCCCCCCGGGATCGCCGCCCTGAGGAAAGGATTGCAACTGCATGGGTTTAGATTAGATTTAGGGTTATGGTTAGGTGCAGCTTTCGGTCCATGCAGAGTTGAAGTTTTAGGAATTCGGTAATTGTACGAAAATTGACGACGGAACAACTAGCGTATACAATTCATTGTCACCAGGCTTTCTCACGATCTAAAATTGTTCAACCCTGTCCTACTTGTGGAAAACGACAGCTGTGTTGTCTTTTTTAAAAACAGTATTGATCCCTTCTCGCCCAACATGTAAACAACCCATGTGTGATCTTCCAGGTCTACGAACTATTAAAAATGCCATGCAGATGAATATATATATATATATATATATATATATATATATATATATATATATATATATATATATATATGTATATATATGATATTTTAAACAATAGTCTATAATGCTTGTTGTAGAATGAATATTCTAAAAGAATATTCTAGCCGAAAGAATGCTGCGTTTTAGTAGAAACTCTGTAATTTGCGTCTCACAAACTGTGACGAAATTTTATGGGGAAAGGTCATTTTCATATACAGCCACTGGTTTATGGAATAACTTGCCAGAATACCTTAGAAATATAGAAACATATATGAACAGTTCAGAAGTAATTTGAAAACATATCTATTTAGCTCTTTTTAATATCTCAAAATAAATATGCATTAATTCCACTCCTTCTGTATGCTGTTCTGTAAAGCGCACAGAGACATGCAGTGTTATGCGCTATACAAAAACGTTAAATTATTATTATCATTATTCTACTCGTATGTCCTCATCAATCCTCTTTCTAATATTCTGTCTCTTCGTTCAGTTCATTCTGAACCTAGAATTGGCCTGGTGCTTTTTCATTTCCATTTCTTTCTTCCCGTCTGCCAATACGATTTTTTTTTAAATCTATTCTTTTATATATCGCTCTGCCTCTGCGTGCCTCAGTTCCTTTTGTGTTTCATAGAATATAATCTGTCATTTCCTTCTTTCTTTCTCTCTCTCTCACTCTCTATTTCTCTCTCTCTCTCTCTCTCTCCCCCCCCCCCCCCTCTCTTGCTTTTTTTCTTTCTTATATTATTCCCTCGCTCTATATCTCTCTTGACACTTTCTCTCACTGCCTCATTATTTAACAAGTCTTGCTGCTTCTCTCTCTCTCTCTCTCTCTCTCTCTCTTTCATCGTCGTTAATTCTTTCTTTCATTTTTTTCTCATTAATTTTTTCTACATCTCTCTCTCTCTCTCTCTCTCTACGATGGAATCATTATTTCGTCTGCATGCCTGTACTTGGAGTGCATGGTGGACCCCTTTTGACCAGTTCATTAGACCAGCAGACAGAGCTATATTATGGCAGTCTTCAGGTGAGGTTATGAAGAATGGTGGGAAGGGGATTTGGAGTGCCGGGGATAATATTATAGGGGGAGGGGCATGTGGGACTTTCTTTTATATTTTTACTTTATCTTGTGTGTCTCGCTTGAAAGTGTATATGGAGGGGGGGGGGATCTTATTATGCTGATAGTAAAAGGAAAGTTGTTCAGGCTCATCGCCCCGAAAAGTTACGCAGAAAACAGTATTCGTTAGCACTAGAGATAAATCTATAATGAGTAGGAGGGGCTCCTTCACCCAAAATTTGATAGCTATATAAATTAGGTCATTAAGCTCTGTCGCAAACAAGAAATTAATTTAATAGAAGAGGCAATATTAGCAGTTGTACGACACTCATTATCCGTTGACAAATCAATAACTAACCGTATTTCTAAGTTAACTTTAACCTTGGACCAACACATACTAACATCTAACACTTACTCTAACCGTAAACCTATAACATAAAACGCATTTACAACTCGAACCTCAACCATATACATCTCTGACGAAATGAAGCCCGTTATAGCAATAGACCAGTTTACTACCATATTCAAATTTTATGCATTTTTAAACAAAGGTTGTTCTAGACAACCCGAAAGTTTGTCGGAGACTTGGCCGACATAGCAACACGTAATGCATGTATACTGGATTCCAAGTATTGTGGTTCATTCATTAAAGAATAACTCGTCACTAAGTCCCCAGGAAAGAAACACCTATAAATTTGAATATCTTTATAGTAAACAGGTCTATTGTCGCCCGAAAATAAAACTATGCATCATTTCAGGTATTATCAAGAGAGAGAGAGAGAGAGAGAGAAAGAGAGAGAGAGAGAGAGAGAGAGAGAGAGCCGGGGGGGGGTAATAATACGACCACGAGGGGGCGCTAAACCACTTACTAGTAAACGGCAGGTTGTATTGAGAGATAAAAATCCTTGATTGTACCTGCCTTGGCTCTGGTACGCAAGACGGTGTCGTAGTTACTCTTAGATTTTTAGGCCAAATAACAAACATAACGAGTTTCTCGTCCAGACTTTTTTTCAAAAAAGGCAAGGCATTACTATTTATCATTTTTCGATTTTTGTTGACATTTTTTTCCAAGAGGGGCTTTTTCTGAATAGTAAATTGTTTTTTAAAAAAAGGAGGCGGACGGGGACGAAAAATTCGTTATTTTTATCATTTGGCCTTACATACTTTTTTTTTTTAATTTTTTTTTTTTTTTTTTACTAGTACTCAATTCATTTGAATTAGAGTTGACTTGTTTTCATTGGTTTCTACCTAAATTTCAAACCTAAAATAGGTTTTTCCCCTATTTTCAAACCATTATCAAACCAAAGTAGGCTTGGCTATAATACTAGTAGGATTCTGGTTTTTATACCTTTAATTTAATCCATATAGACCCTACTGTTTTGATGTGCCGTTTTATTGGTCTACATCCAGTTGGATTGGTTTGGATAGGGAGTGGGTGAGTTTTTGTTTGTATTAAAAAAAAAATATTAACCCTATGCCCTATGCAACCAAGTGGTCCCTGTATGGTGCTCCAATGAGAAATGCATTATTTAGTAGTCAACACTGGCTAGGTTAAAATAATTTCAAATTAAACATTTGTTATGAGTTTGCCTCCCCCCCCCCCCCCCCCATCAGTCCAATTAAGTCATTGAAGTCTATTGGTGCGTTCTAATTGTTTTCTTCTGGTTTTACAGCCACCCCCTTTTTTTTTCAACTGACCGGGCAGTATGTTCGTGGTAGTTTCCAGTGGAGGAATGATTTATTAATTTATTTATTCATTAATTGGAGGCGGGTGTGCCCCCTTAAAAAAAAATCAAAGCGACTTTCAGTCAGTCTACAAGTGCGTAATATATAATGCCCCACCAGTTTTGAGGTAATCGATCTTGGGGTTTTCCCGCTTCTGATCGTCTCACCAAATTTTAGAATTGTTGTGCCTCCTCATATAATAATTATAATAATAATAATAGCTCACATTTATAATGCGCCTAATACTACGTTTCTAGGCGCGGAACATAACGAAATCATGGATCCTTCCCTAGTCTTTTGGTTAATGCACTGTTTCTCACGGTTTGAGAAAATGTAAATGACATTTTGACATGAAGTTATTATTGTTTGTATATTTTATATGCTACCTTACGTTTATATGTTCTTTGTTATTCAGTTGTTATATTTGGAAAAATGCAGAAATCAAATCAAATCAGATCAACAACAAAAAATGTAAAATCTCATATTCGTTTACCTTTTCCTTCACCTCTCCCCTCGCTCTCAGCTTTTTTAAAATATTGTTTTTAATTCCATTTGATTCAACCGAAGGCACACCTCCCAACCCAGTACCCATAGACCATAGTTCTGTACCCCACCCAATTCGATGACCCCACCCTGGCGTTTTATTTTACTTAGTCTTTTTCAAGTCCATGTGAAATTACACTGTATTGTGATTCAAGAATGGACTGTTTAAAAGAAATACTTAAAACAATTTTTTGAATTTAAAGCCATCTAAATATTCAATAAAACTTTTGAAAAATGATGAGTTGTTCTCATTTTACATTTTATATGTTTAAAATGTATAGTGATATTAATAATAAACATCTGGCATTGCACAAAGACTAGAGTGGGAAGGGCATTTTGCATTGCTTATTATTTGGGAGTTGGTGGTAATGCGTAAAAATAGACTGAAATTTGTCATGCAGATTTGCCGACAACGACAACAATTTATTAATTCACTGATGTACGCAGTATTTCTACATTGTTGACGCATTTTATCATCATATTAGATTTAATATCCCTGCATCATGTTCGGAAGAGGGAAGAAAAGTAATAACGCACCGCCAAAATCGGATCAAGTTCGAAAAACGGTATGTTTACACAGAAACGAATGTGTCGAGACTGTCTGTGAGTGTGAGTGAGTGTGAGTCTGAAAATGTATGCAAAGTCTACGTCTAGCTCTGCAACTTGATACCTGGGTGGACTCGACTGCATTATGATAAGCCTTAAACTTAGAGAGAAGGCCACGTTCTGGGAAGAGGTGAAACATAATTTGTGAGCGTTGTCATTGTTATATTACATGTGTGGAAGAAAAGCATGGCTCTTCAACTAAGTTCAAATGCCTTCGTGTTCTAAATGTGGCGTGTAAATTAACAATAACACCATAATTGGAATCCCGAAACGAAAGGCCAAATCTGCAAATCAAATGGGTGACTGTCTCCCAAATAGGCTACAAATAATCTTCAGTCAAGTTCAATGACAGTTTCTCAAATAGGACAGGAGATAGTTTCCCATATTTTTACAGCACATCCCATAATTAGGTAAAAATAAGGGTATGTCTTTTTGAAGCGGCTATGATGATGATGGAGACACTCATGTACTTTCGCACTTTCACTGCGTGTGCTTTATTCCGTCACCATGGTCACACGCATAGGTTTTCTCATTCCCGCTCCATGGACTCTACACATAACTTGCCTGTGATGGAATGAAGCACGCCTGGTGGAAAAGTCCACTAAGACTGATGATGGATGTCAATCTAGCTCATTTAACCCAAAACATTCAGAATAGCATCGATAAGAATAAAAACATCTCATAATTTTTTGTGAGTTTTTAACACAAGTTTAAACTTGACCTGTCCATCATGCAGAACACAGACATGTTTGGCATGCCTGACCTATCGGCCTATGCTGTCAATGCTGAGGTGGGTGTGTCCGATGAGGCCCTGGAGGCCGAGCTAGCCGCCCTGCTCGAAGAGGAAGATGACGACGCCCCTCAGATCACCAGGCAACGAAGACCAGCTCCAGCTCCAGCCAAGCAGAACAAGACAGGTATAAATCTCAGACTGAAGTGACTACACTGGTACCCATTTCACAAAGCATTTTTTTCAATGAAAAATGACAAAAATCAGTGACAAATCTTCTGATAAGCAAGGATTTCACTTGCTTACAACAAAAAACTATCATTTGTCACTGTTTCACAAAATTTTATAAAAAAGGGTACCAGTCACTAAAATTGTTTTGCTCTGTATGTTAGTAGACTCTAGTTCCTTGTTGTAATACTATATTAACAAATATGTGAGCTTGAATATTACATCTGTAAAGATTTTTGCAAGTTTAAGTTTTTTTTATTTTTGCAAGCGTTCGCGCATAGTGCGAGTCTTCCGTCTGGTGTTGTGAAGACGCACCGGACAAATAGCAGGATATTTTGCCAAATAGTGGGATATTTTGCAAACTATCCCAAGATATCTTGGGATGACAATCCCGGCCAAATATCCCGCTAATTGCAACTTCGGGCTGATGAAGACGCAAATTAGCTGGATAGTTTTTGATCGGGATAGTCCAAATAGCGGGATAGTTCAAATAGCGGGATATTTGGCAATCTCAGGCTAGTGAAACCAGGCCTATTATGTATTCTTATCATCACTTGAACTCTACATTTGAACTCTAGACTACTATTTATTTGAATATAGTGAGTTTTGCATCCATGATTTATAATGCTCTTCTTTTCTAGTTGATGCTATCAAACACATTGATGCAATGGCTGCCGAAGCAATGAAGGACATTGATGATGATGATCTCGATGACGATGACGAAGATGAGGATCTCCTACTTGTAAGTGAGAAGCATCAAATATGGTTTGATACAATTTCCAAGATTTAATGGTTTAGCACAACAGGGGGGTGTTTCACAAAGACCCTAAGTCAAACTTAACTCTAAGTTGGACTTAAAGGTTATGGAGAACCATTAGTAGCCTTGAATGAAATATATTAAAAAGCAAAAATTCAAGTATTTTAGACTCGTTACAAATTCCACATCAAGAAACTGAAATCTCTGTGATTATAGAATAAATGAATGATTTGAATCAACATTTTATGCCTTTTAAAATAACTTTAAAAAAAATAATTTAATAGATGCCAGCGGCTTTCCATAATTGATAAGTCTAACTTAGAGATAAATTCAACTTAGGATCTTTGTGAAACACCCCCAGTTGTTGATTCATAGCCATGAAGATCTAAAGAGACATGAGTAGAGAGAGCATATAATTCTCCAGACAGTGTGTCGATTTATGTTGTGCTGCTATGTTGTGTTTGATACCAGGGCCCCATTGCATAAAAGCTCACCATTGATGGTAACTTTGCCATCAATGGTAACTGCTATGGAAACCTTGATTTTGATTGACTGTTGTTCCCTGTTACCATGGTAGTTCCCATTGATTACAAATTTACCATCAATGGTCAGTTTTATGCAACGGGCCCTGAATTTTTCTCAGTGGAAGTTAGCTTTAAGATCTGTAAATTTTAAACAAGTCCCAAATCAGTGCCGTTTTGCAGCTATTCTTCATAGTTTCTGCCATTGTTGATGTTTTTTGATGCACTAGATACATCTGGTTTTAAAGGCACACTGCCATACTTGTAGCTACTTGCTCCCTCTATATAGAAAACTTCCCCAGTCGGTGCCTGTTGGTCCCCCATGATCCTCTTTTTCTTATGTTAAAGGAGAGCTCAGTTAATGAGATAGCCACCTGTCACAGTGACCTCGATGGCTCGCTGTGTGGTCTAATCCCTTCTTGCCGAATGCCCAGTAGTGATGACGGTCTTTAAGAGGAAATGCCAGTTTTGCTGATTTGAGGATGGAAGCCTGATCAACTTACTCTTTTAAAAATTCTGTCTTGAATGGATTGGCTCTTGATGGCATATTTCTTTGTTCCAATGTATGCAGGCTGAGCTTGAGGACATCACACAGGAATCGTCAGAAACCCTCACTCCTCCTGTCCCAAGTCCAAATATGGCAACTAGACCTAGCCCTAAGCCCAGCCCTGCTGCAGAGTCTAGTCCAGCCCCAGGGCTGAGGCCAGGACCATCCAGTGTGAACAGAAGTCCCTCGCCTGCTAGAAAATCAGGTCCTGGTACTGCAGCACCAAGTCCATCCCAAACACAGGTACAGTATGATATCTGCCTGTGATGCAGGTCTTTACATTATTTAACCCTTTGCTTACAGGAACCTGGTGTTCCCTGTGTTAAGCCTATGGGACAAATGAAATTCAGTAGTCAACGGGATAAAAGGCAATCCAACCTTTGTCAATACAACCTTTGTAATGAATTCATTTTTGCAAAAGCAAACACAATGAGGGAAAGGTTGACATAAATCAGACCAATGGTAAGAAAGTTATGAATGTTGAAATATGAAATCACTATGTTTGTGCAAATCACAAATTGGCAATCTAGTCACACACCGCCTCCTTCTTCATATTGGGGAATAAAGTTAAAGGAGATTGTTCCAGAGTTCACTTTATTTCATGAACTTGTACCTTATTTTGACGTTGTCTCTTGCAATTAGAAACCCTCGGAACCAGCTGATATGAACACCCTGCTCCAGCAACGTGCCCAATCGTACCAGCAGGCCATTGTCGCAGCAGAGGCAGCTGGGGAGGGGTCAAAGGTCAGGAGATACAAACGTCAACTCAAGGTGAGTGAGCTGTGTTTACCCACTAAACAGGGGGGTGTTTCACAAATACTAAGATTGACTTTAAGTTGGACTTAACTATGGCAGGCAGTTCATGCCACTGTTTCCTCTCACTATTTACCGGCATTGATCTCTCAAGGGACGTACAAATCATGGTCACAAATCTACAGAATTAACATTGTTTGATAATTCATTATTAAAGGAAAAGATAAAATCTAAAGATCATAATGGTGAGAGGGAACAGTGGCATGAACGGCCTGTCGTATTTAAGTCCAACTTAAAGCTGATCTTAGTTTTTGTGAAACACTCCCCATGGTATATAGTTCCAGTGAGAACAATACAGAGGGGTAGTGAGCTATTTAGCTGTGGAAAGCTTGAAAAGTACTCTGGAAAGGTATTCTGAAAACTACATGTGTGTTGTATTTTGTGTTTAATAGTGAAAATATGTTAATTGTCAAAACAATTGGAATTAATCTACATTTTAACTTTTGTGCGAAGCTGGCTATGTATACATGAAGTTAAGAGAGGCAGTAGTGTAAGTCCCGAATTCAGAATACAGTCCCTCGAAACCGATTTAAAAAAATGAAATACATACCGTAATTAACGGTGTATTAACCGCACCTTTTTGCCGCCGAATAAATTCAAAGTTGGGGGTGCGGTTTATACACGGCAATGTCTCCCAGCTCAGTAATCGGTGTGTTGACTCACCACTCGGAAACTAGAACAACACTCAAATTTGTCTGTCATCTTGGTTTGAAAGTAATCTTTCTGATAGATTTCAATATGTAGTTGATAAAAATAATTCCTCCAATTTTTCTTCTATTACATGGCGTACCACAAGGTTCTATCCTAGGTCCTCTACTGTTTTTTAAGTCGGCAAAAAAAAAAAAAAAAAAAAAAAAAAAATTAAGGGCGAAAAAGAGGGGTGCGGTTAATACACGAGGGCGGTTTATACAACGTTAATTACGGTATATGATTGTGTGGAAATTTCAGTCTTAATACTGCAAATCCAAAAGGGCACCCTTCGGCAAGACATTTCAAGTGTTATTCTACTCTTTAAATATTGCTTGCTACTCTCAACCCAAGTGAACTAAATAGGTACACGGTAGGAAGATTTTCCAAGAATATTTGTTATTATCTGTGGGAACCGGATCCTGTATTAAGTAAACCTTTTTTAATGAAATGAGGGAGTTCTTGATCAATTTTCTTTCTTTTCAACCTCTGAAGACCTTGACAGATATGCTGAGGAAAGTCAAACTGGGTAAACCTGTTGATAAGGAGGAGATTCCCCCTGATGTCTTTGTACCTAAACCAGCAGCTGATGAACAACCTCCTCCCCAGCAGCAGCAGCAGCAGCATCAACCAGTGCCTGCACCTCGGGCACCAGCAGTGACACATCCAACCTCTCCCCCAGCAATAGTAGAGCGACCAGATCCTGCACAAAGCAAAAGTACAGGTAAATTCAATATGGGAAAGGGTTAGTGTAACATCTGTTGTGCTAGCCATGGCTTAAAGAGAAGGTTGAGTTCTGGGGAGAGGTGAAAAATAATTTGTGAGCGCTTTCATTGTTATCATGCAAGTGTGGAAGAACATCAGAGAAAAAATGTTCCCTGAAAAGCATGGCTCTTCTAATGCCTTCATATTCTAAATATGACATGTAACAGCTTAATAATGAGGACCTCATTTTTATGCCACATGTTTGTGTAGTCCATTATACATCCTTCTGTGTACAGTGCTTGTTACTTTTACCATTACAGGGTCACATTTCTTATCATTTTGATGATTCCAGAACCTTGCAGTACACACTAATACTTCTATGCTACATGATCAATTTTTTCTGATCGATTCCACACCTTTTCTTTCACAATGCAATCGCATTACCAGAACTCAACTTTATCTTTAAAATTCTGAATCAAATAGTAATTGAGATAAAACTCTCGTTGTTTGAATAAGTACAACGACCAGATACTGAAATGAATATTCCACTTTGATATATAGAGAATAACAACCTAAACAGCAGCATAGGATAAGCCGTTCGTAGATACAGTCTGTACATGAGCAGACGAAAGTCATTTGTACCAAATTTGTAAAAGGCATAGAGATTAAATACTGGATAGGTGCTCATGAAAGTCATTAGAATAATGCAGACATTTATAATGTGCAACTTTTCCACCCAGAGGGGGCGCTATAGGGGCTTACAATAAACAGAGTAATGACAAAAAAATGTTCTCTCTGTAAATTAAGATAGTAATTTAATGTCATCATTCTTATATTTTGTGACCAGATGCTGATCAATTGAAGTTACTGAGTGTGAAGAGAGATCAATACAAAATGGCCGCCCTCCTTGCCAAGAGGTCAGGTGACATAAAGACTGCTGCCGAACATCTCAAGGTTGCTAAGGTGAGGAATATTAAAATGAGAATCATTAAACTTGTCCATACTGTTAGTGGAAAATCCTGGCCGAAATGATCATTTACAGTGCTTTCTAACTTCTTGTTTGTTAAAAATGTGGCTTAATTTTTCTCCCTGAAACTGAAACACTACCCTCATGGCAAAGTTTAATTAAACGTTGAACAGCAAGCAAAGATCTAACTGTTCAAATTTCATTCATTTCAAGAATGCTGCTTTGTATATGAAACAATATTTTTGAGCCCCAAAATAGAGTGTAATTATTTAGGTGTTCATCATCTATCAAAAATACAGTTGAGGTTCAGGGATTTCCAGCTACAATAAAAAAAAATCTCGGAAAATCTGGAAAAGGATTTCCTGTTTTTTCCAGTCATGAAATAGTTTTGTTTCGACTATGGTTACATAATTTTTTAAAGAAATTTTTGAACCAGAATACAAATACATTTCAGTTGAAATTATTATCCTGGTATCTTGAAATTCCATTTGTGAAGTCAGAGAATTTTCTTATCATGAAATACTGGTAACCCTGGGTAGTTGCTAATTAAATGCCAGTCTTGAAGTAACTTAAATTAGGACGTACCACTCTTTTTACTTCTTTTCCGCAGCAATTTGATGCAGTTATCAATGCACTGGAAGCGGGTCAGCAGGTTGACCTCAGTGGGATGCCCGGGCCCCCTCCACAACCAGGTAATATCATCAAACGTAATTTAAATTATTATCTATATAAGGCTTCCAAGTGGTACAATAAATCAGTGTATCCAATTTCTTTAGCGCAGTACCCGGATGACTGACCAATATTGCTTCCGTGTTGCTCAGTCATCCAGGAACTTCAACTATCGATATCAATATAGATATCGATATCACACAAAAACCATATTTATCGAGGTAAGTCAAATTTTGTTATTTCGCCAGTCAGCCTGATATAGGTAATAATAACATTATATGGCTTTGTTTTTGTGTGATACAAGAATATAGTGTCATAGCTCGAGCATTATATTCTTGTATCACACTCAAAGCCATCCAATATCATAAAAATTCTTCAGAGAAGATTGAATACTTGTAAAAATGGAAAAGAATTTGTGAAATTTCTCATTTTGTGTACGTTCATAGGATCAAGTCATTTTTCATTTTGATCATTCCAAAACTTCACAATATATAAAGCAATTCTTATGTTCCACATAATCAATCTTTCCCAATTGCGTACGGACAGTTTCTTTCTTAAAGATAAGCTTGAATTCTGGTAATGATAGAAAATAAATTCTCACAGAATCCAACAAAACTTACACTGAATGTTCAAGATTACAAATAAATGATAAATAAATAAATTTTGGTAGAAAATGTATAGGGGCTGTGTAATGAGCATTATAATGAAATCAAGGTAAGTAGGCCCGACACCAGTCCCAAGACAAATGTATTTGTTGACATTATGTATATGTAGGGAATAACTTATCCTTGCTTTCTTCTTTCTGACATTCCCCATGCTTTTTATGATCATCAAGCATCAACTAATTGATCCTTTGTATCCACATCAGCAGCGGCAGCTCCTAGGCAACCTCCTGCTCCACATCCGACTCGAGCTCCTGCACCCACAGCTCCTGCACCCACAGCTCCTGGTCAAGCTCCTGTTCCTGGTCCAGGTCCATCGGCAAGCTCAGACCAGGGCTATCCCAGTCCCAAGACGGACCTTGAGGCTCTGCTTCAGAGACGAGAGAAGTATAAGAGCATGGTGGACAAGGCAAAGGAAGAGAATAACGACTCCAAGGCTCGCAGGATTGGACGCATCGTCAAGGTTTGTAAAAGCTAAATTTCAGTGGCTTTGATTGGCTTTTTTCCTCCTTCAAATTAGAGAGTTGCCTGCATTTTCTGGGTTTGTAAAAGCTAAAAATTAATTGGCTTTTCTCCTCCTTCAAATTATCAACACAGTAATGATATTTTTTTCAATCAATTTTTCTAAACAAAGTGTAGGTATATGTTTCTGATGAAAAGGTTTGAATACATGGGCAGAATATATACTCTTTTGGGATAACCTACATATATTACTCTAAAAATGGTCAATTTACACTGTATATGGGAAACTGTGATTTTTTTTTTTAAGTGTTGCCAAGTTAAGATTTGAATGGTTATCTATAATACATGCATTTACTTTATTCTGTTCTTGGTAGAGAGGTACAACAATTTGTAATTTAATTTTTGAATAAGATACTAAACTCTGCTGTTAAATTACGACAATTTTCTTTCGCATCACACAGCAATATGAAGACACCATGAGGAAACAGAAGTTGGGCAAGCCAGTCGATCTCTCCGAGCTACCCGCTCTTCCAGAGTTCCCTCCCTTTCCTTCTCAATCCGGTGGCCAGACTGCCCCACCAGTAGCCCAAGCCGTTGACCTAGCAGCACCGCCTGCAGCTGCCCCGGTAGTTACGGCAGCGGCGGGGGCTAGTGCCCCTCAAGCATCCCGGCCCGCTCCCTCAAGGCCTCCAGCACCAACGAGGCAGATGTCAGGTGAAGAGGCATTAACCCTTTCCGGGCAATTTTTTTTAAAGGGCTGAATTGATCACATGCTGATCTTCAAATCGGCTACCATAACATTTTTCTTTTATTGCTGCATTGTGTTAATAAAAAAAACATCTCTGAAAACATTATACATGGGTAGAGACTTTCCAATACAAAAAAAGGATTTGAATGCTTATTTTCCTTTTTAGAATTCCTGGCATTAACCACAATATGATCATGCAAAGAAAATGACATAGTTTGTGCATATTTTTCGTTCCCCTTTCGACTATCTTGTACACTTTTTGGTTTTACTTGTCTTAGTAGCCACCTCTCTGTAAACGCCACCTTTCTATAGTGGCCATGTATTTTTGTCTCCCTCAAAAAAGAAATGTGTGTCATAGAACCTGTCTAGAAAGGCCACCTGTCTACAGTGACCACTCTCTCTGTCTCCCTTTTCATCATCAATAGTGTTCTGTCAGTTTATGACAGGTTCAGTGACCCAATCAGAATTCTATATCAAGTGTCTCTCCCAGTGGCCTTTATAAACAGGTTTGACTGTACTACTACTAATAATAATGCCTCTACCTAGTTCATGTGACTTCTTCTTTTTATTGGCTTGTTTGCAGCTAAAGAGAACATCGGCATCTTGAAGGACATGATAACGCAATTCTTTTTAGACAGGTTTCACTGTACCTCCTTTAATACCTAAGTCATCTTACATCTTCTTTTCATTGGCTTGTTTGCAGCTAAAGAGAACATGTACCAGCGGAACATCGTCGTCTTGAAGGACAGGATAAAACAGTTTAAAATGCTGGCCTTGGAGTCCAAGAAGAGCGGAGATATATATGAGGCTAAGAGGTTACTCAAGATTGCTAAGGTACTTCATCAACTATTGCTTTTCAAATTCTTGGTGCAATTATTGAGAATATTTAATGATGATGATAGAAATCGTTGTTAAATATTTGTTAAAGTACTTTGGGGAAAATATATTTATATATTAGGGGAAAGTCTCCTAGATGAATATTTTTCAGTTCTTTATTATCATCACCAACATTTATAGTCATCACCATCATCATTGTGATCACCATCGTCATCCTAATCTTTGAGATTTTAGATCTCAAGCGCCATCATCATTATCATCACCACCACCATCACCATCATCATCATCATCATCATCATCATCATCATCATCATCATTGTCCCCCTTACCAATCCAAATCTCATTTGACATGTATGTTTTTTATCCCTTTCATCATCATCATCATCATCATTATCAATTTTGCCTCAATTATATCCATCAAATGCACCACCCTTCTACACACGAAATGATTATTTTTGTAATTTTTTTCATCAGGAAATCGAGCACATGTTAAGTGCTGCTGAAGGAGGCCTGCCTGTCAATCTCGACTCAGTAAGTGAACAAGTCTTCCCTCAATCAAAAATTCAAGAGAATAATGAAATTTCAATGTTGTATAAATAGATCATACACAAATTTGCAACTCCTTGTCGTAACTTTCGAGGATCTCTCCCATTTCCTCTGTTCTTATAATAATAATAATAAAGGATATTTATATAGCGCACATATCCACCGAGCAAGGTGCTCAAGGAGCTCCGAATATTACCAGGCTCTGCTAGGCTGCCGATTTTGGCGCTCACATCGTTCAAGGGATTCCTTCCTATCGGTACCCATTTAAAACCTGGGTAGAGAATGGCTGATGTAGATTACTAATAACAATAATTTTGTTTACCCAGTGAAGCCTCATCAGCTTCAATGCTGTTCTTCCTGAGAGCCCTGTAATCATTATTACCCAAGCAAATGACAAGTACCCATTTACACCTGGGTGGAGAGTTCCTCTGTTCTTCAATAAATATATCATGAATTTCTAATTTCTCTACAGAAATGTATTTATTACACATCATACGTTTAATTGTAATTATTGTTGTCATGTTTTTACACGATCCCTTTCTGAAGTAGATCTAGAGTCATTCATCAATAACCAGGCAATCTGCTCTGAGGTCTTTTGGGAGCCATCTTGGTACTCCCACCCCCTCTTTATTTAGACTTTTAAAAATTTAAATTTGTTGCTGTTGTTGTTGTAAGTCTGTCAGGTTATCTTATCATGTATTTCCAATAGATACCTACATGTAAGGTTCCTCAAAAGGATCTTTTTGGAGCCATTATGGTACCCCCACCCCCTCTTTATTTAGACTTCTTAAACTTCAAATTTGTTGTTTTTGTAAGTCTGTCTCATGTTATCTTATGTATTTTCGATAGATACCTAAGGTTCCTCAAAAGGAGCTTGAAGCCGTCTCCCCTCCAACATCACCGGAGCCGGAAGGAGGCTTTGAGACGGTTGCTGATGGCAACGCTCAGGAGGTGTACGCAAGGTTGATTGCCACCCTGCAAAAACAAATCGAGGTTTGTGAGTGATTTCTTTAAGAGTTGAGATGAATGCATTCTTCAGTTTTAAGTGATGTGATGATAATTATTGAATTTGAGGAAAGAGAAAGAGAACGTGAAGGGAAATGGTTTGTGAGTTACTTTTAGATTTGAGATTAAATGCATTCTTAATATTTTAGTGCTGTGATTATTAGTATTGAATTTGAGGAGGGGGGGGGGGATGGTGAGAGAAGGAGAAGGGGAAAGGGGAATTGAAAGAAAGGAAAGGAAGTTTAGGGGGAGGGAGAAAGAGAATGAATGAGAGAGAATTATAAAAGATAGAGAAAAAAAAAGGTAAGGGTAAAGTTTACATATCCTTAGTAAAAGGCGAGATTGAAGCCTCGAAGCTATTTAGAGAGAGAAAGAGAATGAGAGAGAGAGAGAAATTTTTAACGATTGCCTTCATCTTAATGACACCACTTAAAAAGGCAGCACTTGTAATGTACAGTGAAACCTGTATATAAAGACTGCTCAGGGGAAACATGAAAAGTGGTCTTTAATAATTATAATGGGTTCTTGTATAGTGCTCATGTCAGTCAGATTTGACCCTCCTGGCACTCCTGATTATTACCCTGGCTTTAGCACGGCTGCTATACGGCGCTCTAGCCTTTCAAGGAATAAATGCCTGTGGTATTTTTGTGCAGGTCCTTTAGTGCAGGTTTCAATGAGAAATCATTTTCAAGGGAAACAAAAAGTGTGGTCTTTCTATACAGGTGGTCTTTCTATACAGGTGGTCTTTCTATACAGGTGGTCGCTAAAGCAGGTTTGACTTGTACATAAAGTGTTTGTAGCACGCTTTTGAAATTAATTATATTTTCTTGTTCACAGGTATGTGAAGGGAATGCCAAGGTGTATGGAAAACTGGGCAACATCAAATCAGAAAAGAGGTAAGTGATGTGTTTGTTTGTTTGTTTGTTTGATTGATTTTATTTCTGCGTTCAAAAATATACAAATTCAAATTCAAAGTACAAAATTTCGAACAATAACAAATACAATGAATACAATGTTTACAAAAGTAATTAAATGAAAAATCATGTTCAATTATATCATTCGATAAACATGTACGAAGCATACAATAACATAAGAAATATGAAATATTTTCAATAAATTAGAGAGGTAATTTGGAACGCAGGAGACCGCCATCGTGAGCGGTTAGGCTGGAGATGGATGGCGGCCTCGTAAAAAGAATTGGCGACATAACTCTCTTCGAAAAACTGAGTGACCAAGAGGGTGCGGTGCAAGTGCAGGTGCAGTGAGCAGTTGCATGATAAAGAATAAATAAGTCACGGTTTTGTTATACTAATTTAGAGAGGGGGAGCGTATGATTGTATTATTTGTCGTTTAAGTGTAGCTTTTAAGGAGTAGATGGTTGAACAAGACTTTATGTTGTCGGGTAAATCATTCCAAATGTCCGGGCCAGAATGTCTAACAGATTTGTGTGTTATTGATAATTTGGGGTTTGTAAGATGGAAGTTTCCAGATATGCGAGTAGAGTATGAATGAACGGAATTATTAAACCTAAACATGTTATCAAAGGATGGTGGAAGCAGATTATTAATGTACTTAAACATAATAACTGCTACTTGAGTAGTGTTCAGATCGAAAATTTTTAGTGTTTTAAGTTTATAGAATAAAGGATCAGTGTGAGCTAAGAAATGCGAACCTGTACAAATACGTATGGCTTTCTTTTGCAGTTTGAAAATAGAATTGATTTTTGTCGAACCACAATTTGCCCATACACTATTACAATATGTTATATACGGGAGAACTAGCGAATTATATAGTAGGAATAAGGTTGCATGGGGTAGAAGAAACTTTAACTTGGAGATTATTCCAATACTTTTGGAAATGCACATTGTAACTTGGTGTAAATGATCATTCCAAGTCAAGGTTTCATCTATAAGAACACCCAAAACTTGGAATTAGTTTTCTTCTCTAGTAGCATACCATCAATTTTAATATATATAGGTGTTTCTGTATTATGAGAATGATGTTTAAAATACATGAAATGAGTCTTTTTTGTATTAAGTGAAAGTTTATTGGATTTAAACCAATCTGATACTTTGTTAATTTCATAATTCAAAGTATTGTTTAACGAATTAAGGTCTTTATGGGAATAAAAGATATTTGTATCATCGGCAAATAAGATAAAAGAAAGAAGGGGGGATGTATTGATAATATCATTTACATAAAGAAGAAATAACAGTGGACCTAAGATGGAGCCTTGAGGAACACCGCATTGAATTAAAAGAGGATCAGAATCATAACTATTAAATGTAACATATTGTCTTCTGTTTGTTAAATAAATGTGTGGTTTTACTGTTCGGGGCCCTGTTTCACAAATCTTGTTATCAAGAACAAGGTACAATAACTGTTACAAGCTACTGAAATCGTGGCATTTGATTGGCTAAGAGCAAATTTGTTCTGAAAATTTAGCATTTGTTATAGATAACAAGTTTTATGAAACAGGACCTTGTTTTGACTATTTGGCTTCACTCTTTTATTTCTGCATCATATTTTTGATGAGAGCAATACAAAATTAAAAAACAAGCAACTTTAACTTTAAAGGGGCATGTTCCCCGTATTCCAGAGGGCGTTCAAAATACGTACCCGCTGGCGGACGGTGCTAGCTGCCTATTGACACCAACAGAATACGGCTCTTACGCAGATGGCATGTTTCGAATGCCCACACAATGCCGATTATCGCATACATGTGCCGAAGTAATACCAATCGCAGTTCGGCTCTAAGATTGGTCTGCTGTTTCCGCCCACTTTCGTGATGTCACAATCGGCAGCGATCAGCTGGCTTGGTGAAGGCAGGCCAGGACGCGCGTACTTTGATTGACAGCTGTATGCAAATAAGAAGTCGATCTTCGGAACCAAGATGGCGATGACTAGAGCAGCGATAACTACACTGGCGGGAACGTGCCCCTTTAAGAGGTGTTGAAATTCAAAGGTAGTGCGTTTGATCCCTGAAGCGTCACTAATGTCCTCTGGAAAGGCATTAATCTACATATGCCACTCCGCACCAAGGAGAGGAATGGGGACCTGTTAGGATGACGAAAGCCTTTGTGTGATTAATTGCCATATGCGCTCACGGTGCCCATATGGTTGGAATACTCCCCAGGGAGTGGAAATGGTGCACATTGTGCGTGAATGAATTCAATGACTGGGCTAATAATATCTGTAAAGTGTTTGGAGACGGTCTATATCGTATTAAGCACTATATAAATCCAGATTATTATTATTATTTCTTTAATGCCTTCTTCTATTTTATATATCTTATGTTCCTGGACTAAGTTATTGAGACAGGAAGTATGAAAAGATATTAGTTAGATTGATTACGTAATATATAATTTGATATCTGTGAGCATCAACTGGAATGGGTATGTGTTCTTCATGAATTTCATGGTTATTATCAAGAATTTTTTTGCTTTGTTGCGGACAGGTTTCAAGAATTTCAGGACTCTTGTCAACAGGATCTGGACTTGTTGATCTCCAAGCAGTCTAGAGGGGAAGTCATACCCAGACACCATTATGAGCAGAGAACACTACCCTCTGTCAGGTCCGTCTAGAGAATATTTCTTAATTTATATATTTAATAGTATCATTTGATTATTTGCTTATTTATGTATTTAAAGTTTTGTATGATCTTGACCACCTCTTATAAACACTTGATATTAATAATTGCAGCTATTTACATGTACATAAGAGATAGGAGACTGCAATTAAAGTTGCTATTGACTGGAGGACTTGCATTTGATTTGGATCAATCGTAACCCTTTATTAGACAGGGTCGTTGTCTCTGTCCAGTAAGCTTAATGCAGTATTATGATACTGTATAAAATGGTATATAATGTGGTTCAATTGAGGTTAGAAAAAGGGTCTCTATTTCTAGGGGGTCTTCAATCTAACGTTCTCATAATACAGATTTCTATGAAAAGTACTGTGCAAGGTACACAAAATTGCATCGTTGTGTTTAAACAGCACTCAAGAGTATTATTTCTTACCTATCAATTTATTATTCTTGTTCTTATTTTCTGTCAAACAGACTTTGTCCAGATGTCAAAGAGAATGAGGCCGAGATAACCATTGTGCAGGGATTGCAGCTACACTGTCCCAATGGTAAGAGAAAAAAAATGCTCCAGATGTGTGGGTATTAGACAAACTGGGAATTAGATTGACTGAAAATTAGACCAAATGAGCGATAGACCAACTTGGTAGTAGACTTATTGGAGATTAGACCAAATGGATATTAGACCAAATGACTATTAGCCTACATGGTCATTAAACCAAATGGTTATAAGACCATGTGGATAGTAGACGGGCCGGGTGTGGACCATATGGGAATAGACCAATTGGGTAGTAGACGAACTGGTTGTAGACGAAACGGCTGATTATACCAGCTTTAACTGCCTGGATTTGGAAACGGGGAACTAAATAATCCGGGGGCGTTTTACAAAGGCTTTTTTTAATGACAAATGACAAAAATCAGTGACAATTCTGCTGATAACCAATCAGAAGCAAGGATTTCATCTTATACCAAAAACTGTCATTTGTCACTGATGACAAGTTTTGTGAAACGCCCCACAAAACCTGCATGTCTTCTTCCCTGTTACATATAATTGATATTTAATCATGCTTCTAAACAATGATGCCATTCATAGATTGTCATTACTGTATAAACCATACCATCTAAACTTTTGAGATCAACTTGATTACAAATAAGTTCAGCCAGAGAGAGAAGGGGGGGGGGGGGGTGAGGAAGAGAGAGAAAGAGGGGAAAGGGGGGGGGGATGGAAGAGAGAGAGAGAGAGAGAGAGAGAGAGAGAGTGTGGGGAGGGGGATAAATGAAGACAGTTTAAAAGCAAGGAATAGAGAAGTAGAAAAATTTCATTTTGTCACAGATGCAGATTATTGCGCCATTGGGTTCTGCTATAAAGATGAGCTACATGTTTGAAACTGTGTCAATCTTCTACATGTATACTTTAATGAAACACAGGAAATTCCAAGTTATTATGATTCTGATTCTATTTTTGTCATTTCATTTTTAGAAAAAGATTCAAAGGACATAGACACCTATATAAAAGCAGAATTTCCTTATCCATCGGTAAGTTATCATAATAGTAATAATAATAATAATCAAACGGTGCTTATAAAGCATTTTCCACCAAAGTCTCTGAGTGCATTATGCAAGTCAGGTGTGCTTGCTTTACATTACTTTGTGTACCAATGCACAGATAGTCTTGAGTGATGATGTAAAGAAAATGCAGATTCAAATAAAAACATTTTTCAAGTGTTTTTAACTTAAAAAAATGTACCCCACCACACCCAAAATAATTATAAAGTTGATGCTTCCAAAGCAATCATATCCTCATGGAAGGTGCTCAAAGGTGCTCCAATATTACTCCGGCTCTGGCTAGGCAACTGCTTTTCGTTGCTCACAGCATTCAAGGAATACATTCCAAACGGTACCCATGTAACACTTTAGTGGACAGTGGCAAATGTACATTAGTGCTTAACTGGGGCTCATACTTGCATCTCTAGTCAAGTTTTTTAAAGATAAAGTTCAGTTCTGGCCATGCGATTGCATTGTGAAAGAAACGTTGTGGAATCGATCAGAAAAGGTTGATCATCTAGCATATAAGTATTGGTGTGTACTGCAAGGTTCTGGAATCATAAAAATGATAACAAATTTTGCCCAGTCTTGGTAGAGTTACAAGCACTGTACAGAGAAAGATATATATGGGACTACACGAACATGTGGCATACAAAATCTGTCCCGATTTTGATGATGTTACATGCCATATTTAGAATATTAAGGCATCTGAAGAGCCATGCTTTTCAGGGAATTTGTTTAATCTGATGTTCTTCCACACTTGCATAATAACATTGATAACCCTAACAAATCATTTGTCACCTCTCCCCAGAACACAACCTTCTCTTTAAACTGCTCGACTACGACACCTCTACTGTGTCACAATGTTTTTTTCCAACCTTGCATTTATCCTGATAGCTTTTATTTCTTAATTTTGTCGATCCGCCCAGGACGAGCCTCCGACCCATAAGACAGGATGGGCGAAAGGAGCCGATAATCCCCAGTACAACTTCAGCTTCACCGTGGAGATCAACCGCAGCTCCAGGACTTTCAACTCGGCCATCAAAAGGAAGGCGGTCAAACTTGAAATCATCTACAGCAAGTTAGTGTCTTTATTTGACTGCTCTAGATAATGACAGTGTTATGTGTGAGAGAGAGAGAGAGAGAGAGAGAGAGAGAGAGAGAGAGAGAGAGAGAAAGAGAGGGAGAGAGAAAGAGAGAGGAGAGAGAGACAGAGAGGCAGAGAGAGGGAGAGAGAGAGAGAGAAAGACAGACACACAGAGACAGAGAAAAGGTCAGAGAGAGAGAGAGAGAAACAGACAGAAAGAGACTGACAGGCAGACTAGAGAGAAGATAATTTAGTATTTAATATGTACTTTGTTTACTTGAGAGTGAGAGAGATTGGAGGGGCAGAAAGAAAGAGATAGCAGAGATGCCAACTGTTCCGTTTTTTTGCTATGAATACGGCAGTACGTTTTTTGTATGTTTTGTTACGTTTTTTTTTTAATTTTTTTTTTAGTGACGTTTTTCTTAATTTCTGATCATGGGCTTTGTGTCGTAAGTGTATTATGCACCTACATCTTCAATCAATGCACGCAGGATTGTGATACGGGCCCCAAACTGCGCACATTGCGAACAACCCACAATGTATGCACGTCGCGCTCCGATCCGGGTACGTAAACGTGGTACTGCCGGTTTTTTTAAGCTGCTCGATTGGGCGATATGTTAAGTTGAGAGATTTTTTCAAAAATACTGTTTTTTGTCCAAAAATACTGTTTTTTTGCTCTTAAGAATACTTTTTTTTGTTAAAGAAGGTTGGCATCTCTGAGATGGAGAGAAAGAGGGAGAGGAACGTCTTTTAACTCAGCCATCAAGAGATGAAATTTAGACCCTCAAACCGTTGATAAAATGTGTAGTAAATGAATTGCTTTATATCAATGTTCCATACATGTTAACACTTTGAAAGATATTTTAAGGCAATTTCACTCATCCATTGATCATTGATGACCTTTTGATATGTTTTTTTGTTCTTTCATTCTTTCAGAGGCTTATTACGAGGACACAAGACGTTAGGAACAGCCAGCCTCAAGCTTGCCGAACTAGAGAACAAATGCGAGCTGCATGAATCAGTACCGGTAAGTATACAGAGTTTGGAAATGATCACAAGGACATTGAATGTGTGGATAGTAGTAGCAGAGATGCCAACTGTTCCGTTTTTGCCGTATTTGTTCCGTTTTTTCGCTATGAATACGGCAGTACGTTTTTTGTATGTTTTGTTACGTTTTTAAATTTTTTTTAATGCACCTACATCTTAAAACGATGCACACAGGATGGTGATACGGCCCCAAACTGCGCACATTGCGAACAACCCATGTGTAATGTATGCACGTCGCGCTCCGATCCGGGTACGTATACATGGTACTGCCTGGTTTTTTAAGCTGCTCGATTGGGCGATATGTTCAGTTGAGAGATTTTTTCAAAAATACTGTTTTTTGTCCAAAAATACTGTTTTTTGCTCTTAAGAATACTTTTTTTTGTTGAAGAAGGTTGGCATCTCTGTAGTAGACGTAGTACATGTATTGGTATAATAGTAGTAGTGATGTTGTAATAGAACAGCAAGTGGTAGTGGTGGTGGTGGTGGTGGTGGTGGTGGTGGTGGTGGTGGTGGTGGTGGTGGTGGTGGTGGTGGTGGTATTGGTAGTAGTAATGATATTAAATATTGGTGGTGGTGCTTGTGATGATGCATACCAGCCAACTGTTCCTATTTCCTATTTTTTTCACCAAAAAATGCAAAAGCAGAATTTGGCTTCTTTTACCATGTGCCGCGATTTGAGAGTTTGCGTATTGCGTGCGTTGAATGGCTGCACGATCGAGCAACGAATTTGTATTAGTTTTTTTGTACAAATTTACCACGTATTGCCAGTAACACTGCCTTTGCATACATGGCCATGGTAAGGCCGTGCGATCGGGTTAAGGTACAGATTTCTTATTTTCAAATGCTGGCAGGTATGGACTGATGGTGGTGGTAATGGATGGGGCGGTTGTGGCAGTCGTGTTAGAAGTAGTAAGAGCAGTACCAGAAGTAGTATTAGTAGTAGGTAGCAGTAGTATCAAAAGTAGCAGTAAAAGCAAAAGTAGCAGAAGTACCAGTAGTAGCAGTAGCAGGAGTAGGTCGTAGTACTAGTAGTAGTAGTACTGTATTCAATGGTTGTGGTGGTGATGCTGGTGGTAGTAGTGGTGGTTGCTGAAAACAGCTTTGAATGATCTTAAAATGTTCATGATTCAAAGAAAAGGACAGCATCCTTATCTATATCGGTACTCTTGTCATTTACATAAATAACTGTAAAACACAGCAAGATATATTGCACGAGGAATCTTTCATGGCTTCATCTAAAGTTACATTTTTTTCTCTCTCTTCAAAATGCAAGCTGATGGATGGAAGGAGAGAGATCGGAGGAAAGATTGAGGTCAAAGTTCGCCTCCACCACCCGCTGTCAGGGTTGAAGGAAGATTTTGTGAAGGAGAAATGGCTTATCATCGACAGTGTTCATAAGAAAACAAAGGTATGTGACAAAGATGCTGTTGCGTCACGTTATATTTAGTTTTGTAAGCTACTATTTAAAGGTATTATACAATGGTGAAGCGGATCCTAATCAAACAATTGGTTGAGAGCGTACACGTGACCAGGCATTTATTCTGCCTAACACGTAATTTTACTAATTTCCGGTTCAGTAAAATTATGTCATAAAACAAATAAAACATCATCTTATTAAACAAATCATACACATCATTTTGTTCAGGCATTATTAAAATTACCCACACTCGGTACCTTCGAGATAGTCCAAACACCCTTGGCTATTGCCTCGGGCGTGTTAGACTCTTCCACAGGTACCTTGTGTGGGTAATTCTTACTAAAGCCCTCACTGATGTGTATTAATTGTTTACTATTCTTTGGCTAATGACCAAAATAGGCATTAAAAATGTTGATTTTATCAAGATAGCTTTTCATTGCTTTTGTCAAACTTGGCACTGATTGGTCATTTTGAGGGTTCGATTGAGATTTGGTATACATACAGTTTTACACCTAGTATAAGCAGTTGCTTTTGATTTTTGTTATATTTTGTTTTGTATTTCACACCCAGATATCAAGTCCTCCAGCTGCAGCTTCTCAGGTAAATTTCATTATCCCTTTTTATTTTTTGGGATTTAAAGCGGGACTGCACTACTTGTAGCTACTTGCACCCTCTATATAGCGAACAATGCTGTAACCCTAGGTCCCGACTCCCCCATGATCCCCTTTTTCTTACTTTAATTGAGAGCTGATTTGATGAGATAACCACCTGTCAGTGACCATTCAGCCAGGGAGATCTAATCCCTCCTGGCCAAACTAGTGCAGATAGGCTTTAAGTTAGTATTATTATCATTATACAGTCAAACCTGTCTATAGCGGCCACCCAAGGAAAACACAAAAAGTGGCCTTTGTAGACAGGTGGTCTTTGTAGACAGGTTCCTTTAGTACATGATTCATTGAGAATCCATTTTCAAGGGAAACAAAAAATGTGGCCTTTGTAGACAGGTGGTCTTTGTAGACAGGTGGTCACTAAAGCTGGTTTGACTGTATTACTTTTCATATTATCTTTCAGGACCTCAATCAGAGAGAAATAACATTTCAGAAATTCAATATAAATTCCTATTGCAATTTCTTTCAAAACGTTGACAATTAATTTCCATCATTTTTGTTTGTTGTTTCATGTACAAGCAGAAGCAATCTCCATCAAAATCATCTTCAGGTGGTGGCAGGTCGTCTGGAAGCGTACAAAGGTAAGCTTTTAAAAAATTTATTTCTATTTTAATCTCTTCCTTTAAACCGATCCAGGAACTAATATTCACAGGCTGGCATTACATTACGTGTCTAATGAAAACTGTTTTAGCAACCAACTGAATGGAAAGACCATGGCCTGAATTCACAAAGGAGGTTTAACCCATGGTTTAAATCTTCATTCAAAAGTTCAGGGGGAAAAACATGAACATCAGAAAATACATAATTGAAATATCTTGAAAATCTCTGAGAGACTAGGGTTTTTTTCTTGATGGGACCACCTGTCTATAAAAGCCACCCAAGGAAAACAGAAAAAGTAGCCATTGTAGACAGATGGTCTTTCTAGACAGGTTCTACAAACTTATTTCTCACTAGAGGGAGACAAAATGCATGGCCACTATAGACAGGTGGCTGCTAAGACAGGTGTACATGTAAATCCTATGTAAAATGTAAAACATGGTTGTTATTTGGCCAGGCAAGGTCCTTTTTCTCAAAGCAGACATTTTACTTGTCATTACATTCCAAAGAGCTGCCTGAAACGGGATAATCATATGGGGTGTGCTGTGCTTTTACAATATGAAAAACAAATATACAACAGACACAAAGTATCATGAGTGTAATTTGTGTTTTTGTTCGTGTTTTTTTGCTCCCTGTTATGTCCCTGTATGTTCACACAGAAAGAAAGATTCCAAAGTATGCGAGATCACCTAGCTTTATTGAGAGATTGCATACATCATCAACATGACATTGCAGCTGCTATTAAACTTTAAAAACAAAAACAAATCTATTAATCAGAAATTGTATTTGTATTTTACATGGGAATCAAAACTATTTTACTTTGTAACTGGTACCATGTATATTAAAAAACACACCACAGATTCGGCTTTGAAGGTAGCAAAGTGTAGACATCATCATTGACATTGCAGCTGCTACCATTACAACAAAAATTAACATATTCGTCTTTCAATCAGAAAGTGTATTTGTATTTTTTTTATTTGAGTCAAAATGATGTTTAATACATTGTAGCTGTATATGAAGAAGAAAAAAACTGACATGCTTCTATAGCAGGTATAGAGTATATGAACTGAAATATGTAATGAGGAATATCTTGATAAAGCATGTGCTAATATAGATCCCATCTATACATCTTAAAGATGAAGTTGAGTTCAGGGGGGTGTTTCACAAAGATCCTAAGTTGAACTTATCTCTAAGTTGGACTTAAATTTTATGGGAAGCCATTAGCATCCTTGAAAACATTTTGTATTTTTTTTTTAGAAGGCATAAAATGTTGATTCAAATCATTCATATTTTTTATTATCATGGGAGATTTCATGTTCTTGATGTGGAATTGATGAAAAGTCTAAAATACTCAAATTTTTTGCTTTTGAATATATTTCATTTTAAGGCCCCAATGGCTGTCCATACTTTTTAAGTCCAACTTAGTGTTAAGTTCTACTTAGGATCTTTGTGAAACACTCCCCAGGTCATGCGATTGCATTGTGAAAGAAACGGTGTGGAATCGACCAGAAAAGGTTGATCATCTAGCATATGAGAATTTGTGTGTATTGCAAGGTTCTGGAATCATCAAAATGATAAGAAATTTGGCCAAGTCTTGGTAAAGTTACCAACACTGTACACAGAAAGATGTATATGGGACTACACGAATACGTGGCGTAAAAATCCTACCCCCGAGTTTTACGATTTACATGACATATTTAGAATATGAAGGCATTTGAAGAGCCATGCTTTTCAGGGAACATGTCTCATCTGATGTTCTTCCACACTTGCATAATAAGAATGATAACGCTCACAAATTATTTTTCACCTCTTCCCAGAACTCAACCTTCTCTTTAACCCTGCCAGGTCAGCATTTATTGTTCAGACTAAATTGATCACACATTGTTCTTCAAATTGGCAACAGTAGTAGTTTTCTTTCATAATTGCTACATTGTTAAAATAAATGTAATGTCTCTGAAAATAATATACATGGGTCATAATGTAGTGTTGAAAAATTGAAATAATAGGAGAATTGATGGAAAAACAATGATTGTATCTCCACATGTTTTGAACATTTATGTCTTTATATTTCGAGTGAATTTGATTGTTGCTAGTAGATGTGTGCATTTGTTTTTTAAAAAAATATTGGTTCATAGAAAATGTCTCCTCTGTGTTATAATTTTCCAAATTTGTATGATCCTAGCAAATTAGAAAAAAATCATCAGTTTTTGTGCAAATACGATCACATGAAGGCCTGCATGTATTTTCAATCATTGAGAGAGATACATGCATTATAGTTGAAAATAGTTTAAATAATTTAGGAATTAAAGGAAAGATTTCACAGATACAGGAGTAGGATGACACCAACACATTGTTGGTGGATGAAGAAAGAAGATAGAATTAAGAATCGCATTTTAGTTTACGTTGACTGTGCATAAATTAACAACAAAATAGTTTGTAAAGTTACATGTTTGGGAATATATATAAACCATTCTTAATATATATTTATTTATCATTTTAAACTTACGATTATTTAATCATATATCTTGTGTCACTGCCTTTGATTTGTACTGTATATTCAGTACTATAATGTCTGTATCTTTTTGCATTATTAAGTTGAATAAAGTATGACTTTGGTAAAGAAAACAAAATCAAGAAACAGCCCCATTTTCTTAATCAGTGGGTGTGGTGTTATGCGAAAATTAGATCTAACATGAATGACAATCTATAGAGTTTTTTCCGACCTCTTAAACAACTCATTACTTTCAGAGCTTTCTTCATGAATGTTGCTTTTATGAAGAGTAAAACATTTATTAGTACTCTTTGTCATACCCTCATACTTTCGTATACTATCTCTGTATTCTTCCTGTGTGTCCCCCCTCTCTCTCTCTCTCTCTCTCTCTTCCTCCCTCCCTCTTTTCTCTCGCCCTGTTTCTATCTCTCTCTCTCTTGCTTTTACTTTTTACTCTCTTTCCCTCCCCATCTTTTTTCTCTCTCCTCTTTTCTTCTCTCCCGCTTTCTATCTCTCTCTCTCTCTTTCTATCTCTCTCTCTCTCTCTCTCTCTCTCTTTCTATCTCTCTCTTTCTCTATCTCTGTTGCTTTTACTTTCCCTCTCTTTCCCCTCTCCTCCCCATCTTTATCTCTCTCTCTGTCGCACAGCAGGATTTAAAAACAAAAACTTTTGCAGGCCTTTTCTACAAATTCAACCAAGTGATGCAAGGAACTGCAAATCCTATGAATTCAGACCCATCCTTCTTTTGTTAATAAAAATTGCATTTTTTCTAATCAATGATTTCATTGATTAGAAGCTTGCCTAACTTTCAGAGGGGTTTATTGCCGTTTGGTCTACAACTGATTTGTCTACGTCCCAATTGCTCTATTCCCATATGGTCTACACCCAGCTGTCTTCTTTCCACATGGTCTGATAATCATTTCATCTACTTATCATTTAGGCTAATAGCCATTTGGTCTAATCTCCAATAAGTTTACTTCCCATTTGGTCTATTGCTCATTCATTCTAATTTCCAGTTTGTCTAATGCCCATTTGGTCTTCTATCCATATGGTCTAATACTAATTTGATCATAAACAATTATCAAATTCTCATTAGAAGTTATAGATGGTAGACAAATAGGGCATTGGACAAACCGAGAATTAGACTAACTGTTTATTACACTAAACAAACAATAGAACAAATGGGAAGTAAACTAATTGGAGATTAGATCATATAATAATAACAAAGTCTTTTTTATATACATGTAGCGCATAATACAAAATTCTGTATGTACTTTATATGGAAATTAAACCAAATTACTATCAGCCTAAATGGTCATTAGATCAAATGATAATTAGACAAAATGATTATCAGACCATGTGGATAGTAGACAGGCTGGGTGTAGACCATATGGGGATAGACCAAGAGAGGGTCTCCCCCCCCCCCCACCACCCACCCCCTACCCCCACCACCCAACTCCATGATGGAAATATTGACTCTCAGACATTGGTAGTAAAATAATCAATATCTTTAAAAGTAGACATTCTTCCCCCTCTGCCAAGAAAATATCTTCTTTTTCATCTGAATACATGTACTTGTTTTCCTGTCCATATCAGAAAATCTCTGTTTATTGTTCCCTTAGAACATCGGCTACTGACTGCGTTGAAATACTCAAATGGGAGATTGGAACGCTCAAGAAAAAGGTCAGTTCGCTTGTGTTTTTATTTTTTTATACTTTCATCTGCATGTAGTACAGCTTCTGTTTCACTGACGCGTGTTTGTTCACCATGATGGTGATATAGATGCTGGTTAATGTGAAAATGATGATGATTGAATGATTAATTGATGGATTGATGAGATGAAAACTGGATAGGCCTGTCTTCATCAGTTTGAGTTTGCTAAATAACCACTATTTTCAGACTCGGGATATTATCCCGAAGCTCAAAATTGCATTTTTACCAGACCGATACGCTCATCACAAACTAGCTCGGACAGGCGCAAATTAGCCCGCTATTTCCCGAATTTGACAGATTTTAATGAAGTTTAATGTGAAGGTACATGATATCAAAACACAGCCTGAGTTTGATTTCGTAGTATGTAGGAGAAAGGTAAGTGCTCATTAAATATTCAAAAAAATATAATTGTGTATCCTAAAGGTGGTTTTCTTCCTTGTCCAGTAATATAAAAGGATAGTTAAATGGCAGTAACTTGTTCTGACGTAAATAGGCCATTTGTATCTGGCAAGGGGATGCTACGCTTTGCCATGAATTGTTATAATTATGACATTTTCTATTAGATTTGATAATTTATACGTTATATGGTATATGTTATATCTCTGACGAAGTTGCTTTGATGGCCATGATTTCCCAAAAGGCCATGATTAACAAATGAAAACTTAGACCCTAGGCCAACTTCCTTTGTTTTAACCATTAAATATCTGAATAATTTATCTCTTTATCACGGTAGATTGGTGACATGCAAGCGCACAAGCAGCAGGTTCCTAATGAGTTTATCATGAGCTACAAGGCCCTTCAAGAAAGACTACAGAAGCTACAGACATTTTTGAAGGAAGGCGGATCACAGGCTAGACATGGTATGGTATTATATACACTTAAAATATTGTATTAAACCATATTATGTTCATGAAAATGTATGATAAAAGAAGAAAAAAAAGATGCAGAAAGCAATAAATCAAATCAAATCAAATCAAATCAAATTAGGGCCGTTGACATAAAGCAATTATGTTGGTTTCATAAAATTCGAATCGTAATCGTAATTCCCCATTTATATTATGTCAAAAAAATTATCAGTTAGTGAGATTCCTTGCAATTCAACTTTCACTCAAACACATGCAATGCATTTTTTTAAAACAATTACCCTGTTTTGTTTTTTTGCTTTGCACTTTGTGTGTGCAAGATGATTAGGTGTGAGATGTTTGTTTTAATTTTTTTTTTTACAAATTGAATTATCACCATCAAACTTAACACTAGTGGAAAAATTCTTAACAATGTTCCACCAGCAATATTCAAAGTCTTCAAAGTATCTTGTTTTTTAGTTTTTTAAAGCAATACAATGTAGGCTTTATTTGAGTGCTGGAGCAGCTAGACACTTAGAAAGACCCCCCCCCCCTTTGATATCACTATTAGCAATGGAGATGCCCCATTCCATCCCCCCCCCCCTAGTCCACAACCTTGACTCACCATCCCTCACTATGACATTTGTCCTTTGACCCACAGCCTATGTCTCAAGGTTACAAGCCCTGTCACCGAACCTCTTCGCCCAGGCCAAAGAGTCGCTCCAGGCAGGTCAGAAGGACAAAGCATCCATGTTCATGACCAAGAGAAAGCTTGTGGATGCTGAAGTAAGTTCACCAACAAGATTTCTTGTTAGGTTAATTCCGTCCTATTTTTGTTTATGTATAGAGCACTGTCGACAACACCTTTTGATTACACACTGATTGTGTAACCTTGCTTTAGACAACTTCATGAAGTATTTCTTTTTCCTCAATTAATGCATGTGATCATTGCAACAAATAGATTTTTTCTAAAATTATATATTTAAAAAAAGGTTGAAAAAATGTCTCAAATTATAGGAAATGGAATTTTGCTCGTACATGTATAACATTGATTGTTAAACTGTACCCAATCTTTAGACTTATCACATTCGAGATATAAACACCCCACCCCTTCAATCTGTTTATAAGATTTTGGCATGGAAAGAGATTTTACACAGGTGCAAGTGAACTTGAAAGCAGTGCACATCAGAGCCTCCAAATGCAAATGCATCATTTTGAAATCAGTAATTTATATCAGTCATTTTTATCTCGCTGTGTGAAGTTTGCAAGATTTGTAAACCATTAAATACTGCCCATTAACCCAGCACTACATGTATGTGTGCAGGCTGTGAAAGCATTGCTCCCGGAACTCCTGAAAGAATATCTTTCAGCTGTGCTTAGTCTGTAACCGTTTTTTTTTTCTTTAACTATATGTGCATACTAAGACAAATAGAATACTGACATTAACTTGGCTACTCTTTGAACATATATACATTTAATTTGCTATTTTGATGTGCTTTGTTTCATACTTCCAGATTGCTTCTTTATCAAGAAGATAGAGCTCTTTGATTCAATTGAAGCATTTTTCATCTGATGAAAACATTATGGAGGTAGTTGCCATGGATACTGAGAGGAGCAAGAAGAGAGTTTGGATGGTGGGAATCAGATGACATGATCATTGCCTTTACTCATGTGTAAATGAATTTTAATAGCATCTTAGAAAAAAACATCAGATATAAGAACATCTGGTTGATTAGTCCCAACTCCTCCTGCCTCTCTCCTTCTCCTCCTCCTCTCCATTCTTCTCGCTTATCTTCTCCCTCCTCTTCCCCTTCTCCCTCCCCCTCCCCATTTTACCTCCCTCCTTCCACCCTCCCCAAACAAGTACATTCTTCTAGGGACAGTGACAAAGTCAGGATTCTCTCGGTGGGGTGGGGGATGGTACAAGCACAAAAAAAAAATCTCTTTTGTAATTTGAGTTCTCCTTCATGGGTTGAAAACCATAGGACACTGTCACAACAAAATGTGTTTGTACCATGTTGTAACAGGAATTTGTTATAAAAGAGTTTTTTATAACAATGTTCCATTGTAAATTCTTTTTATTTAAACCATTATATTCATATAACCCAGAGAGATGTATTTATTTGCAACACTTAGTTCATGAATTATTGTGATAGCTGTTAAAACTGTATTTTAGTTTATGTGTATATGACACACATAATTTATGTAGAGGCCATATTAATGATACCAATATTTTACTTGTATATTGTTGTATAGATCTTCTATATGTGGAAGTTTTGATGTTCGTTTTCTACCATTAATGCAAGACACTCGATCATGAATTTGATAGGATTGCCAAAGATTGTTTATGTATGTCACAAAATAGAGTTTATTTATTGTGCCTGTGCCTCAATGAAACAGAGAATATATGATAAATTAATATGAGCTGGTTATAGGATTTATACAAAGTTTAGAATTATCTATGAATTCAGTTTAATAATGAAATGTGTAGATTTATGTTTAGGTATGAAATCAAAGTAGTTTTATAGCATAAGTGCAACACTGCAAGTACTTTTTTGTTATTCTAACTTATAATGTAAAGAGAAGTCAAGTTTAAAGAATATTTCAATGAAGCAGGAACAGGCCTAGATGTTTTAGTTAACATAAAGCTATAATTCAATACAATAGGATGTCATGGGTGAGGAATGCAGCATGTTTATTTTAGCAATAACCCAAAATTATATAAAGAGCCATAGTCGTGGTACATTTCTAAAGTATAAATCTATGTTGTCGTTAATATTTGGCTAATCTTCTTCTACCAAGAGTAATTATTAACCGATTTGAATATATGATTCAATGAAGTGAAAGGAACCATTAGCATTAATGAGATTAATTATTTTACTGATCGGCTTGTATTCATTTAAAGGAATCCGGTAACTTGGTCTTAGATCCTTTTTAAAAAATCCTTGATTTAGCTCATGCTGCAATCATAATTACCGGAATAAACCTTTAGGTCAGTCAGGAACCCCATGACTTTTACAAGCCGATCGCCTGTCTGATTATCAAGATATTTATGATTGAAAATCGAAATCAAATTTTGTGTTTGCCAAACACTACAGTCTACTGGGGAAAATGAGTATGGTAAAACCGGTCACTAAAAGGTTTTTACTTTTTGGAGGCACTTTTTGATAATTTTGAAGCGGAATTTTTCTTTAGGGCTTCACTATATTACAGACACTGATAACACGTAGGGCCATGCATCTCAGATATAACATTGTGAAACGATCCCTTTAATTTAATTCTACAACAAAATTAATAAATGAAAGAATCCAGTCCTGAAGTAAAAGTAAAAATAAAAAATTGGATTTCATGCTTACATGATTTTTGTTTGTTTAGGTGGAAACAAAATTAAGGTAATTTTAAAGGATGAGGAGATTGACACTTGATACTCTGTAAATCAATGACAGACGCGCAATGGCTCCGTGGTCATGTAACTGGGAGGTCTCGGGTTCAAAACCAACTAGATGTCCTAGTGCTCTTTGGTGAGGTACTAGTCCTCATTACCAAGTCCCTCACCAAGGAATTTGAGTTGTTGGTCCTCTTGTTGCTTACTTAAAAGCGTACAATCGCTTTCTTAGCAGTTGGATTAAACAAAGCATAAAACAAAACTAACTAAATCAACCCATTTAAACCAGTATTATCCCTTTGAAATACAGTTAACAATTTTAGTGTTCTTTTCTCTCATGATTTTGTGTGTAAGGCATGGTTTCCAATGATACACACTTGAATTAGTATATTTGATTCATATTTATGTATAACATATATACAAATCATTATCATAAAATCTAAGGATAGAAGTATTGTTTTCGTCTTTCATAATTTGCTTTTACACTTTATATCTTCAATTATTTTTCATTTGTCTACTTGTCTGTCTACTTCAATTTACACATGTATAATATTTTTTTCTCCTATTGTTGCAATATTTAACAGGCTTTAAACTCTTTCTTCTTTTTTTAGATCTTTAGTTAATAGTATACTTATATGCACTGGCGTACTGATGGGTGGGGGAGGAGGGGGGCAGTTGCACCCCTCCCCCAAATAAATTTAATACCAGTGATTTACAAATGTTGCTGACATGACATGATTTTCTGGGGTTTTTCTCACTTTTTTGTAAATTGTATTTTTTCTTTCTTTCTGCCCCCCCCCCAAGTTATTGCTCACTACGCCACTGCTAAAATGACTGCTTTATTGTTGGAATGATCACAAATAAAAGTGAGATTCTGACTCAAAGATCTCAGATAAAGGAAACAGAGGTATTCAATTAGTTTTATATGTATCCAGGAATCATATACATATGTAATGATCTATCTATATTTTAGAAAAATTAGAAACATATTAAAGACCTTGACCGGAGCAGAGCATTATATAGACAAATTATATACCTACGGACTCGTGAATATTTAATGAATATGAAAATGCAAACTTCTCGAGATTCCACGGCCTCTGAAAGAAGTATTTAGCATCCGAACCCCAGGATTCACGGATTTGAGAGGGGCACCCCGGAGATTTAGTTTCGGCTGCGCTAGCCGGTGGCCGTTTCTACCCGTTTCTGATGACGTCATAACGTGTAGGTTATTTGGCCACTCGGTATAGCAGCTGGTTCTTCGCATGGTGGTCGGTATGTGAAGTTTTCTTCTCTCTTTTTTTGTTGTTGTAAATATCAATGTCGAAGCTGTATTTGGACATTTTACGATTAGAATGTTGACATTTTATATCTGTATTAATTTCACGCTACGTAATATGGAATATCAACCCCAAATTTCCACTAAATTAGATTGAAACGAATCATTTGCCCGCGCTGCTGGCTGCCTGCCTCGGTCTGCGATTGCACAACTTTCAGCAATCTATCGCTGAGCCTCTTGCCTTCACTTATTGGAGAGTAGGTAACGAGTTTATGATGATAGACATTACATTACCAAAAAGATCAAATCAACTGTCACAAGTATGTTATTCATGTGACCTTTATTTTTAACTTCACTCTTTTCAGATTATATTTGGCTGTCCTACATTGGAACGAAAATTGTGATAGAGCCCAGGCTGTTGATGCCGAAGGGAACCCAGTGTACAGGTTGAGGTATCCACGCTCGAAGGAAGGAGGCCACACAGTGGAGAGAGTGCTGACAGCTGGCACATGTGGTAAGTAGCCACATGTCTAGTGAATGATATCAATATTCAACAAAAGAGCTCAATTATATATAGAAATCTTGTATTACTTCATGATCAATAGAATTCAAATTAGTAGATTCTTGTGGCCTATATGCCCTTAATTTAATCTGTTGATTAAATTGATAATTATAAACATGTATTGGGTTACTTTCTGCAAATGTGTAATATTGAATAGCAATTAAGCAGAAACAGGCATATATGTCAGTCCCCAAGTCAGTAAACTACCTATTCAGCAAAGAACATGTGCATGCCATTGGTATTTGATTGGTCATCCACCTACAAATAGTGTGTAAAATTAGGTAATTCAATATTTGTGAGAAAAAGAGTTTTCTCTTCTTATGTTCTTATTTTTCTCTTTTCCTTTTTTCCTCTTATCAAAGTGTATTTTTTTAACACCGTATAGATGAATTTTCAAGGTATAGTTTTGGATTTTATCTTGTAGGTTATGTGAAAGCCCTGATGAGAGTTGTCGTAGAACTGGTGGAAAACAGGGAGCAGCTCAGAGACAACATGGAGGAGCTACAGCCTCAACCAGCACGGAGTGCCTCTCATCATCACCCCGACAATGGAGAAGCCGTGCAAGCTTTTGAACAACATCATCGCTTTGGCGATAGAAACTAGTTCTTTTGGTGATAGAAACTATGATGAATGTGTCAGGTACCTGAACATTAACCACTGATTGTTTTATTTCAGTACAATACATGTTTTTCATAGACCCTAAATTATGTTTATGCCAGTATAATTATGGAGAGTAACATGGAAGTACTCTATCATATGCAAGTGAGTAGTGGATTCCGATTCTATGTGAGTGTAAAGCACTAGAAACTTGTCTGTAAGCTTGTACATACTTACACAAGCCAAAGTCCATGGTACACATCAATAGTCATTGGTTTTAATAGGTAAAATACTTATTAAATTTGTAAAACTTACATTTTTAGTTCAATTAAAAACAATTTCTGAAGCATATGCACTAGATTTTCATAAACACTAAGTAAATCACTGTTGATCATGAATTTGGCACCAAATATAATCTGATTTTTCTCACAGTCCTTCATCTTGGCCAATGCTTTTTGCTTCTTATTTGCAAAAAATAAAAAATAAAAAAAATGCATTTTTTTTCTTCATCTAAACTGTTCTTATTCAAGAACCATTTGATGTATTGCACCAGATATGACTTTATTTTTTGTTTTTGATTTTTTCCCTTTTCTGCCGAGGTGAATTGTGTTATTCATTTTCAAAGTTAGTAGTTTTAAAGATCATGCCATATTATCACAGAAGAGGAAACATTGTGATGATACTTCATCGCATCCATACTTTTTTTTCCTAACAGCGGTTTCCTGTTTGTCCTAAAACCTGGTTATAAAAGATTGAAAAATAATCATCCTTGCAGATATAATAAAAAATAGTCATCTATCCTGTAAACTTTACATAAAATAAGGATGAATGTAATGTACATGTTGCATCAAAGTTTTTGTTCCAATGGTGCATCATTTTGAAATATATTGCACAAACAGAGAAGAAAATGATTGGGGGGAAAAACTGTCAATGGGATGTTCTGAGAATATTTTGAGCAAAGGTAAACAAAAATTCATCTAAAGGAACACAAATCTTGTTTGTTTATTTCTATTATAGGTGTCTTGTAGGAAGCTCCATAATTTAAAGATGGAAATTGCTGTGAAAATGAGAGTGAGATAGAGAATGTGAAGGAAGAAGAGGGATAAAGATAAAACCAATAGGGATAGAGTGAGAGATGTGAATGTGATGGATGGAAGAGGAGAAAGAGAGATTGTGAAAGAGTGAGAGATGGGAATGTGATGGATGGAAGAGGAGAAAGAGAGATTGTGAAAGAGTGAGAGATGGGAATGTGGAGGGTGGAGGAGGAAAAGAGAGGCAGAGGGAGAGAGTGAGAGATGGGAATGTGGAGGAAGAGGAGAAGGAGGGACAGAGTGAGAGATGGGAATGTGGAGGGTGGAAGAGGAGAAGGAGGGACAGAGTGAGAGATAGGAATGTGGAGGGTGGAAGAGGAGAAGGAGGGACAGAGTGAGAGATAGGAATGTGGAGGAGGAGAAAGAGAGGAGGGACAGAGTGAGAGATGGAAATATGGAAGAGGAAACAGAGAGAGGAAGTGGGATAGAGAGATGGGAATGTGGAGGGTGGAAGAGGAGAAAGAGAGAGGAAGAGGGACAGAGTGGGAGATAGGGTTAAGGTTTATCCTTTTTGGGAGGATAGATTTGATGCAAAATAAAGGATTTCCTGGATTTATTACGATGCTTACCATTTATCACACATTTGAAATTTCGTCAACCGCAATTCCCTTCTCTTACTCTCATTATTCCTCTGTCTATCTTTGTTGTGTCCATGCTGTTATTTCTCTTTCTCTCAATTTCGTTTTCTCTTTCAATTTCATTTTCTCTTTCTCTCCCCTTTTCTGACTCGGCAGGTTGACTGTATATGAAATGCTCAAATTATTAAAACAAATTACATTGCAGGGTGTATAACAAAAGAGAAGGAACAAGGCATGTTGTGTTTTTTTTGGTTTTTTTGTTGTTGCTTGTTTATATAGATTTCAACATTCTTCCTCATAAGAAATCGTTGCTTGATCACAGTTTTGCAAAAGTTCGAATATCAGCTCTTGGAAATTAGAATCAAATGTCGAGATCAAAGTTCATAGCAACCATACCATCATGAGAAGTTCAAACAATAGTATTTGTGATGAATATGAAGATGAAAGCCGATGATCACAAATAACGTACAGAAGATGGCTGACAATCACATAGAAGATGACAGTCATTCAAAGTTCGCAAGACAATAGTTGATGTTACATCCTCATCTCAACCGACGCAGGATGGTCCCTTTGTACTGACCACGTCCATCAGGATACGCTTCCATTATTGAGGCATGGACACATATGCTGGCAGTTGCACCCTGATGTCCTTCCCGAGCCAGCCCCAACACCATCTCATGACTTTCCTGTAGGCCACATACCTGTATTTTCTGTAAAATAAAAAGCAATAAAAAAATTTCATTATTTTTCTTAGGATAGATGATTGGATGTCAAAATATTAATTCTTTATTAATTAATTCAGGAAAATAAAAACGATTAAAAAAAACTAAAATGACCAAGGGTTAGTCATTGTTTGTCGGGCGGTGGGGGGCAACATTCAAAATCGCATAAAAAGTTTGTGTTTCATAACTACAGATTATTGGGGGGGGGGGGGGGGGGTGGGGGGTAACATGCTAAAACTCACAAATCGGTGGTCATTCTTGCCTATTTGTATACATTTCCTGAAAAAGTGCCCCGAAGCACCTGCAGATAAGGCAGCTAGTACACCAGTGGTCACCAGGCAAGAATTTTGGTCAAAACTAGTAATTCATCTTGCGGTGACTCAATTCGTTTTGAAAAGTTTCACCCAATAAACTTTCAAAATCAATCCATTTATTTTTTTGCCCTTGCCAAAATGATGAAAAGGAGAAACATAACTTACTCATTGTTCCTGTCCCCAAATGCTTTGGCTGCTCGGCGCCACCTATCTGTGTACTCCATCCATCCGATGTACAATATTGTCGCATTTAGGATGGCCGGCTCAAACTCCTCAGAATCCACCAGACAACTTGAACCCTGTCGATCAGCCTCTGCCTTGACCTCTGCAATTTCCTGACAACAGACACAATCACCTTCATTGAAAGATGGAGGCACACGACATCTTCCACATGTACACCTTGAAATACAGAAAGATTCAAACAAAAATCAATACACCTACTATAATTTTATAAATATTTTATTACAGCTTCCTGATAAATATAAAAATGACATCGTTCTCGTAGTCGTAGTATGGTAAGAGTGCCCAAGGCAGTGCCTATGTCTGCGCACCCACGTAAATGCGCGATATTTATAGAACAAAACATCAAACTGACACCAATTTTCAATCTTAACCTCAACAATTCATTTAGATACCAAAATTTGTGAAAATAATTGGGAAGATTAAAAATGAGTTTTAGCAAGTTTCATTTGCCACCCTGAAAATTTCAATCATTGTCAAAAAAGAAAAGTCTGAACAGGGGGTTGTCCCTGGTATGAAACTTCACTGTGCTTGATTGAATTGCGTGCAAAATAGTGAGTGCGCAGACATGGGCACTTTTCAGTTTTGCTACACAAAATGACGAGCCCGTCTGAAATTCGTTAAAAAAAATTGTTCTTGTGAATAATTTGTCGAGTTTTTTTGTTTCAGTAGATCTAATCATTAGAATATGAAGAACGGAATAACAATGATGATTCTAAAAATAATATCTTACTGTGTAATGAAATCGAGGTCGAATTTTAGGTGCGCAGACATAGGTCTAGATCTAGAGAATCATTCTAACAAGTTAACTTTAGAATTAGACATGCCATTTATGACCGAGTCTAGAGATCTACGGTATTTGATTTCAATTTTTTGGGGAATAAATATTTAGAATGCACAACAAATTCAATAAGCTTATAAGTCTTAATTACCAATCCTCGACATTTTCATGAAGCCGATTTGCGTTGTTGGCCCTTCCAGCATCGCCAACATTTTGCCCAGGTTCACCACGAGGTAAAGGCTCATACTCCCACTCGACGATACGCCCGTGTTCTCCGGCGTCTGCATCACTTGCATCGCTGTCGGTGTACTGCTGCTGCCACTGTCCGGACTGTCACTACTACCACTGACACTGTCATTTTCACAGGCTTTCCCCGCAACTGCCATCCTCCTCACACTCAAATTCCATAACTAAATCATCTTGTGCATCTGCCCTGACGACTGGGGTAGCCATTCTCTTTAGAAAGACTTCTCAAAACTTCTCAAACTTCAATCGATAAAAAGCAGAAAGGATTCACGGTACGCAAAATCAATGTAGATCTCGAACATCGCGCGGCGAAGAATTATAGCAAACAATTCGAGTCTACACGGAATGACGTCACCCAAGTCCGTGCGGCGCGGGGGCTCTTGACCGAGGCGAATTTGGGAGGGGGCGGCAGTTGTACTGTAATTTTCATTTTTCTCAGTAATGAAAAAGTATTTAATTTTTTCTTTCTTGTATTTGTATTTTGTGTTTCATTAGCCGTCTGTGGATGTATGGTTGTGTACGCTCCGGTCAAGGTCTTTAAATATAAAAATTAAAGGTTAATGTGAGAGACAGAGAACAAAATGAATTAGTTTTAACCGGATAAGAGAGAAATAATGAAATATGAGAGAATAAGAGGAGAATTAATGCAATGTGTGTGATAGAGAGAGAGAGAGAGAGAGACATAATGGAATATGAGAGAATAAGAGGAGAAATACTGCAATGTGTGTGTGTGTGTGTGTGAGAGAGAGAAAAGAATGCTTATGAGAGAAATGAAACGATGCGTTGTGAGAGAAAGAGCTAAAGAAGAGAAATTATCCAGACTGGCTTGTTGGCCCTTGTTCTATTGGGAAAAAATGGATTAGCACCCTCATCCCGCTTTTAGGTTTAGAAGGGAAAATAAGATTCCAAGGAGATGAAGAAGAAGGCAATTCAATATTTTCTACCCCAATTATGCGCTAGAGGTCTATACCTATACTTTTTACTTTGTTGACTTCTAAAAATAAAACTTCGACTCAGACTGGATGCGCCAGGCGGTGTGGTCCAATTCTCGCACATAATTGGTCCGTTTTCGGGGGCTTGGCCGTCATGTGACTCGACTCGACTACTAGCGCAGCGAGTACACATGTTTACGTGTGTAAAAGTACGTCATGCAGCGCATGCAGTCAATGGCAATATTTTCGGTGCTTTTCCATGTAGTAATAGGGATTTCAAAAGCCCCGCCAGTATTGGTCCTGTTTCGTACGTGTGCGCAATAGACTGCTTGAGCGGAGTCATTTTTGCATAGAGAAACTGGGACACAAAACTTGAAATAAATTACGTTATTTTCCTCAAAATAAGAGGAAAACTGGTTCTAGAACTAGTGTTATATGAATCTTAAATACATACTAATACAGTGTCTTACCCTTCAGTGCCCTGAGAACTGCTGCTTCCATTTTTCTTAATTTAAATTCAATTTATATCCAAGCTTTTGGGAACCCCAGTTGCGTGTATTAATCCAATGGCAGATTTTCAAATTTGGCGGTATGCGTCACTGCCACCCTGGTGAGATGGCGCTGTTGAAATAGGATCCATTAAAACTGACTGTGAACCCTCTGCCATTGGTCCAAAAAAAAAAAAATCTGATGTAGATGTCAAGTTACTCACCCAAGATAATGTCACAGATCACCCCTTAAATTTTCTGTTTTTTAATACTAAATGAGACCTAAAAATATAAATAAAAAATGTTTTTACATGTTTATATATATTGGGGTGTTAATGTAAGTTATTATCATTATTTTTAAGATTAAATGGCAAAGGTTTGGAGGTAATCAGTCTTTTCAAATTGGCTGCACAACTCAAAATACAAATAAATGACGTCATCACACAGCCTGGTTGCATCTGACGTCATGAAATAGGCGTGGTCTATCGCGATCGCCTGGCTTTGGCTAGTCTTGTATCCATCCCAAACGTCGAATTTATTGAAAAAAATCATAATATCGGTTCTATTTAGTTACATATGGATTTGTACGATGCCAAAGGCCTCACATGATTCTAAAGTGTGAAATTAGGCTAAATCTATCAGATGTTTGTGGATTGGAAATGTCAATCACTAGAATCAGCTCTCCACATGTTGTGAGGTTGGCACAGTTTCGCCGTGTCTTATTTTGTGCAGGGAGATGGGAGTGCCGTGGTGAGTCACACGCAAAGTACGTACATTGCCATGACATTGACATGACATTGACATTACGTGTTTGTCAACAGTGGGATATAAAAGCTCTGATATGGGTCAAGGCGGATTCGGGGGAGGGGGGGGGGGGGGGGTGTGACGGGGGCGGGCGGACAGACGGGCTACCACAACCCAACATTTAGGGGGGAGGTGCCCCAACACTACGCATAACAGCCCCTTGCCCCCACCTCCCTGAAAAAAAGTTTAAAAAGTTATTAAAAAAAAGAAAATAATTCCAAATCATGGTTTATTGAAAACATTATTTTTTTTTATATATATGGCCGCCCCCTCGGAGTGCGTCCTCGTCGCAGCGGCTGGATACTGCTGCAACATTTAGAACTTTCCATGCAGAAGAAATTATAAATAAAAAAAATTGCAAAGTAACTAAAGCTCCGAGATTTTTTGGTGTTGGATGTTCTTTTTCTGTCTTCGCCAAATACTTTTTTTTGGGGGGGGGGCAGGCACAATAGTAGATACCCTATGTAACGGAAAATTTTAAACAAAAAATAATTTTGCTCAAAACAGACTGAAACTGAGGTTGTGGCCTCTCTTTATGGCCGCTATATAAGCATCTAGTGACAGCGGCCCCGTCCTTATTCGAGTCCAAGCTTCTTCTTTTTTTAAATTTTATGTAGGCCTATAAACACGCATGTTTTTGTTTAATTTTTTTTTCAACACTGCTGCACCCCCCCCCCCCCCCACACACAACCACATACAACCAAACAAACTCCCAAAACTAATAGTACATGTAGGCCAGTATTAACGTTATCATTTACAGCTTATTCATTTTCATTTTTCATTTCATTTATTTTCATATTTCTCATGTTACATTTACATTTCATACATTGTGATGAAATTACAATAAAGATACATATGTAAATAACATAAAGGTAAGTGGTCAATATAGAGTACTGATTTAACTGAGAGAAATATGATGGGACCTACATGAAAGCAAGCTTGTAGTGCTGTAGGCCCCTGTGAGATAATTTGTAGTAATAAATGGAGAACGGATATAAATAATGACCAATCAATATAAAATTAATAAATAAAAGTGAAAGAAAAAGAAACTAGCAGTGGTGTTGTTGATATCTTCTTTCCTTTTCTTACGATAGACAAGTGCACTAAATTATTTTGTACAGGATGCTCAAAAACAATGTTAATTGGACCCCTTTATATTGTTTTTTTTTTCTGAGGCCCATGTCTATCTCCCTCTTGCATGTTCTTTCTCTCTCAAATTACATGTAAATCCAGCGAGGCTGAAAGTGGGGGTCAGAGTGGAAAGGGGGCACTTTCGCTGAAGAAAGCTCTTCCGACAACACCCATTGACAAGAGCATATTATTTGTATGCAGGGCAGCGGCGGATCCAGGATTTGAAAATAGGGGGGCGCAGCCTAAAATGAGTGGTTTAAAAAAAAATAGGGCCCCCTGTATCCGCCACTGCAGGGGAAGGGGTTATCGGACACGTCTCATAATATATATATTGCTTTTTATGTCTAAAATGGACATTTTTATTATTTGTTTTTTCTACACTGTTCGTCAGGAAGGTCGAATAATTTATTTTGCGTTTACTCATCACCCACAAACCCTTAATCATCGGATCGGATTTTTTAATAATAAGATTCATCACGGTAAACCATGCAAATGGGTCGGGGCAGAGGAGATGGCCCACATGACATATCAAAAATGTAAATGGACGACCTACAGGCCTAAAACAAAACGAGTTTCATAAAAATGAATAAAATCAATTTGAACCCCAGTCAAATATAACTTTGACCCTTCCCCTAGACAATAGACCTACATGTAATTAACCCTGTAACCTGAACCCAGATCTAACTTTAAGATCAATCACAATCCTACAGCTCAAAGTCGTTTCCTGGGAATAGGACTGAGGGGGCCTTGACCCGGCCCCCCCCCCAAGTCAACAAAAAACGGACCCCAAAAAGGGGGGGGGGAAGCAGAAATGAGTATTGTAGGGCTGGGCAAACATTTTTTATTGTGTGTGTGTTTTTAAATAAAATTATACCCCTGGAAGGGTTGGAAGAAAGTCTGAGATAGTCAGGACCCCGAAGTGTGAAATCAGGGATAAACGCATCAACAAAATTAAAATCAGAGCAATACGATGTTGCTGGAGCAAGAAAATATTTCCCACCCTTATGACAACAGTACATTATTTTTTTATTTGACTATATATTTTTCTCATCAATAAAGATTTTGTTGTGCAAAATAATGTCAATTTTTTTTTCTTTTCTAAAAGGCCTTATATGTGAAAATAAGCCAAAGTGCTTCGTAAATTCTAAATCGAATTCTTTACTTTCATTTGAGAAATAGACTACTCGGAGTTCAATTGCGAGTAGTCTCCAAAATAGCGTTTGGAAAAATATATCAAGATTCAGTTGAATTAGTAACCGTACACGTGATGTATTATCTAAATCGATGCATGGGTTTTTGCCGGTTGCAACGACATCTGAACGCGAGGTATTATTAACGTCTATATTTTGATTAAACCTACAATTATAGAATTCACAAAAGGCCCGTAGTCTACCAAATATTTGTTAGACTGAACACATACATTACGAAGCATGCTAAACGTATAAATATAGCCATTATTTTGAGAAAAACGCATTTTTTCATAAAAATGTTTCGAATCGTTGACGTATTGTACGAAATGCGTAAAAATTCATGAATATTCATAGTGCATGCATTTTAAGACACCAGAATTTGTAGGCTAGCGCAGATAATCGTTCATGAATATTTATGGATGACAACGAAAGCCGACTTGTCTCTCCCTCTCCCCCTCTCTCTAACTTCTTTGCTCATATCTCTCTCCCTCTCTCTCTCTCTCTCTCTCACACAGTTCTTTGCTTATATCTCTCTCCCCCTCGATCTCTCGACAGTCACTCCTTCGCCATCTCTCTCTCTCTCTCTCTCTCTCTCCCCTCTCTCCCTCTCTAACTCCTTTGTTCATCTCTCTCTCTCTCTCTTTCTCTGTCTCTCTCTCTCTCTCTCTCCATTCTGACCTAATAAATGTTTTCAAGCATACAAATGTACAAATAAAATAAATTCGTTCGATGGATCTAAAGTTATTTATCTATTTAACATTTATTTATTCATCATAATTATCCTCATGTTGTAGTATAGCGAATTGTAATGTATTACAATCATACCAATAACATTGACAGAAAGCTTATACATTTTCCTTAAGAATTATATGAATTAAGAATCACTGGCTGCAAACTTCGGCGACCGCAGCTGTCAGGCGCGGCATCCCAGTGCAGTCGCTAAGGTGAACACCATCGTATGCCCACAGCCTGAGCTCCTGCACTGGGAACCTATCCGTGAGATCCACCCAGGAGGCACCTTCTTCCCTTGCAGACCTCTGAAATGCTGCGTTGAAGCTGGGGACGACATACCCTAGGCCATCCAGTCGAGGAAGAATGGAGATCGCCACCACCTGACGTTTAAACGTAAAATAAAATTGAAAATGAAAGTTAATCTGATATAAATACAAACAAAATAAACTCTACACATTGAACCCAGGGGCGTCGACCCTGGGGTACATTGGTGGCAGTTGCCCCACCAATAATTAAACCGGGGGGCAAAGGTATCATTTAAGACCCCCCCCCCCCCCAATAATTCATGATGGATGCGTGAATAAAGTAATGAATAGTTTTTCCCTTTCTCTCGTTACTCTTTCTTCTTCGTTTCCTCTAATTCATCTCTCTCTTAACCCCCCTGATTGAGCAGTTTTGTATGCCTGTCATCAACGGTACCCCCCCCCGTACACACACACACACACACACATATTGAAAAGGGTTATTCTTTTCTGGTTTAAAAAAATATATATATATTTGGCCGAAAGCTTGCTGTCGAAATAAAGGACAAGCGGAGAGCTACGTTTCGACTCATTTTGCTGTTTTATTTTAATAAATTATAATGACATTTCCATTACCTCACACGTCTTTCGTGCTATCCTGAGAAGGTGACGAAACTCCATTTCCGCTTCCTCGACTGGTTGGCGAAGGTTGTTCGTCCCCGCTTCAACGACGATCAGATCGGGTCTGCAAGGGAAGACGAAGGACTTGAACTCCAGTTCAATATGTCCACACGTGCCTCCTGGAGTGGAGCTCACTATGAACTGCCATCTAGGGTGGGTGGGCAAGGGTACAGCCTCTTGCACCACCCCCCTCAGCTGCGAGTCGCCGAAGATGCATGCCAGCTGTACAAGGAAAACAGAAATAGAACAAAGATTAGTGCATTGTGACAACTAGTATAGGTCCTACAATCGTAATAATTAATTTCCTCTTTAATGCAGGCGCTAGAGGATTTGAGAAGAAAAAAAAATACTGCTTGTATTGTTTCTGGAAAGTATTATTAGAAAGAAAAAAAAAATCAACTTTTTGTGCTATACAAATTAATGTGGCATGCTAAGTGTTAATGGGTTATCCTCGCCCTTTTCTCATCAATAACAATTTGTTATCGCGGTGTATAACGTAACAGATTACTGTCAAATTATCTTTCTCTTAGTAATACTAGTACGAAATTCTAAATCGAATTATTTTCTTTCATTTTTGTCATCGGTCTGTCTTTTAGCCCGTACGGTGTCGTCATACCATATGAAATACATGAATATAAATTGATAGGGGGTGGGAGAGATGAAGGGGAGGGGAAAGTTTGGCCTAAAGTAAATAAAAACGAGAGGGATGCAGGGAGAGAAAGAGAGGAAGACAGATCTTGTATCTTAGGATCTTATATCAATATTTACGACAAAGAATAATCTTTCATTATTCTTTGAATCAATATTCTTTGATTTCAAAGAATTGTCATGGTAGGCCTACGGACTACTTTCAATTTTTGTTTAAGTTTAAGTTTTTATTGATTATAAACGATCAAAATATAAACAGGTCATCAGTAAATATTGATAAAAAGTTGGGAGAAAAAGGAATAAAAGGACAAGAAAATGATGATTCATACAAGCAGTACTAAGCCGCACAGAAACTTTTTTTTTTTTTTTTAATTATATGTTTTATCGTTTCAAATCAAATAGAATCACAAAATTTACAAATAATTAGAAGTCATTACAAACAAAAGGAAAAAAAAGAGGTGACAAGAACCACTATTCATTAAAAAAAAACATAATATAAAAGAGAGAACCACCATGATTAAGTAATGTCCAGGAAAGCACAGCTCCAGTAACCATGGTAACACTCATATGGGCAAGAGGCTCCCCCATGCATTCAAGGATCTCCAAGCCAGCCGCACAGAAACATGAAACAGCGTGTAACTACAAAATTGTCAATGTAAAATGTCTGCAGAAACGACACTCGCCTTTCTTATCCTGTCAATCGGCTTGCAGAACATTTTGTTCTGCTTGCCAGAGGGCCCTAGCTTGCTCCAGACCTGGGCCCTTCCCCTCCTGCCTGTTCCATGGGTCGCCATATTATGAGCAGTCTGAGAAAGCAAGAGTAGTGAAGAAGTAATCTCTGCACCGATGTAACGTAGTCGATGCGTTGACTGTATGCTTTCTTGAAAATAAAGTAGCATGCGTGATTAAAGCGCACATTATTTTTCTATCCGCCCCCTTCCTATATTGAACAATGCTGGATCCGTCCCTGCCCCCCCCCCCCCTCCCCCCAAAGAAAGGTCACCATGACGACTGTATAGGCCTACTTTTTTTTGTAAGATGTTTTATTCTGTCATGTACTTAAAAGTTAATAGGCCATGCATTGTACTAGCCCGTCCATGTTGCTAATCCCCAGCTAATCCCCTGTGCCAGCCTAATTTGCTTTGTCGCTCCTTTGTGTGTGTATTTATGCACGAACGTGTACTTGGCATGCGATTACGTGAGTGTGCATGCCATGGGACGTTAAGAGTTAAGTACATTTCCGAGAAAAGTGCACACAGATGCGCTATCGAGAGTCACGGTATATACTCCATGCGATATACTGCGAGTTGCCTAGGCCAATGATGGCCGAGAAGATTGCGCAATGTACCGCGCCGGTCTGGCAGGAAGGTGCCAATTGCGGTGAGGGGTTTTCATGGACCAGTAGATCTGAGATTATATTATCCAAAAAAAAGAAGAGATGAGTATGAATTTACAAATAGTACCAAAATATAGAAGAAAAAAAGAAAGAAATAAAGTGAAAGGCGTAAATATTCTAAAAAAGAATGAAACGCCGATAATACCAAACAACAACAACAACAACAACTCCATCTACCTCTTTTAGACTTCGCGTCGAACAGGTATGTACCGTCGTATCAAAGACTGTGCTTATTTTGGACTAAACATCAGAATTTAAGATTTTTAAACATTGTCTTAATGAAGGTAGGCCCTATATTACATATGCAGACATCCCAACCATTCTGCTTTGGGCTGAAAATGTCTGCTTTTTGGTTATTTTCCTTATTTTTAGTTCACCCTCAACATCCCTTTGTATAAATTTGTGCTTGTGCGTGCGTGCGTGTGTGTAAGCGTGAATGTGTGCTATATCTTATATGCGGCTTGTGTGAATGAATGCATGTGTACTGTTACTTGTACATACATTGTATACACCAGTTTACAGTTGTGTGCGCCATTTTAAACAAAGCCAATGACCTAGAGGTCATGTATTTATGCGTAAATTAAGATTGCGCCCATGCAAATTATTATGATATCACTGCCTGCGTGCTGCAATCTTAATTTACGCATAAATACCAGAGGTCAGAGGTCAGTGGCCCCGGAACAGGGCCTATGTACACACACACAATTTTTTTTTATTGAACTCACCAAAAACCAGACCCCCTCATACTTGTCCACAAGTAGGCCTATGACTCCTATCTGTAATATATCAGGGGAAAATCTTGTGGGTTGAACTAATCCCTCATTTTTCACGCATTGTTCTTGAGTCGACTATGTGCAGTTCATGTTTTTTTAATGTGTTGAAAAGTGCGTTGCCATGGTAACGGCCTATTATTGCAACAAATCCGTAAAGTCTTGCAGATCAAACTATTTCTTCATTTTTCGAGCAATAGGGGGCCTACCCATTAAATGTGGCACACACAATGTGGGCGGGATATTAAAGGGAAATTCCTGTTGTGGTCGTGAGATTGAATTGTGGAAAAATCTGTTTCAAAGTGATTGGGAAATGTTGATTACAATTCACCTAAGAACTGTTGTATGCTGTGAGGTTTTTGAATCATTTGAAGAAATTAGCTCAATTCTGCTGAGAGTCACATGGACTGCACACTGAAATGCATGTATGGGACTATACAAAATGTTAGGCCTGAACATTTCAGCTGTTTTTTTTTTTTTTTTTGTCATATTGAGGGCACTGAAGAGCAGTGGACCTGTTTACTGTAATATTCTTCCAAAAACACATGAAAATAATTTGAAAACACATAGTAATTTGTGTTTACCTGTCCCACTACAGGAGTTTCCCTTTACACCATAAACTGCGAAGTGGTATTTCTAGTTTCACAGTGATCTTCATCATCAAAAAGAAAGCCTAAAGCGACATGGATCCTGGAGCGGGGTTGAGTAATTTGCAGCAGCAGGTAAGTACCGCCGATAGTGAGCAAAAGGAGAGTATTGGGGCATGTTGTGATGCGTTAGGAATAGTAAAGAATGTTTTGGTTGACATCGTGTGTGACAGGGAAGTGAAGTGGACGAAGTTGAATGCAGTAAGTCTGGTGAATGGTGTGCTCGTGGAGTTGACAAAGTGGTTGAAGAAAGAGAGGAAAAATGTAAGGGTAATTTATAAGCTGGTGCATGCACTGTTTGATGTAGACGAGCTGAGCGATGACCAGCAAAGGAATATGCAGAGAAGAGTCGAGACGGTGTTTGCCAACGAGTCGAGGATGAGGAAACGTCTGAAGACCGCGATTGCCAGAAAAGGTGCAAATCAGCAAGACATGCAGGATGAGCTGAATACATTTGAGAGAACACTGTTCAACTTTCGACCACAAGTTCGAGAACGTCAAGAAGAGAGCGCAGATGTTGGTGATGACGCGGCAACTACGACTGTTGCTGCCACTAGTGCCAGAGATGATGAACTTGAAAGCCTACAAGAGAAGCTAGAGTGTGTTACAGACAACTTTCGATCTCAGCGTGGAATAGTGGGTTCATCTGCGAAGAAACTACGTCGTGTGAAAAAGAAAAATAAACAGCTAAAAGACCAGAAGGAGCACGCGGTTGCAGCCTTAGCTGCTATGACGACACAATGTGAAAACGCAAAGGCGAATGTGCAAGAGCGTCAGAAAGAGATCCGGAACGCAAGGAAAAACAAGAAACAATTATTGAAGGTGAGGAAGGAATTAATGAACGCTAAAAAGGACGCTAAACAGAGTTTGAAAGTGAAGGAAGACCCCAGTGATAGGGAGGCGGTTGTAAAGCGGTTGAAGAAGAAGTTGCGAGCGGCTAAAAACAGCCATAAAATAACACAAAAAGGGCTCAGAAAGAGTGAGAAACAGCTAAAGCGTAGCAAGTCACATCTTGACACCTTGAGACGGAAGAAGAAGGAGTTCTACAGAAACATCCGTGAAAAGAAAGAAGTGGGAAAAAAAGCGGGAGAAGAGAAGAAAGCGACATCTAGTTTGATAGCTGATTTGCGGAAAGAATTGAAAGAACTGAAGAGTGAGTTGGGTGTTGATGTCGAAGAGAGACCAACGACTTTCAAATCTAAACAAACGTACACTGCTAGTATAAGAGAGGTTTATCAGGACTTGATGGTAAAGCATGGGGTGAGCTCCACAACATGCGAGGGTGTTGTTAGGACTGTTCTGGAGGGGCTAACAGACATACCCATGGATGATGTAAAACTCCCCAAAACGACATCCGCATGCACCATAATGCTGGAAGGACGCAAGCTCGCCCAAGTTCAAGTTGCAAGAGCTCTAGCAGAAGGCAAGGACTTGACTGTGGCAAGTGACGCAACAACCAAATTTGGACACCACTATTCTTCTTATGATGTCTACAAGGAATCAGATGACGGCAGCGGACCATCAGCCATGACGATTGGAATGAGAGAGAGCGAAGGTGGGACTGCTCAAATAGCGCTGGATACATTGCTGAGCATATTGCAGGAAGTCAGCGACATGCCAGGGTCAACGCACACAGTGCAGAAGATGATTGCAAACATCAAGAACACAATGAGTGATCGCCATATAGCCGAGAAAAAATTCAACAACCTCCTGAAGGAGTACAGAGAGTCTATTCTGCCGAACATTGTTGAAGGATGGGCTGACATGAACAATGAAGAACAGGCAAAGTTTGCTAGTATGAACGATTTCTACTGTGGACTTCACTATTTGGTAGGGCTTGCCGATTATTCCAGTACTGCTCTTCAGACATGGGAGCGTATGATTTTTGGTGATGATAAAGTTGGTGCAGAGACAGTGCCTGGAGTCCATGTAGAGAGTGGGTGCGGTACCGTGCGTTTGGTGCGCACGATATGCAAGGCAGTACAGGACCGTGGGTGCGAGAAGGCAGGTAAACCCCTCCAATTCCGATCTTTCTTGCGGACAAAAGGGATCACATCTGTTCCTCTTGCTCCTTTCAAGGGGAACAGATTTAACATCATCTTCCACAACGGTGCCGGCGTTTTCTTTCTCGCCAAAGAATTGAAAGAATTCTTCCAGGAACATGCGGAGGGCAATCAACTGCTAAAGGCGGTGAATGCAGACCTTGGCGTCAATCAGTTTCTCGCAGCCGTACGTGCGCTCGGTCTAATTGACAAGTTGGTGACTGGCCCACTGTGGCAAGTCATAAACGAGCCAGGTCACATTGCTACCATGAACGAGCATTACACATCGATGCTTTCCTGCTTTGAAAGGTGGTCTGATGACTCCAGTGAGTTCATGCGCGGTGAAGATGTTCTGTTCGAAGGCAAACATGACCCTTCAGACCCCATCTTCACTGCACTGGTCACCCCAAATCCTGAGCTTGATCCTATGACCAAGCAGGTACTGGAAGTGCTCTTCCTGACATACTGTCAGGTAACCGAAAAAATGTTGGAAGATCACCTGCCTTCTGGAAAGCACTCTGAAATGGGAGAAGAGAAAGTGAAGGAGACAAAGAGTGTGCCGAAAACGAATGTAGGAGTAGAGCGGGACTTCGGTATGCTTGATAGATTGATGCGGTTGAAGCCATCTGCTGGTATGATGTTCGTAGAGAGCATCATTATGGGTGTGCGGAATAAGACAAGCGAATGGCGAAAGGGTCTCCATGTAACTGACAGAGAAAAGTTGATGGAGTATGCGAGAAAAAGCGTCAAGGCTCAGAGAGATGAGTATGCCGAGAGAGTGAAGCAGTTGTGGGATGAAAGAGCGGCGAAAAGGAAAAGTCAACAGGAGAAGGCTGAGGAACGCGAAGTGAAAAAATGTGTGAGAAGTGAAAGTGTGTATGTGACCGTGGTAGAGAAATGTGGAGGAATATGGATGTCGGAAAATGAGGTGCATGAAAGACTGCAAGGAGAGAGTGAGAAGAAGTGTAGTGAAATGCTGCAAGCGCAGCTTCAAGCGAGGAGGCATGTGTTTCGTGAGGCAAATGTACAAGGAAGGCTGAATGTCAGTGCAAAAGGTAAGAAGAAGAGTGTGCAAGAATTGAAAGAGTGCCTTCTCGAAATAATACGGGTTGCAAGTGAACGAAGCGAGCGAGAGGAGGATAGAGCAGAAGCGGAGTATGCGAGTATGTGTGCATCCGAAGAGAAAGTGGCCGAATATCGCGGACGGGTAGAAGAGAAACGGAGTAAAGTCAAGAGTCGAGCAAAAAAGAAGGCTGTGGAGAAGGACAGAGTGAAGTATGACGAGTTAGTCGGGAAAATAGTGGATCACCTAACTGAGGGAGAAGGGGGGCAAGAAGAGCGGCATCGGGCCATTATCACAAGTAGAACAAGGAAGGGCCTAAAACTTAGTTACGATAGTGAACCTCGGGCTTCGTATGAGTACACTAGGAAACAAATAGAGGATGACCTGGATAATGGGGACTTAAAGATACCCAAATTGAGCATAAGAGACATTGTGGGGAGGGACATAAATCACAGGTTCGAGGTTGATGACGAGTTGATTTGGTACAGAGGGTATATTGATTCTGTGACTCGAGGGCAAGAGTGCATAGTACTCTATAACCCACTAGGAGAGGAAGGGTATGAGCTAGAAAGTTCATGGGAAGGGCCAATTCTCGAAGACTATGAGAATAATGATGTAAGATTTGTTAGGGAAATTTAATTAATTTCTTTATTTGGCAAGACATTAATCTACATCCGTCACACTCGACCCAGGTGAAGTAAATGGGTACCGGTAGGAAGAAATTCCTTGAATGCTGTGTGCGCCTTATCAGGGTAGCCTAGCTAAGCCGGGTAATAATGACAATAAGCGCCTTGAGCACTCTGCAGAGTGGATACGTGCGCTATATAAATTGCTTTATTATTATTATTATTATTATTATTATTATTTATTTGTTAATTTACCAATAGCATAAAAGGGTTCCGGTGGCGTACTTTCACTTAATGGGAGGGGGGGGGGGGCCTATAATATGTTTTTTTTTAAATAGTATATTTCACCGTTAGGTCCTGCGGGCTGGGGTGGTGGTTGCGTGGTCGAGAGGAAGAAAGTGTGTGTAGTTGTGGCAGAGAGCTTTCGCCATTCGTTTTTCGTCTTATTCTGTTAAAGCTGGTGTATTTATATTGATCTGTTATGAAACACTCCAACTCTACAAAAGCATAGTGACCGTTACACCAATTTTTTACGCGTTGAATCTTTGTGAAAATTTGAATTTGACTGGTAGATCAGATTGAGCGCGATCTCTATCGGCAATGATATAATTTCCCTTATAAAAAGAAAAAACTTCCGAAAAATGATTTCATAGATTTAGCTAATGTATGTCAGAAAGGCATACACGAAGATATTATCCTGAAATTTTCCTCCACTTCCGTGCCTGTGAAGTTGTTTTATGTCAAAAATAACAAAAATACTCATTTTCCGGGACCCCGACTTTTGATATAAGACATTTTTATCGTAATACTATACACATTTTGATTTATAATGCTTTTTAGATCTCATTTATCTAGTGATATGTGTTTTATCATATAACCTTTCATTATATCTTACAATAAATTCACTCTTTGAAAGTCTGTATTTTCAGATTTACCAAAACTATATCCCAGCTAAGATAGGTTATGGGGTGTGATCGAGAGGACAAAAGTGCTTTATGTTCGTTGGAGAGAGAGAGAGAGCTTGTTTTCATTTTGGGATAGTCTTTTAAAGATAGGTTATGGGGTGTGATCGAGAGGACAAAAGTGCTTTATGATCGTTGGAGAGAGAGAGCCCAAGTTACTTCCAATTACAGTTTCCTCGAACCTGTCATTTTTGTTTTATATTCAACCCTAACTGCACGAAAAAAAGAAAGAAAAAAAAAAAAAAAAAATGGTGTATACCATTTTGTTTTGCCATTTGTACTTGAATGCACATATTTATCATTTAATTGTCTACAGCACCCTTACATTGATTCATGGTTTATTTATGTCCATGTTCGTGTCGTGGTTCTGCAATAAAACAAATTAATTGTTCACAATAATTGTCTGTTTCAGTTATTTACTGCAGGGGCCACAGAACCGGGGAGGAGTTGGGAGTGCCCATTCCCTCCTCCTCCACATGCACCCAAAATATTCAAAGTTCTGTGGCCCCTGTTCAGGAACTAACTCCCGCCTGATCCTACGGGATAATAAAGGGGCCTGGGCAGGGCCTTGGGGGCAGTTCCCAATGGCGCTCAACCAGGGTTGTGTGTTTGTGGTGGTTTTTATTTCAGAACTGTGTGTGAAAATCAAAGATTTTTTATTTGACACGCCCTCTTCAACGATGTAGGTCAGATAGAAATGATGAATATTCATGCCATTGCTAATCCTGATCCCTGTCTAGCTTGATACTTATTAATGGATGCCCAAGAAAATTTCGGACCAATCGGTGCTCAGATAAATTTGGACCAATAGCCCCCCCCCCCACTCTCTCTCTTTCTCATTTGCTCACCTCTCCTCCCTCTCTCTCTCTCTCTCTCTCTCTCACACACACTCCTTAGCTCATCTCCCGCCCCCCCTCATTCTTCTCATGATCTTTTTGTTTATCTGCTCCCCCTTTCTGGCCCATTAGATATTTGTACGCTGCAAACAGACACAAATGAAAATATATTTATTTCATGGATATCAAGTTGTTGTTTTTCGGAGCTTCTGTTACTACTGCAATCATTTTTTTATTCCTGTTTTCTTTATTCTGCATGGAAATTAAATGTTGCAGTAGCATCCGGCCGCCGCGACGTGGACGCACTCCGAGTAGGCAGCCATATGAATCACCATGTTTAATGAATAAGAGTAATACGAATAACGAGAAAATAAATAAAGAAAAAAAGGTCCTGAAACTAAATTTTTATAATAAACAATGATTTAGAATGATTTTTTTGGGGGGTGGTTGTGTGCCCCCAAGAACAAACGCCGTGCTTAACGTAAGTTCTTGCGGGCACACCTCCAACAAACGAGGACCTCTGATCCTTCGGCCATACTCAATGATCTGACCGAAGGATACAGATTCTTAAAAAGAAACCTCGCACAGTCGGGGCAGAGCAGATGCCGGCAAGACATGACCAGGCCGCATGGCCTGGGCATCTTGCCGGCATCTGCCCAGCCTCGACATTGCGAGCAAACGCGCTCACCTACTGGCACTTTGGTTAATTTTGCTCTGGACATGGCGATTCAACTTGTGAAACAAACTAAACGTAGGCTACGTCGTATGTACGTTTGAAAACAAAACGGGTTTCATAAAATAACGCCAGGGCACACATTTGTCTTTAGCCTTTAATAATAACTTTTATACTAAGAGAATAGGCCTACACTCACACACAAATTCTCGGCAAAAATGCATTACGCTGTGGCCTTAACATCTTCCCAATCATCATTTTACCACCTAATAGCATATAGTTTTTATCATGATTTTACTTTTACCTTTATTTATGATGACCCAGTTTATTTCGTTATTTTTAATTGTATTGAGGAGGCGATAAACGCGGAGTGGTGGATTTGGGCCCGCGTGACGGTCGAGAACACACCTGACTTCATATATTATTAAGTAAGTTCCTTTTTTTTCATTGTCATTACAATACTTTTTGTTGTTGTTGTTGTTGCAAAATATTATCCAAATATCGGGAAATTGAGGCTCAAAGTAGATCAAAAATGCGGATGTACATTCATATCTACCGGAGATTATCAGTACATTCATATCTACCGGAGATTATCAGTACATTCATATCAACAGTAGACTACCATTCCAAAAACATCCCATCAAAGCTTTGATTCGATTTCTTACTTGCTAGAAGAAAATAACAAATTGTGTTGACTTGGACGACGGGATCAAGACTATGCAACCGCTCGAACTCGACGTGACCTTTTAGTCATACGCGCTCGGATTACAGGCTCAGATCGTGAACACGCCCCCTTTCCAAATTCGAACGCGATGCACAAATAGTCATAGCTGAGGCGGTTAATTTGAATGCAGAACTGGGACGGAATAGATCAAATTTGAGCATCAATTTACCGAAATTGGGATCATATTTTGGAATCTAACCACTTCCATTTGGCTTATATCATCTTTCTCTTCCAGGTAAGCTATATTTTGATGTTTCTTAGTCCACAATTAAAAATCTAGCAATTGTTTTTGGAGACCCTAGTAGTAACGAATGTTGTCACTGTGAATTCCGTAGAGTGGGACATAATTCCGGTGCTGTATCAGGAAACATTCAATCTGTAAAGGAAACAGTATTCTTTCGAACGAGATTATTACTTTGGTAAGCTTTTCGTGATTATATTATGAAGTCTTGAAAGGGAAATACAGACTCTAGACTCTGTACTTTGTTACTTTATTTTTTGGGTTTAGTCCGCCCGGTGTCCGACTCAGCTCCGTCGCTCAGGGCGCGCCGGCCGGCGAGCTTGCGCTCGGTGCATATACATGCGGATTGATTGAGATTTGGATAATGAAGCCGAAGCTAAAATTGCTGTATAGATCGAGATTCGACTTAAGTTTATTAAATGATTTTGTGTACTTACCCGTAATGGTTGCTTTTAAGTTTTATATTAATCACGTTATTGCAAAGATTATGCATGCCCAAAGTCATAAAAATTTGAGTAAGTTTTTACTAGTAAGAACAATGTCATTTTTGAGAAAAGAAAATATAATTTATGAATATATATATGATGGTACCAGGAAGTAGATTCTAGATCATAAAATGTTTTCATGTTGACTTTGCATTTCTCAAAAATGACATGCTGGTGCAGTGCTCTAAGTCTAAGGCTTAAGCTTCAAATTGTGAGTGCAAAGCAGATATCGTTTGACATGAAACAGATGGCTATAATAATAAAATGATAATCCAAAAGGCTTTGGAGATTTTAGATCTAGATCTATCATCTTGATCGATGTACATGAATAAGCTTGAAATATAAGATGACATTTTGAGGCTTGTTTTGAATGAACACTATATCCACGGATCTTCCTCATAAAGTTCAATTATAGATTGATAAATGAACTCCAATTGAAAGGGAATTAGCCAAAAGTGTAAGCTGTCGCAAAAAGGAAGTCATCCTGTAAGCTGTGAAAAAAGAAAAAAAGATGGAAGAACAAATAAAGATCGCAACATTTAAGTTGTAGAGGTAGAAATATCATAATAATCAGCAAACTTATTATATGACCATGATGATTGGAGGTTTTTTGAGGGGATCCGTCTGCAAATCATGAAAATCCAGAAATGCCTTGAGGCCTACAAAGTACAAACACAATTTAGATCTAGGTCTAAACTCTATATATGTTAAATCTGTTTATCGAGGTACATGTAACTCAAGGGAAATAGAGAGAGTGGCCACTGTAGACAGGTTCTACAAAACATTTTTTTTTTTGAGGGAGACAAACACATGGCCACTTTAGACAGATGATGGCCTTAATGGGGAAATGAAAGACAAACTTGTCTGAACACATATTTAGTCCATTCATTAAAACCACAAAGAGAAAGAATACCTAGTAGGCTAGTACCATGGTTTCCCATTACCAGAACTCAAACTTTTTTGTTTATATACTTACTGCCTTACTGTCTATACAATATACATGTAGGTACCGCGTGCATGTACTATACCCATATTCCTTTTCAATTTTCATCACTTATTCCCTTAAATAGAAAACAGGATGTTGTTAAATTAATTGATCTCAGACTTGGTCTTATTTAAACAATGTGGTGTATGACTGATACCTGTATGATGAGTATGATGTTGATTATGTTGTTGAAAAGGTTAATATGTGAAGGTTACAATGTATGTCTGAAGGAGAGTCCGATGTCTGTACCCTCAACTTTTCACTTGAAATTGACAAGAATTTACCCTTTTGCTGATCTCATCCACTTATTCCTTAAATTCTAGAGTGTACCGGTAAGAATGTCCTGAAAATCTCATCAAATTTTGAGTACCGTAAGAAGAATGTTATTTTCACAAGAAAATTTGGCGGTGTCAATTCCAAGATATCTTGGGATAGTTTGCATAATATCACACTATTTGGCAAAATATCCAGCTATTTGTCCCGTGCATCTTCACTAGACCAAAGATTCGCAATACGCGCTAACGCTGAGCAAAATATCTCGAGCTAATTTCTCAAGGTCGAGTTACAAGTTTCGAGGTCGAATCTCGAGCTGATGAAGACGCAATTTGTAACTTCGGGATTATTTCCCAAATCAGAAATAGCGGGCTATTTGGCAATCTCGAGATGATGAAGACGCGCCTTTAAGATATCAGATGCATGAGTAGAAAGGCCAACTATTTCTACAGTCTACACACACTGCATCCATTTTTTTTGCATGATCGTATTGCATTAGATTTCAGGAATTTTATTCTATCTTTTAAAACCTTAGATTGGAAACACAGAGAGGTTCAAATTCATTGCTTTACATTCAAATTTGGCCACTTCAATTTTTTCACAAAGTTTAAACCGCATGCAGAGATCATAAGAATTCATTTCAACGGTATGTAGCACTACTGGTATTAAAACGATAACAAAATACTGTTGCCAATTTGAAGAGCAACATGTAATCAAATAAATCCTGTCCTGAAGGTTATAATGTCATGCTCAAGTTGGGAAATCCACAGGATGAAGAAAATCCTGGTTGTGGTTGAGTTTTAAAATGAAACAGGACTCTTAATCCTTCCGCACAGTTTCAATTGTATACATGTACAGTATATTAACAGCATTACTTCTCCAATCATTTCTGAGATGAATTTTTATTTATTTCCACATTTCCATTGAAATGTTAATTGATTTTATAATTACAAATGGATTCAGAAATACCTGATATTGTATTAAACAAGCATTTTCTATTCATTCAACATTCATAAAATGAAATGCATTTCAGTCTAATGTACATGTACATGTACATGTAGTATTGTAGTTTAAAGGTAAAGACCAGTTATGGTCATGCGATTGCGTTGTGAAAGAAACGTGGAATCGATCAGAAAAGGTTGATCATCTAGCATCTAGCATCTGCAAGGTTCTGGAATCATCAAAATGATAAGAAATTTGGCCCATTCTTCGTAAAGTTACAAGCACTATACACAGAAAGATGTATATGGGACTACCCTATATCTCTCACAGACCACGAGAGAAACAAATTTACCAAATATATGAATTAGTAGGCGGTTTCCCGGCAAATTTTTTATCATCAAGTATTAGTCAAAACATATTCTTTCACATGATTGGTAATGAGAGCTTCCATTTCATTTTTTGAAATTGGGGCGTTTCCAATACTGGTCTTTACTTTTAAGCTCACATCAGCACAGTACATGTACAATATATATGTATCTCTAAGTACATGTATTGTAAAGAGACAGACCTTCAAAGTGAGGCCTACTTAATATATGAACCTGTATGGAAAGTCAAGGTCAACCGGGGAAGTGACATTATCCACTTCATGCACCTGTACAATGTTTATTGTACAGGTCAAAGAAACTAACTGTTCATTGCCTAATCCAGCATCGCATGTTTTAGGGGCGTTCAAGCAACACTTTTTCACCCTAGAAACACGGTTTTCAAAGACGTTTAGTTTAAGAGATGGTTGAGTTCAAGCGATTTTAAGCAATTTTTAGTCAGTCGTAAAAACAAACGTGTTACATGAAACGCTGAAAAACTATGCGTTTTGTATCGTGATTCAGAAGGCATGTGGCGAAGTTGACCTATACTTCCTGGGTCAAACTTCGCAGTGTGGTGAGCAGTGGCTGGGCATGAGATGAGCGAGAATCAGCATTGATGAAAAATCGCTTGAACGCTCGCCTGCAGTAATCTTGCTTTTTAACGGCGTTTTAATTTGTGGTTCAAGCTTTAAAAAAGTTGCTTGAACGCACCCTTGGTATACCAGGGAGTTCCAACTCCCTGGTATATACACTGTAGCTGACACCTCCTTTACCCCCCAGGTAGACACACAATGCACACATTTCTACAGCATTTGTATACCGGTATGTTTCTTCTTATACTGTTTTCACACTGGCAATATTTTGCTTAACCCTGTACTATAGGTGGGGTTAAGGGGGGGTCTTAGCCCCACCTATAGTACGGGGTTAAGCCTATTCCACTTTCTGTTCAGACTGGTTTTTACCAAAGTGGGCTAAAGTTGGCTAACCCCACCTATAGTACGGGGTTAGCTAACCCTGCAAAATAGCAGGGCTAACTCCGCAATTGTGGTGCTAACTCCTGCTAACCCATTAATTGCGGTGCTAAGCAAATGAATGAGAACAGAAACAAAAAATAGTCCGGTACTACGCAATGGAGCGTATCGCAGCTGCCCAGATGCGAAGTATGTCCAATCATAACATACACGATATCAGGGGTTAACGAAATGTAGTGAGAACAGCGGGAATTTTCTTATTCCGGAATAGGCGCTAGTACAGGACTAAAAACAGCGAGTGTGAAAAGCCAAAAAAATAGTCCGGGGTTAAGGTTAGTACGGGGCTAAGCAAAGTACGGGGTTAAGCAAAACCAGTGTGAAAAGAGTATTAGTAAATGTGAAGGTAATAACCTTCAATGATTCAATCAATATACAGTACCCAGAAAGGAATACACTGTAGTGTAGGCTTAGTCTGCAGGCACAGACCCTAATTTAACACTTTATCAACAAATCGTTGGTCTGAGAGAAGTCTAGCCAAGCTACCTACTGCCCGGTTGTGAAGGAGCAGCTACAGTACATGGCCTATGGTAGTCTTATAGCGCAGACTCACTTTTACAACTGACCAGGGTTTGTGCTTGCAGACTAGTGTAGGCTGTAGTCTCAGCTAATGTTTTTGTAGTGCTGTAAACAGGGGCATTCTCCTGATTATATCTCTTTCTTCTCCTCCCCTCTCAATCGCCCTTCTCTTTTTTCTCTATCTTGCTCTCGTTTTCACCTTCTCCCCATTTATCTCTCGATCTCCCCCTCTCTCTCTATTACTTTTTTCTTGTAAAATGTACATGTGCATGTATGAGTAAACTTGTACTGTAAAGTAAGGATTGAATAAATGTCTACAGAATTTTAAAGAACTATCTTCGGTAGAGAGACGCATTCACCTTCCTATATACATGTATACCCTACATGTAGGTAACCATACAATACACACATTTCTATACATGTAGGCCATTGTATCTTATTACATGTGAAAGTTAAGGATCCAGAGAGGGATTATACTAAGCTTGCTTCAGGTGAGGAGTTGTTTGGTTTTTGTAGTTCATTGTACTTTACTACAGCTTGTATGAGTAAACTTGTAAGCAAGGATTGATCTTTGAACAAATAGATATAAGCACTATCTTCCAGAGGGATGATAAACTTGTGTATTTTGTAAATGCATTTACTATCCAATACAGATTACAGATGTACAATGTACACAAAGTCCTGTACAGTGTAGACACCAAGTAAACAGATCTACATTGTACATGTGTACATGCTGAATGGGATTGAGTATAATCTGCTTCCTAGACTACTTGAAATAGCCCTCATACATGTACTTGAAAAATAAACTGTAAAATAACAACAAAATTCTACTACATGTACTACAACTAATAATAATAAAATGGTAGTTTTCTCTTTTATTCCAGTGCCTCGTAGAACTTGGTGTCCCCTGTAAATACATTTTGTATAAAGTCTATATATAGCAAAGAGAGATTTCCTTTAGTCAGCAGGTTTATAAGTATTGAGGCCATCTCCAAAACAAATTAATTATGAACCCTTTCAGGTTTCAGAACAACGATTTTTATTAGGGCTGAAATGATCTCATATTCTTCAAATTGGCAACAATGATATTTTTTTTTGATGCTACATTGTTCTAATGAAATGAAGTGTCTCTGAAAACATTATACACAGGTTTTCATTTTGTTAAAAAGCTGAAAAAGTGGCCAATTTTGATTGAAAATAAAATGTTTGAACCTCTAACATCTTGTCAATATAAATTTGCCCTTCCTTTTCATGCATTTAATTGGTACCGGTATATATTTTTGATTGCTCTGAATCAAAAGTTTGAGAGCCAAACAACAAAATGCGGGTCGGATGCTTGTCCAGACGGAGTTCAGCGGACAAAAGACCGAGAAATGAAAGTCTACGTAATGATTTAACCCAACTTTTAAAGATACCTTAACTTTCATTCGCACAAAACATTTGCAAATTTAGCAAGTGGTTTGAATTCTTGAAAAATCTTACATGTATGCTGCAACATTTATTAATAAATCATAACAATTGACACAAAGCCAAATTTTTGCCATTAACAACTCATTTTCTTGCCATGAAAATTTCTATATCATTTATACATAATTTACACATTTTGAAAAATTCATCTTGTAAATGCTTCTGATTTTAATACAGTACATATATGTTTACCGGTACTAAATTTCCTTCCAGATACCCCTATTGCAGCATGACATCAACAATGTGGAGGTCAACGTTGCGAACGTTTGCCAAAAAGATTCTCCACACCAGCAGTGTGAGGGCGCCCCAGATCCGCTTCCTTTCGGTGACAACGTCTTACTGTCAATCCTACTCTCCCATCGGTAGTCTAGACCAACCCAGAATCCTCATTACGGGTGAGTAACAATTATTAATATTGACTTGTATTTTGTAAAGGCAGGCCTGATAAAAACCCGATTTTTTTTAATTTTTCCTTAATTTTTTTTTTTTTCCCCGATTTAAAAAAAAAAAAAAAAAAAAAAAATCCAGATTTTTTTTTTTTTCCTTACCAATTTTTTTTTTCTTCTCTATTTTATCCTGATTTTCCCGATTTCCCTCTTATTTTCTCTATTCTTCCCAATCTTGCCCTATTTTTTCCCCAATTTTGTCCCAATTTATTTACTCAAAAGGGGGGAATGTTAAATGCCATTTTTTCCCCGCGAATCCTCTTTTTTTTTTTTACTCAAGGGGGGCGTGTTTGAGGGAAAAACAAAAAACCTCTTTTTTTTTTTAGTGCTCACTATCACCCCTGTAAAGGCTTTTTCAGATATGACAGGGTAAGCCACATTCAACAAAATAAAAAACACCTTTTTTTTAAATGTGGAAATGCACAGCAACTGCGGGCAACAAAGGTCGGCTCGCCTAAGTATATGAGGGGATGGGCCGTGCTTAATTAATGCAAAGTCATTGTCTATATGGATACTTCACATAAAATGATGTCATCAAGTCGAAAGCTAGTTAATAGGTCGACAACTTCCCATTTTCAAAGCTTTAGATCTTGAGTTTTCAGAGAGCTGTTAGCAGGTTGTCCTCTGACAGACACTGAAATAGTATATACCGTAATTGACATGATTGTAATCTATGGCATATGAGCTTTCCGTTGTTCTATAATTCATCTACATGTATTTCATATTTCATTTCTGACAGAGTCTTTCAGAATTCTAGACCCATTCATATTACATATATCTCACTTCCAGATCTTTTGCTATGTACAATAATTACATTCTGCTGTTATGAACAAGCTTTATACTGTCTGATCCTTCCCTTTAATTGCATCCACTTTGATTTATTTTCCAGGTGGTCTTGGACAGCTAGGCCAGGGGCTAGCCAAGGTGCTCAGAAAGAGATACGGGCGTGACAATGTCATTCTGACAGACATCGTAAAACCTCCCAGGCATATCGTTGATGCAGGTTTGTAAAGAGTAAATTCAATGGACGGAATCGATCAAGCAACAAGTACACTTTATGATGGTATATTGTACCCTTAACAATGATACCCCATTTGTAATGATTATGTAATCAAGGAATGTGTAGTACACTTGAATATGGGGCCAAGTCAAAGGGGAAATATTGCAAAATGAATTGCTATATTGACCGCCTCAATATGATTAAAAAACAATCCATCCTTCAATTAAACAAAGGAAGAAGTCACTGTTGACAATAACAATGCAAATTTTTACTTTCACTATGATACCAAATTCAAGTATGATAATTCAGCAACGAGCGAGCTTTCAATGTTCAAACTTTTATTGCAGAACCTTTTTGAGGACTTCAAACTTTTCTAATTTTTTACTGAGAAAATTGGGTGAACTGCCGTTTGGTGTACAACCAGTTGGTCTACTACCCATTTAGTCTATTCCCATATGGTCTACACCCAGCCCGTCTACTATCCACATGGTCTAATGATAAATTTTTATACTTTTTTTCTTTTTTCTTTTTTTTTCTCCATCATTTAATTGAATAATACTTACATAAAAAACACATAATTATAATGTTTACTGGTACAAAGAAAAAACACATAAATTAAACCTATTTCTCAAAAGTAATTATACTATCTACTTTATCATTTGGTCTACTTATCATGTGGTCTAATGACCATTTAGCCTAATAACCATTTGGTCTAACTCCTATAAGTCTACTACCCATTTAGTAATAAACAGCAATAAACTGAAAATTGTACCATGCAGTCACCTCAGAGAATCCATAATTTCAACCAAAGCCTCTCAGTGCAAGATATATATTTGTTTACTACCCTGCGCTGGCCATTTGATCATACATTGATGTTGTGTGCAATTTTTATTTATGCAGGTCCATATGCTTTTGTTGATGTGCTGGACTTCAGGAACCTTCAGGAGATTATTGTCAATGAGAGTATAGACTGGATGGTCCATTTTAGTGCAGTTCTTAGTGCTGTTGGTGAACAGGTATGAATATTGTATGAATATCATACGACTATTGTGTAAATATCAGATAAATATGTCACTTGAAAATGTATGATTATGATATGAACCTGTATGAAATTTGTATGAATAAACTTTGAATTCTGCAATGTTAAAGGGATCCAGTAACTTTGTCTTTATATATCCTTTAAAAAAAATCCTTGATTTAGCTCATGCTGCAATGATAATTATAAACCTTTAGGTCAGTCAGGAACCCCGTGACTTTTACAAGCCGATCGTCTGTCTGATTATCAAGATATTTATGATTAAAAATCGAAAGAGCAAATTTTGCATTTGCCAAACGGTTTTTATAACACTACAGTCTATTGGGGAAAATGAATATGGTAAAACTGGTCACTCAAAGGTTTTTACTTTTTTGAGGCACTTCTTGATCATTTTGAAGCACAATTTTTTAAGGGCTTCAATAAACATTGTAATACCATATCACAGACACTGAGAACACTTAAAACAGTGCATCTTAGATTTAAAATTGTTAAACGATCCTTTAAAATGATTCTGTTTATTTCTAACAATACATGTACATGTATGTACAATAAATACATATTATGTAGTTTTGCATCAAATGTCAGATTTATATTATCATATTCTTCTTTTAAAAGCGTCTGTCTAAATTTTTTCTTCATTCTATCGTCTCATGTGAACTCTAGAATGTCCCACTGGCCATCAAAGTCAACATCCAAGGGCTCCACAACGTGATGGAGCTGGCCAAGATGTACAACCTCCGCATCTTCTGTCCCAGTACCATCGGAGCGTTCGGACCCCAGTCGCCCCGCGAGCTGACCCCCGACCTCACAATCCAGAGGCCCAGGACGATCTACGGTGTGGCCAAGGTTCATGCTGAGCTCTTAGGAGAGGTACAAGGAGGTTCTTTTTTTCCATCATCATTCATTAATTGAATAATACTTACATAAAAACACATAATTATATTGATTACAAAGAAAAACACATGATTTATACTTAACATTTTTTTTCCAGAAGTGATATTTTTCAAAATTTGCCCTCCGTACTATTTCCTTTAAATAAATATTGTATAGGTTTGTAAGGAGGTTCTTTTCAATCACATGGAAATAAAATGTCTAAGAGCAAAAGTAAAACAGATTGAAAAACTTACAATGCCACATGTTTCTTTAGTCTAATATATACTACAATGAACATGTATATCTTCAGTCGTTTTAATTGTTTGTGATGTCAATCAAGGTTTACTAAATGTGTTATAAGTTTGATAATCCTATGGCCTCGGAGAACGCAATATCCATTTGAACTAATAAGCCAGTTCTTAGATACATGTAATATCTGCATACAGGCATGGTCATTTAATAAGGTTCTTTGTGCAAAATTGTAAAACCTAGCGAGACAAATATTGGATCATGTTCATGAAAGTTGCATAATCAATTTTCATTTATGCACCAACGAGACATTCTATGACACAGGTAGGGTATTGCTTTCAAGCAGGCAAACAAAAGTTATTGAAGGAGCACCTCCATCACTGAAGCAGTGATTTATTCTCAAATGCGCAGAGTGGAACTTCACCAGGATTGAAAGATCTGTGGATATTTTGGGTCATTAGTACCATGTGTTATCTACGAACTGGGGGACATTTCACAAAGATTCTAAGTTGGACTTAACAATTATGGAAAGCTGTTGGCATCTTTGATAATGTTTTGCGTAAAAGTATGTTATTTTAAAAGGCCTAAAATTTTTAATTCAAATCATTCATATGTTTTATTATCAATGAGATTTCATGTTCTTGATGTGGAAGTCATGAAAAGTCTAAATTACTTGAATTTTTGCTATTTAATAAATTTTATTTTAAGGCTACAAATGGCCCTCAATAATGTTTTAGTCCAACTTATAGAGTTACGTTCGTCTTAGAATCTTTGTGAAACATTCCCCAGGTCTAGTAAAACTACTTTCTTTCACATTAAAATTGTACGACCACTCATTACATTCATATATAAAGTGGTTTCCCTTTCTATTCTCCTATGCAGTACTACCATCACAAGTTTGGCGTAGACTTCCGATCTCTGAGGTTACCAGGGGTCATCTCTGGAGACACAGCTCCAGGGGGTGGTACTACAGGTAGGTCTTTGTGCATTATGAATTGACCTTACCGCAAATACGATGTTCAACTCTAGATGGCAACCTTCTTCTTCTTATTCTTCTTCTTCTGTTGAAGTACAGGCCACCATGTTGTAGGTGTATCTTCGTACTTTGAAGTACGCAGGTCAGCACACCCAAAGATACGATACTGGGGAAGATGATAAGACGAGGTTTCTTCCAGCTTCCATAGAAAATGTATAGCAGTGTCAACTAATTCCTTATTGTACTAAACTATTGTCCAGGTTTCATAAACTCCCTTGATGATTTGATGAGATCTATGTAGGTACCATCATGATCTGTGACCCATAGTTTATTGGTTCTGAAACTATAATTTTTATCAGACTTTCCAGTTCTCGACCCGGGAACCGTATGTGCCTTTGCCAATTATACCTATGGATGGTGCTGCCCTCTACGGCCAATAGCTTAGTTAGGGTAGCGAGAATTGGATATCATCATGATTATTATAATCAATTATCATTTATTGAAGTCAGCATTCTCCTCTTAGGAGGGTATGTTACTGACTTTCACTCCATGATGACACTCCCTTCGTCCACTTCTTCTTGTCTCAAGCATCCTCCTCATTCCATAAAATCTTTGATCTTCCTTGCCCTCTTATGCCAACCAACTAGATCCTACGCTCTTTTCACAGGTTCATCAACTTCCCTTCTCAATACATGACCGATCCATCTCAATCCACTTCTCTTCACCAGTTCCACCAGTTTCTTTGAGACCCAACCTTTCCGATCTAATAATCATAGTATATATCTTTTTGCTGGTCTTGTTATTATTACTTTTAGTTCATCATCAATATTTTAAGGTCCATTTTCCCCTTGTTGTGGAATCACTAATAGATGTAGCTTTTCCTAGATGACCTTCTCAAAGCCTTCCCGTTATCAGCATCAACCAAGATGAAAACAGATATCCTCAAATCGGGGCAGCGCCAGGAGCGTCACAACGTGACGGACGTGCGCTATATGAGAAGCCACCATTATTATTAATGTCTCCCATGTTAGTGTCACTGTTCTTGTTATTAGTACCGGTACTATCAGTATATTTATATAATATTGACTGGCCTTGAGGGGTATATCAGAAATATTGACCAAGCTCAGATCATATTGCCCCGAGTCGAAAGACGAGGGCAATATGGTCTTAGCGCGGTCAATATTTCTGATATCCCCCGAAAGTAAAGCCAGTCAATATTTGTATTGTTATCCAAATCAGACATCTAGAGCAAATACAGAAATCCACCATGACAATCTCAAGAACTGAACAAACTTTGTCAAACCAGCACTGTGCATCCCGCGGCTTGACACAATTTTCGTTACACTGCAAACAGTGTGCACAGGTTCTCGTACGCAATGAAAATGACAAAATACGGCGCGGTCAACACAAGATGCCTGGATGCGAGAGACCGTGGAAAATACCAAGGTATATTTTCACTCGTCTCTACATGCAAAGTCAATACGCGCAGGGAGACCAAGGAAAATACAAAGAATATACTCCTCCGTTCCCACTGCTAGTGAAAACTAGGGCAATACGGTTTTGTAAATGACCAGCTCAGATGTCTGATACGGGTAATAATGGTCTTTGGTCATTATCATCATCATCATTTTAAAGTCCATTTTTTCTCCTTGCTGTGGAGTTTAGACATGTCTTTTCCTAGATGCCCTTCTCCTTGTATTCTGTTCTTCAGCATCCACCTAGATGAGACCAGGGGGTGTTTCACAAAGCCTTTTTTTCGATGATAAAATGACAAAAATCAGTGACAAATCTGCTGATAAGCAATCAGAAGCAAGGATTTCACTAGCTTATTAAAAAAACTGCCCTTTGTCACTAATGACAAGTTTTGTGAAACACCCCCCAGGGGAGTGTTTCACAAAGACTAAGATCAAGTTGGACTTAACACTATGGCAGGCCTGTCATGCCACTGGTTGCTCTCACCATTACGATCTTTAGATAGCATTTTTCCTTCAATAATGAATTATCAAAAAATATAAAATCTGTAGATTTGTGTCCATGATTTGTATGTCCCTTGAGAGACCAATGTCAGTAAAATGGTGAGAGCAAACAGTGGCATGAACAGCCTGCCATAGTTAAGTCCAACCTAAAGTCGATTTTAGTCTTTGTGAAACACCCCCCTGATACTCTCATGTCATCTTTGATTGTCTCCATCCAAGTTTTGTAATATCCTCTAATGGTTCTTCAGCCAGTCACTGGGAAATTAATTTCTTCTATTATCACTATTAAATCTGGTGACTATGGTTTGTAAAATCACTTTCCTAACTCTCTAACGCCCACCCCATCCCTCCCCCTCCCCTCCCCCTCTCCTCCCTCAGATTACGCAGTCTCCATATTTGACCACGCCCTTCAGTCCGGCCACTTTGACTGCTACCTGCGATCGGACACCATGCTCCCCATGATCTATATCAAGGACTGCCTCCGAGCCATCGTCGAGATGCTGGAAGCTCCGGAGGAGTTGCTAGGGTTACGGACCTACAACATCAACGCCGTCAGCTTTAACCCGGAGGAGATCGCCAAGGCCATCAAGAAGTACGTCCCGGAGTTCACCGTCGACTATCAGCCGGACGAGAGACAGAGTATCGGTAAGATTGTAAAACAATTCATTCTGTCATTATTAAAGATAGAGTTGAGTTCTGGTCATGCGATTGCGTTGTGAAAGAAACGTTGTGGAATCGATCAGAAGAGGTTGGTCATCTAGCATATAAGTATTGGTGTGTACTGCAAGATTCTGGAATCATCAAAATGATATGAAATTTGGCCCAGTCGTGGTATTAATGTAATAAGCACTGTACACAGAAAGATGTATATGGGACTACGCGATATCTATCAAGGCTGGATAGATAAGATAATTTACCAAATATATCAATTAGTAGGCCGTTTCCCGACAAAATTTGTATCATCACGTATTAAGGGATAGAGCAACGTCGATCTGGCGCTGCTCAGTGGCTGCCGGGCTCACGATCAATTGGGCAAAAAGAATTTCCGTTTCGGTTTAATAAAATTTGGGGTGGACTATTAGGCTATTATTATTATTATTATTATTATTAGTCAAAACATATTCTTTCACATAATTGATAATAAGAGCTTCGATTTCATTTTTTGAGAGGGGTGTTTTCCCAAACTGTTCTATACCTTTAAAGACGAATGTTTATGATGGGGGTCATCTTTTGAATCCCCCGATGTTTTTAATAATGGTGGAATATTCAAACTGCTTATGATGTCATAATTATTAAAGATGAATGTTGTGATCTTAGTCATGATCAATTAAAATCACCTAATATTTTCATTTGTTAATGGTCGGTCTAAAGAGGTCAACCCTTCTCGCATGATGAGTTTAGCAGCTTCAACGCACTTATCTTTGAAAATCTCCATCTGTATGAAGTTTGATAGTCAATAAAAACTATGATACAAATTTTGGAAAGCTTGAATCATTTGAAAAATCAAAATCAAAATTAATTCAGCATTAAAACTGTTCTCCTTGAGTGCCCTGCAATCATGTTATTACCCCTGCTTTACATGTGCGTGTCACTATGAACATGACTGACAAAGAAAGCGGACAAAATATACAGTTCCTCAGGTAGACAAAGGAACATCCCTTCACTGCTATTATGTAAAAATGTGTAGAACAGGTGTCACATGCATATTCACCTTTTTACATAATAGCAGTGAAGGGATGTTCCTTTGTCTACCTGAGGAACTGTATATTTTGTCCGCTTTCTTTGTCTGTCATATTCATAGTGTGTGCATGTAAATCAATTATACAAATAGCATCTTGTATTGCCATTGAAACATTTCTGCCCTTTTCTCATCTCTCATCTAGCGGACTCTTGGCCCAAGCGTCTTGACGACTCCCAGGCCAGAGAGGACTGGAACTGGAACCACAAATACGACATGGACGCTCTGGTCCAGGTCATGTTGGAGGTCGTCAGTAAACGCCTCGGAATTTCGACATCGACATCAACAACCAAGGCCTCTGGAGTGCAGTGATTTGAAAAGAAATATTCATTTTCTTCTCTGATGCAAGGTATTCTGTACATATAGTTTTTCATGAATTGTAACAACTTTTTATGCTCAGTAATGAAGCGCCTGGGCCTTGCCACCATTTTTGCGATGCTGTTACCCATGGTAACAGAAATTGAATCGGCATGCAGTGGTTCCAAGAGTTTCTCCTATTGTGCTTCTGATATGGAAAAATATATTTTCTACATGGTAAGCATCACATGTGAATCGAAAGTTATGCAGTTATTAATCTTTTGTTTTTGTTACAGTATGCGTAAAGGGTTCATATAAGTGCTATTCTTGACTCGAACAGAAGAGAGCTTGCTCAGGTGTTTAACATGTGAGGAAGGTATTTATTAAAAGGCATGAGTGCACCCTCTAACTGAATAAACATTATAGTCTGTTAGTTGACTAAATCACATATACAGGATACTGTATAGTTTTATACACACCTGTGTACAGATATATGTACCATAAAATTGGGTGAAGAGGAACAATCGGTACAATTGTATTGCATTGACATAATCTCAGTAAAACTTTCTCTGGCATTAGTGGCTTGTGTCCAGGTTGTGTGCAAAGTTATGTGTGGTGTGTGGTATTGTATTATGATAAAGGATTTTTAGGCAATTATTGAACCCCTGTTTTTGCTAGTCTCCTGCTGTGTATACAATGTTGAGAGATTCAGCACACAAACGGATTGGAATTGGAATATGTTTACAATGTATGATCTTTTACGATGCTTGATATTTAGATGCACGTAACACAGGTGTATGTGTGTAAATGACTATTTGCATATAAGCAGCTTGAAATTTATAATGAGTATTTTATCCAATCAATCATGACTTTTTAATACAGAGGTAGCTGTAAGAATATTTCAGAGGATTATGATACAAAGAATGGATGATTGTTTTGTTTTTCTTTATTATTGATATTATTAGCATTGTATACATTTTTGCAACCATGTGGAACCATGTATACCTACAGCTAACAACTAAATTACATCATGACCGTACCAAGTTTTGCAATTTCTTACCTTTGCAAAAAATTGATTTGTCCCGATTTCTGTTTTTAGATAACGAGACATTGTAAAGCTTACATCTAGCAGTATTCAACAAAGGCCCCAATTCAACCAATCCATCTTTCATTATTGAGTTACAAAAAACATAAAAAAAGCATATGTCTAAAATGGTATTTGTACACTTTTGCTCTACAGTATTCCAACTTTTATGGCCTTCTATTTGGTACCTTCATTTATGCCACCGATTTCTTTATGAACTTCAGACACTGTTTACATCTTACATGTATGTTCATAGGTCTTTAATAATTCATGTTTTTGTTTTCAGGTATTTTTGTTTGTTGTTAAAAATAGTGTGATATTTGCAATATATCCTGGCCAGAATTGTCTTAACATTTAGTTTGTACTGTCAAAGGTGAGTCTTGATTTATTGTTTCACGGAATATTTTTGCTAAAAACAAAAGTAGCAGAAGTTGAGGAATGAAAAATATAATAAGTAGCAATCACAGTAATTAATTTATTTTTTTTTAAAGATTTTCAATACTACACATAGTTATTATAATTATTTATTAAATTATTTGATCCATCTAAATTCAACATTGCATTATTCTTTAATCAAAATGGGAAATTCAAAGTACATTAAAGACTGTATCCCAGCTTTACATTATATCAAGTGCAATGCATTCAGCATTATTATACCATTGAGCACCTTTGTACGTGTATGTTTTTCATCCCATCTTATTTATCTCTTTGTAAACTTAACTTATTATTAACTTATTCTCAGGGTATTCCAAAAATTGCACAAAGAGTCTTTTTTTCTTAATCAGAGGTTGATGCATTTAGCTTTGTGAAATATTATTTTCACAATCTGTTCAGTACTTCTCATGTTTTATTTCAAGCTCATGTGATTTGACTGGTGTCGATCATCCAGTTAGATGATTAATAACATCAAATGTTGTCAGCTTACATCGATTCATCGAGGCTTCACATCAGGTCAGGTGGTCGCGTTACTCAACCTTTAGTGTAACAAAAACGGAAGATCATTTGAGGATGCACGTTAAGGACGATACCTTCTGTAGATTTGCCTTATAGTTAATACAAAGTTTTGGTATGGGGTCATGAATTTGGTTCAAATGAACACGTTGGAAGCATATGCGATCCTACAATATTCAGTGATCGTTGTCACGGTTGAAATCAAGTCTATAAAGTTATGAAATTGTAAAGAATAAACTCTTTATGTTATATAGCTCCCTCACAAGGTCAAGATATTAATTAAGCTATAAAAGTCGCTCGTGGGCTTGATTTCCGAAGCCCACGCCAAAGCTATACACGAAATTGACTGGCGCAAATAATCTTTGAGATTGAAGAGCGCCATCTAAACGAAGAACCAACCAACCAACCTATAAAACATTGTTTCTTGACTAAAATCGACCGATTAGCTATTCACGTGTGGAAATTATATATCTCAATTACGTATTCTGAGATTTTCATGGTCGCTATTTGAAATTTATCAAAATTTACTGGGAGCACCGGTAAATTTTTATATTCAATTTTTCTCGAATGCAGAAGTGTTTTAGGGGCTACATTTTCTAGTGCTTATAATACATCCACAGGGGCATCCAAATATATCAAAATTGTAAAGAATCACTATCCACCCAATTTTCAAAATTTCCCAAAACTTTGTATTACCTTTAAGGTTTTCACCTGGTACATTGGACTAGACCATTTGTGGATGAGAGGGATTAATAACAAACATTACCCCTGACTTTTCGTGAATAAAGGGACAGGTTTTCACTAATAAAGATTAGGTAACGCGACCACCCGACCCAACGCGATGACTTCGTGATTCAAAGTAAGCCAGACAAGTTGGCTTGATGAAGCGTCCCAGAGTGGATGTAAAACGTTGCAAGCTAAAACAAAGTAAAGTCCAGTTGACTTTAAAAGTCAAATAACATTTGATGTTATTGAACTGATATTACGCAACAAAAGATCTCATTAACTGACTGTGTAACAAAGATATTTATTGTACCTTATCGATCTTGTTTATTGTTGTGTTGGTGAATGGATGCCTTATTGTTCGGCAGCTTATTTACTGTTAAACTTTCAGCTGAAGACATGTGTTCTATTAAGAGTAGTATTTATATATTTTATTTTCTTTTTTTTTTGTAATAACTTTTTTAGTGGTTGCATTGTTTTGTTATTACAGCATGTACAGTAGAAATAGAATGAGTAAATGATGAACGATATATTAATCTTCTGTATAATTCTGTTTCAAATTTGTGCAGTTGGTCTTTAAATGTTTTTAGGGTTTGGTCGCACCTGAACGTCAACAATAACAATAACATTTAAATCGCTCTATATGTGTAAGTAGAAAATGTACTGTATTCTGGAAGTCATTGGTGAAAACTCATAAGAATAATTGATGAGTGCCACCCATTTCCTACAAAGACTGATGTTGGTATTGTGATGTGACAGGCCTTGAAGTCGTGGAAGGAATGGGAATAATTTTTAGCCATTTAGTATTGAATGGATGCAATTTGTAATCTTAATTTTAATCTTTGCAGTTGTCATGAAAATTACGAGAGATTTTTAGGATCACAATTATATATCCAACTTGAATTGTGTTTTCTACAAATGATTACTTTTGAATATGGTTAGTAGCCTTAGATAACTACATCTATATGAAAGTGATTTTATATGTACATATTTACTGACGTATCTGTATTCAGTTATGAGTACCCAAAGAAATTCACAGTGTACATACTGTTTTTTACATACACATGAAAATGCAATTATCTTTTTAATGCAAATAATAAGAAAATATTCATGTGGTATACTTTGATTAGTGTTTGGTAGTTATAAAACTATATCATATTGTCTCTTTTATTTTTTGAGGGGGGGGGGGGGGTAAAATAATAGTAAAATTAACAATAGTGGGTTCTTGTATAACACTCATGTCTGCTTCCCTATAGCTGAATAGTTTTGGGGTTACACACTGTTGCTTAGTTGACCATGAGATGGCGCTGTGCAATAAACAACTACCGGTATGCTAGGGCAGAAATTTCATCAGTTCGGTATCGCTTTAAATGGGGAAACAAATGTGTATCGATTTTGTAATGAAGAGTTCAGGTTGCCTGTATAATGAGGTGTCGTAGAAGTGTCATGGTCAAGTGGATCAATCAGTTAACATGGTATGCAATGGTCGCGGGTGCCAGCCCAGCACAGCACTTTGTCCTTGAGTATTAAAAAGGCACTTTATCTACATCAAATCCAGTGATGGGGTAATAAAGTGCTTTACAGGAAACAGTTTTATAGTGCAAATTCTGTTATTGCAAATGCACAAAATAATGTTTGTTTGTTTGATTGCTAGCATATCTGTAATTTACAAACGCAATATCTGCAATAATGTTTAAGGAACAGGGTCTGTAACGTATTAAGGGCATTCCCAGCCAGGGCGCATGATGCATTATAAGCTCTCACCATGGAGATATCTCCATGCTCTCACACATGTTCAATCTACATGTACACGTATTTTGAGGCCTTCATGTTTTGAAAAGAGAGTTTGTGGTATGTAATTTCATTTATTGTGTGTGTGAAAGTATACCTGTGCTTAAGAGTTGTATATGTGTCTTATTTATTGCCCTAGCACTTTCGTGATATTAAGATCCAATGAGCATGTGGTTTTCGCTTACAATAATTGTCATTCGATAAACGAGTAATTAAATTTTCGTTAAAATGCAACATACTAGGGCATCTTATTTATTTATTTATTTATTTATTTATTTATTTATGCATGTTCACAATTTCACAATTCATTGGAGTTAACATCACATGAAACATTAATATAAGATGACAAATCATTTTCAATTTTACAATACATTTGAATTAACTTCACGTGAAAAAGAATATAACATTGTTTTATCAAAGACAAGTTGCAACTTATATACAGCTTGAAGAATGAACACACAAAGGTGATGAAACATAAGCAAATAGAGCTTGAATCGTTACAACACCTTTCAAATATATAATATATGACAAATAAAATTCCTAAAGGGTTGTAGTGAACTATTTACACTATTTACAAAGTTTTAAAAAAAGAAAGAAAAAAAGAATTTCGTTAAGCCTAGTAACAAAATTATGTTAGATTTAATTAGAACTGATAAATAGATTAAAATGTAAGTAATATCTTACATCTGTGAAATGATAATACATTTGAGTGCTCTTTTAAAAGAGTTTGTTGATTTTATATTTCGAATATCATTAGGTAAAGAATTCCATACATCTGGACCTCTGTGTCTGATTGATTTCTGGGCTAATGTAGTGTGAGGATTGACCACATGTAAATTCGATGACTGCCTTGTTGAATACGAATGAACATGTTATTAGGTTGGAACATTGAAGATAATGATCTTGGCAATGAAAATGTGGTTTTCATTTCATTATTCCTAGACTCTGTCAGAAAATATGTCTCTTGTGTTACCAGCCATCACATTTTTTGTTTGCATCATCATCATCATCATCATACACTGTAAAAAAAAATGTTTAGTTCTGGCATGAGACTGTTTAAATTGTTAGATTTGTTCATCTGATGGCATTGTACATAATTCATGCGTGCAGTGTGGTGAGATATTTGCAGATTTATAGTTGATAACCATATCTATATTTTTGTATCTGACAAAAATCTTGTGTATATTGATCAGAATCAAGAAGAGTCTCATACTTTTGTCATCTTCTTTACCTCTGCAGTTGGAACTCCTAATGAAATTGTTGAGCAATTTATTCTCATCTATTGAGTCAACAAATGCATGCCAATTGGTATGTTATGCATTCATTATTTATTGTTGTAGCATTGTTTTATTATATTATTCTTTGCAAATTGATTGTAGTTGTATTGCCATTTTAAATGAAATGTATATCGCACTCAGTGAAAAAATACACGGGGGGCTCAGGGCGAATTTGCCCCCGAAATGCCCAAAAGAGCCCCCATAAATTTGCATAGAGTTCAATGCAAAACAAATTTTAGAGTGTTATTTTTATGCAGGCAAGCTTGAAGAGTAGCCCCCGAAAAATAAATATTAATTTTTTTCCCTGGTCGCACTGAACTAGGGAGGGGCTGTCGTACACTCACATGTATATCAGCAGATGAATAAAACTCCTTAGAGTAATTATGCAAATAATAAAAACATGAATTTTCACCATTCTTTCCTAGAAATATTTACATTTTTAGCATATTTTTGATGGGGCTTTTTTTTTTTTATTCCTCCCATATGTACTATTACATGTATGTCTAGCATTCAAGCATCTGAATTAAATTTAGCCCATGTTCTAAAAATCTTAAAGGTTGTGTTGTTGGCTGGTAATTTTGGAAAAAATTACGACTAGTTTACTATGGTTTTAAGAAAATTGGCACCGGCCTATTTTTAACAATGTTATATACACTGTATACCGGTACAGGGAAATGGATAAATTAAACGTGTGGGAGTAAAAAATTATTAACATGTTAATCTGTCTTTTTTCTTTTTTTTTAGTCTGCATTTTTTTCTTGTAAAATCCAGTCCCTTCATCTTTCATTGAATTGTTGGGCATGGAAAAAGTGAAGCATGTACATACTATGTGTAGATAAAGAGAGAGAGATGTAGAGAGAGGGGGAGGGAGGGAGAGGGAGAGAGAGGTGGAGAGAGAGGGAGAGAGAGGTGGAGAGAGAGGGGGGAGGGAGAGAGAGGAGAGAGAGGAGGGGAGAGAGAGAGAGAGAGAGAGGGGGGAGGGAGAGGGGGAGGGAGGGAGAGGGAGGAAGGGAGAGAAGGAGAGAGAGAGAGAGAGAGAGAGAGAGAGAGAGAGAGATTTAAGCCATCCTTGGCTTTTTAATTATTTTAGTTTTTACAATAGTGAAACTGTAACTTTGAATATTTTGTCATTGATACATTTAGATTGGCATAATATTTTGTCCATCAATATGCAGCACTTCATGATAGAGGTAACTGTCTGGTTCCGGAAGAAAAAGGTAGGCCTCCTTTAAGAGCACAGGGTGGTCAACAAATGGGTTTAAACGTCTAACCGCAACAGGGTTGAAGTTTGTTTGTAATGGCTTTCCAAATACAGCAAAAGGTCAGCATTCGTTCTTAAAGGGATCGTTTAACAATGTTAAATCTGAGATGCACGGCCAAACGTGTTATCAGTGTCTGTGATATGGTGTTATATTGAAGCTCTAAAAAAAGTTGCGCTTCAAAATGTTCAAAAAGTGCCTCAAAAAAGTAAAAACCTTTGAGTGACCGGTTTTACCATACTCGTTTTCCCCGATAGACTGTAGTGTCATGAAAACCGTTTGGCAAACGCAAAATTTGATTTTGAATTTCAATCATAAAAATCTTGATAATCAGACAAGGGATCGGCTTGTAAAAGTCATGGGGTTCTTGACTGACCTAAAGGTTTATAATTATCATTGCAGCACAAGCTAAATCAAGGATTTTTTAAAGGATGTTAGACAAATTTAACGGATCCCTTTAAACCAAATTATTAGTCATGAAATGTGTACATCAGTTCATTTGTCACTGATGACAAGTTTTGTGAAATGGGGCCCAGGGGGGCGTTTCACTAAACTTGTCATCAGTGACAAATGACAGTTTGTGTTACAAGCTACTGAAATCCTTGCTTCTGACTGGCTATCAGCAGATTTGTCATCTATTTTTGTCATTTGTCATTGAAAAAAGGCTTTGTGAAATGGGGCCCAAGAGTGAGAAGTAGATTGTGATACATAATATGAGGGTGATAGATATGAGGGAGCAAGAAATAAAGAATATCAGTTAAAAAAAGACAGAAGGGATATTGAAAGGGAAAGAAAAAGAGGAGATCCTATTTATGGTACATATGATGCAAACGTAAGATCAGAGACATATATTAGACAAAATAAAGATGTATTGACAACCAATCTTCTATTTTATATGATTTTATTTCCAAAGAGTTCTTTTGACAAGGTTTTCTTGACAATGAATCCTTTTAATGTACATGTAAATTGTACATTTAAACACTCAATGCACTTGCACAAGTATAATATTATCATGCAGCACTTCATGCAAATACTCCAGCAAAGAATTATTTCAGTTCAATTCAAATCAATAAAATTACCACAATCACAATTAATTCATATAAAGATCATCTCTTTGATCATCAAAATGAAACGCAACATAAATGAAAGTATAGCTTTGATGTAGGGTGACAATTCCCAAGAATAAATGTACATTAAATTTAAAGACAAATGTACATTGTGTTAAACACCTAAGATTTACGATTTTGTAAGAAAATGATCCTTCAATAATCAAACAAGTAAAATTGTCCTGATGGAGGTTCCTGATGATGATACGACTAGTATATTTGGAGGCATGATGACGCAATTGGATCATCATGATCATTACTTGGATAGAATGTTAAATGGAGGCCCCATGCGTAGTAAAAGTCATATCACATGTACATCAGGTGCCAGGTTATTCAGAATGTCAGAGGTAAACAAACAAAAATTAACCTTCGGCATTTGTACACCAAACAGCAAGTTAATGCCCTACACTTTAATGAGCAGGGTGTAACACAGTTTTTAGTGTGCCTGCAAGACACAACTGATAATCTACATACACAGATCTTCATGATTTTGAAGATTACAAGTAAAAAGAAAAGAAAATTGATATTGTGTGTGGGGGGGGGGGGGGGGGAGGGAGGGGTATATATCTTGATTTTAGTCAAGGTATCATTACAAACAAAAAATTACTGGTAAGTGATCTTTTGTTTCATTATTTCAACTCAAGAAAGGAGATAACAGAGACCCCCCCCCCCCCCCTCACCCACTATAAGCTACACCACAATATATTAAAAATTTGCCACGTACAGTAAGCATTTACCCCTAAAATCGACCCCAGTAAATCTTACAGTATTTTCATGGAATTCCTGTTATTTTAGTGCTTTGGCTTGAATACGACGCATTTGGCATCAAAGTCGAACACAACAAAATAGCGGAAATACATGTAATTACAAACCATCTTTTAAAAACGTGTACTACAGCACACTTTATGTTTGAATAATCACTACAGTATTTCAAGATGATACATATGTACATGGAGAGGTAAAATGTATGGAGATGTACATGTACATATACATGTATGTTTATATTCCTAAACAAACTAAAGAAAATATCATTTAACTACTAATAGCACATTCATTCATGTTCAAGCTAGACTGCCACATGCAGCTTATGTTTGTGTAAAAGTTTTCAGAAAGATAATACCTTTACATGTTAAACCAAAAATTAAAAATTGTTTACAGTTTGCAACTTTGCATTGATGTACGTTTGGCAAATCTCTGTCACATTAAACAAATCATTCCATTCTTCAACATATAATAATAATCTACATGTATGTTCATTTATGTTCAAGCTAGACTGCCACATGCAGCTTATGTTTGTGTAAAAGTTTTTCAGAAAGATAATACCTTTACATGTTAAACCAAAAATTGTTTACACTTTGCATTGATGTGTCTTTGGCAAATCTCTGTCACATTAAACAAATCATTTCATTCTTCAACATACATGTACATGAACAATAATAATCTATTTACATGTACATTAAAGTACATGTAGTCTCTGAGCCCATATGTTTTAGTTGTAGATGTACATGAACCACAATCATCCTATCATAAAACATGCTTTGATTTACATGTCACTTCTTGTTCTGTTAAAATCATTCTCAGCTTCTAGACAACAAAAACATCAGAAGATTTGGCACAATGTCACATTCATTATAAAAGCAGAGTTCAACACTTACATGTACAGGCGCCCCCGACACATGGGCAGCCAACATCTTAGCCTGGACCCCCAAATTCTATTTTCGTTTGTGCCTAGGGCTCATGCATCAACAAATAATTTGTTCTGTGCGTTCGTAATTTCACAAAATAAAACTATATTCACAATATGAGCTTCAAATATTACTTCTGTAAAGAGATTTTGCAAGTTGAAATGCACTTTCAATTAACATAAAAACAACTTGTAAGACTTTTGGACAGCCACGCACCCACATGCACTTTCATATAATAGGGCCAACACGAAGCCCAAGTCAGTATTAGGTTCCATGCGAGCTATATTATCCTAAACTTCATTTGTTTCATACTCCTTATCTGTTAGCCCATAGAATGCTTTGCAAGGTTTTTGAGGTTGATTTATACATTCTAGCTGTACTCTGTTTAGTTTTTTAGATGATTGTTACACTTTAAGTTCATTTTAATACTCACTTCAGTCAAACAGTGCAAGACACAATAAATCTTTTCTTTGTCTCAGTCACTACTGTAAGTATTCTATCATTTAGCAGTCTAGATGCAAGAAAAATGTTTCAACACACCTGTTCCATTACAAGGAAGACAATAACATACATAAATAAATACATATTTGAAAGGATATTGCAGCCTACGATGTTAATTCAGAAAGCAACCAAACTGAAATCATTATAATCTCAAATTTTTATCCATATTACTTGGTTTCCACATGCATTGAGTTGGTCAACAGGCTTATTTCTGTAATTTCTCTAAAACATTCTTGAATTTTTCTACATGCTCTGGGCTGCACCAGCGACTGGTGAATATCTCACGCTCAACCTTTAATGCTTTGTCCAGAGGTAGGTGAGAGGCTGCGAGCACGAGTTCCTTGATGCCGTTTACTATGTCTACAGATGCACGTGTGTATTGACTTAACCACTCAACAGCATGTTGCACACTATCGCTGCTACTTGGCAAGACGTCATCGGCGAGGCCCATCTCCAGCGCTTCTGTAGCTGTCACCGTTCGGCAACCCGCGAGAAGCTGCAGCGCCTTCTGCGGTCCAACGAGGCGCACCAGCCGCGAACCGCCGCCCCACCCGGGGGAGAGTCCCAACATGGCCTGCTTGAACTGGAGCTGCGTGGTTTCCGTCCACAGGCGGAAGTCGCACGCCGTCGAGAGCTCAGCTCCGCCCCCTACCGCTTGCCCGTGAACATGTGCGACACTGATAAGCGGGAGGTGTCGCAATCTTCCCAGGGTGCTCTGCATGAAGAGGCACATCATTCCCCCGGCTTCAGGTTTATCCAAGCCGCACAAGACGGATAGGTCACCACCACTGCAGAAATGGTCACTCTCTTCGTTGCCGTGGAGAATGAAACCCTTGCCATGCTCCCACACTTCCAGGTCATCGATGACATCTGAGAAGTCCACCATCATTTTTCCTGGAAAAGAAAAAAAGCTGCAGCCATTTTAAAAGGGATCTACATGTACACGAACTGCATGTTCGCACATATCATCAACAGAAATTAGACCCCAAAAATAAAAATAAATAAAGGAAAAAGCATATATTATAAAACTTACAAACAGAGAACTTCCATCCTTGTTCCGTCCAAGAAATGCTCCAACTCCCCCCCCCCCCCCCAAAAAAAAACACATAATGGTATGTGAAATAAATATACTCCAGAGAAGTGAGCTTTTAGTCTCCAAATTAAATTTGGATATCTCATGAATAAAAGTGAATGTTAATTATCAATAGCGACTGATTATTTATTGCCATAACAAGACCAAGCTGTGAATAAAAAAATAACTACATGGAATTTTGACTGCGCGCAGTCGAAAATGATGCCTCCGCCATAGAGCAATTTAAACAAGTTTGGAGTTTAAATCTCCAGTGGTTCTTGAGATATCATGATAACAATCTCAATGTATGGAATTTCATAAGTTGACCTCTGTGACCCTTGACCTTTGACCTACGTGCTCCAAAATCTAATCAGATTGTCTTCCTATGGTGATACACACTATCATTAAGTTTGAAGTTTAAATCTCCAGTGGTTCTTGAGATATTATGATATGGTGATACATACTATCATTAAGTTTGAAGTGAAAATTCTCCAGTGGTTCTTGAGATATCGCGATAACGATCTCAATGTATGGAATTTCATAAGTTGACCTCTGTGACCCTTGACCTTTGACCTACGTGCTCCAAAATCTAATCAGATTGTCTTCCTATGGTGATACACACTATCATTAAGTTTGAAGTTTAAATCTCCAGTGGTTCTTGAGATATTATGATAACAATCTCAATGTATGGAATTTCATAAGTTGACCTCTGTGACCCTTGACTTTTGACCTACGTGCTCCAAAATCTAATCAGATCGTCTTCCTATGGTGATACATACTATCCTTAAGTTTGAAGTTTTTACATCTCCAGTGGTTCTTGAGATATCATGATAACAATCTCAATGTATGGAATTTCATAAGTTGACCTCTATGACCCTTGACCTTTGACCTACGTGCTCCAAAATGTAATCAGATTGTTTTCCTATAGTGATACACACTATCACTAAGGTTGAAGTTTAAATCTCCAGTGGTTCTTGAGATATCATGATAACAATCTCAATGTATGGAATTTCATAAGTTGACCTCTGTGACCCTTGACCTTTGACATACGTGCTCCAAAATCTAATCAGATCGTCTTCCTATGGTGATACATACTATCCTTAAGTTTGAATTTTAAATCTCAAATGGTTCTTGAGATATCGCGCTAACAAACTCAATACAAGGAATTTTATAAGTTGACCTCTGTGACCTTTGACCTACGTACTCCAAAATCTAATCAGATCGTCTTCCTATGGTGATAAATACTATTCCCGAGTCTTAAGTTTAAATCTTAAATGGTTCTTGAGATATTGTGATAACGGTCAAACGGGACGGACGTACGGACGGACAACCCGAAAACATGATGCCTCCGGCACCACCTTCGGTGGCGGAGGCATAAAAAGTAGTTTTCATTTCCTTTCTGAATTCAGATTTCAGAGCTACATTTTAGGTCAGGCTATCATAAATGGATTTATAATAACTATTGGTTGACCATTCTAGAAGAAAGTGTATCACTATTGTTGTTTTTTTGTCTTCTTCATACCTGATAGGGCGTTTCCTTTGCTAGGATTATTCAGAACAATCCTCGCTATCCCCGTCTCGTCGTCTTTGACCAGATCAACGCTTCCATCTCCAAGCTGACGTAGTTGAACCCTGACTCGTTGTTCGTTGAAAACTGAGTGTTTGACCGAGGTGTCGGTGAGGGCAGAAGACTGGTCCACGCGGTAACTAGGCGTGGTCTCTGTGAGGTTGACGCCCGAGTGAGTGGCATCAGTCTTGTATGGGATGCTACGATTGCAGTAGTGTCTTGCCAGAGGAAATGTGAGCCTTATCAGCGAACGCATGATGACCTTATGGTAGGGAAAACAGACAAAAATAGTGACTTTTCAACAAGCAAATATTTGAAGTTATTTTCAAAATCATGCAAGTTCTTTAATTTCCATTGTCTGCATTTGTTGGTGTAGACCCTTCTAGAAATATTTTATTCAGAACTTCTATGGCTGTCTCTTCCTTCAAAGAATCAAATTAGTTTTAGTTCACATCCCTCCATTTCCCTGGTCCTTTTTCATATAAGAATAACTTTAAGCTTGTCTGAGAAGTTACAATTTATAGACAATTAAATGTTAGGACCAGTAGACCTAGTCTATAAATATCCTAACAAGTTAGTCAAGTCTCACACTA